TTATAAAAAATAAAAAACAAATAAAATTTGAGAATAAAAGATAAAGTTCTCGAAAAATGAAGATTTTGAAAGGAAATTCAAAAGAAATAGATATAACGATCTGGTTGAAGTAGCGGCTGCCTCAGGTTTCGTATAGTTGATAGTTGTAGATTAAGATTAATAATTACTAATTATCCACTCGAAGGTGAATATATTACTAGATCAATTGAAATATAAATAAACTAATTGATAATTAAATTGAGTATGAAGCTTTTAAACTATAAAACTATTCTAATTATATACTAATAAATATAAAAAAGTTTTATAAAGTCTTAAAGCTTCAAAAAGCTTTTGAAGTTTTAGAAGTTTTCGAAACTCTCAGGGCTTCTTATTATATAATTAAGATTAGATTATATATCCGAGCTTGTTAAAGATAAGAAGATTATATAAAACGATTATTATACAAATTTATATACAAATCGCCTTGCTTTTCGATAAGGTCTAAACTTATATAGATATATTGACTGCTGCCCCTCAACATATCCTTATCTTAATTGTAAATCGTAACAATAAGATTATTAAAAAGAGAACTATTTTAATTTAATTCCAAATAATTAAAAGAATTAGATATTAATAATCAAAATTCTAGAATTAGTATTAAGAATAATATCGATTACAAAAAAGAATTTTCAAAAGATCTCGAATTAGAAAACGAGGAATCAATCAAGGAATTTGAAAAAGATTAATAAATAATTGAATCTTATTATTTATTTCAGAAAAATGAGTTATAATATTTAATTAATTATTTAGATAAAAAACAAATATAATATCATTATAAAGAGAAGAAATTTGATTTCATCGAGAAATATAAAATTTATAATTATTTCATTTTGTTAATATTCTATATAATAATATATAATAATATTTATTATATAATATTTAAGGAAAATATTAAAACAAATAATACTAGAAAATATATTGCAGATATAGATTCTTTATTCTTCAATAAAGTATAGGAATATAACAAATATAATCTAAAAGTTGAAGAAGTATAAAAGATCTTATTACAAATTAGGATTTATTATATTTAACGAAGAATTGATAAAAATAACAAAGAAATATCAAATCGAGATTATTATCGAGACTTTCAAACAAAATTAATAAGATTATTATTCATTATACTTTATCGATTATTAAATATAAACAAATATCAATATAAATAATTGAATCTCTTTACTAAAGAACAAATTATCGAATTATTATTGTTAAAATTCAATGATATTATAGAAATCGAATAATTGATTATAAAAATCAAATTAAAGAATCAACAAATTAACATTTTGATTAACTCTGAAACTATAAATATATTTATAAATCCCAACTTTGTAAAAGAAAATAGAATTCTTATAAAATTAAAACAAGATCTTTATTAACTGATATTATTAAAAGGAAAGAAAGCTAGAATTAATAATTGAGTATATAAAGAAACTAATATTATCAAGATGACTATACTAGATAGATATATCGAGTAAATCAAAATGGATTTAGTATTATTAAATAGATATACAATTATTCTCGATATTTTATAGATTAAGAAATATAATCCAAATATTGATTGAGTAAGAGATATCTTAATATTCGATTATTATAATTACAATAACGAATAATTATATAATCTAAAGGAATAGATTTCTAAAAAGATTAAATACTATATTATAATAATAATAAATTCTTTATTAATCGATAAAACTAATAAAAAAGAAATTTTAATATAATATAAAAGATTCATTAAATTCTTTGAAGATTTATAGGATTTGAAGATTTTATTAGAATATAAATCTTGAGATTATAAAATCAACTTTAAAGAAGGATTTATACTCTTTATTAAGAAATTGAGATTATACAATTCTAATACTATACAAATATAGAAAGAATATAAAATTAAAACTGAAAAGAAAGAATAAATTAGAAAATCCAAATTCTTTTATATATCCAATATATTATTAATATTTAAGAAAGACGATTCAGATAATCAACTTTGCAAAGATTATTATTGAATTAATAATAGAACAATTAAAGATATATATCCAATACCGAAAGCTTAAAAACTTAGAGATAAGCTAAATAAAGTTATAATCTATACAAAATTAAATCAAAAAAACATTTTCAATTTGATACAAATAAAAAAGGGTTATAAATAAAAGATAATCTTTATATTACTATTAGATTTATAAAAATATATAATTATATTATTTGATTTAATCAATACATTAATTATATATTAATAATAGAATAACAAAATACTCAAAAATTCAATTTATTTGTAATCTATTATTTGAATAATATCTTAATCTTTTTTCAAAAAGAGAAGAAATATAAAGGATATATATTAAAAGTATTCAAAATATTCAAAAGAATAAATTCAAAATTCAAATTATTGAAATATAAATTTGAAATACAAAAGATAACATTTCTAGGATATATTATTCAATCAAAACAAATAAATATAGATTCTAAGAAAACAAAGAAAGTAAAGAATTGGAAACAATCTAAGAATATTAAAGATGTATAATCTATATTAAAATTTATCAACTTCTATTGAATATTTATAAAAGATTTCTCGAAAATAATAGAATCCTTTATCGAAATAATCAAAAAAGAAATAACTTTTATATAGAATAAAAAGACAAAATGAATTTTTTAGAAAATCAAGGATAGATTTATAAAAGAATTTATTTTTTACAATTATTATAATAATCGAGAAAGCATTATCGAAATAAATGTTTTTGATATTTATATAACAAAAATCTATTTACAAAAAAATGATAATGGAAAATTATACTCTATTATTTATTATTCGAATAAAATAAACAAAATAAAGCAAAATTATAATATTTATAAAAAGAAACTTATAACTATTATAAAAATATTAAAATATTAAAGGATTTATCTTTAAAGGATTAAATTCCTAATAATTATTTATATTGATTATATAAATCTTCGAATTTTTATTATTATTAAAATCTTAAATAATTGTAAATTAATTAAATAAGCTGAAGAATTAATAGATTTTGATTTAATAATCAAATATATCAAAGGAAAGGATATGTAACGATCTGGTCGAGGCAGCGGCTGCCTCAGGTTTTCGTATAGTTGGTAATTGTAGGTTAAGGCTAATAATCACTGGTTATCCACTCGAAGGTGAATATGTTACTAGATCAATTGGAATATAAGTAAATTAATTGATAACTAAATTGAACACGAAGCTCTTAAACTATGAAACTATTCTGATTATATACTAATGAATATAAAGAAGCTTTGTGGAGCTCTAAAGCTCCAAAAGGCTCCTGGAGCTCTAGGAGCTTTCGAAGCTCTCAGGGCTCCTTATCACGTGATTAGGATCAGACTATATGTCCGAGCTTGCTAAAGGTGGGGAGACCACATGAGGCGATTACTATACAAATTTGTATACGAATCGCCTTGCTTTTCGATAAGGCCTAAGCTCATGTGGACACGTTGACTGCTGCCCCTCAACATATCCTTATCTTAATCGTAAATCGTGACAATATATTCGATACTAATATTTTTATATCGAATACAAAAAGTTATTTTTTTTCTAATCAAATTGATTTCTTATTTAAAAGCTTTATAATCGATATAGAATTAAAAACAAATAGATAATATAATAAAGAAGAAATATTTGAGATAAATTATATAAAGAATAATATTCTTTTCAAATCTTATAAATGATTAAAGATGATACTTAATCAAGATAAAGATAATATTACAATTTATAATTTTCATTATAATAGTATTATTGATATCAATGATTTATATATCGATTATAAAAAGAGTATAATTTAATCGTTGTTTTCAAGGGTTTTGATTATCTAAGTTTAGAACTTTAGGATTTCTAGGATAAGTATTTTAAATAATTATAGTAGAATAGAATAAGTGTTTTATTTAATTGATTATGATAAGATTATCATTTTAGAGGATATTGTATCCTAGGGTTATAATTCTTGAAAGGAAAGCTTCTGGGATAAATGTTTCAGGAAAGGAAAGGTTTTGGGATATAAGAGATTTTAGGATCAATTATATGATATGTTAGCTTTGTTAGCCAGTTAGCAAAATTAGTATCACAAGAAATGCTAGTTATGCTAACCAGTTAGTATAACTAGTATAGGAAAAGAGATTAGTATATAATCAGAATAGTTTTATAGTTTAAAGGCTTCGTACTCAATTTAATTATCAATTAATTTATTTATATTCCAATTGATCTAGTAATGTATTCATCTTCGAGTGGATAACCAGTGATTATTAGCCTTAACCTACAACTACCAACCATACGAAAACCTGAGGCAGCCGCTGCCTCTACCAGATCGTTATATATTAATCTTAACCTACAACTACCAACCATACGAAACCTCAGGCAGCCGCTGCCTCGACCAGATCGTTACACTAGGCTTAGGTAATCAGGACCCCCGAAAGCAATGGTTAAATCACACCCCTCTTATAGTCGGCATATAAATCATCGATATTAATAATACTACTATAATGAAAACCGTAAATCGTAACATCATTATACTCTTATAATAACTTTAATATATATATTCAATATTTAAATTTATTATAAACTTTTTAAAATATAAATTTTCATTAAACTTTCTCGAAAAACCAAGGGTCTAAAGTATATAAGTCTTTAATATATCAAAACTTTAAACTTATTAAATTAATAAATAAATTAAATCCTATTAAGATTATTTATAAATAAAATTAAAAATCAAAGAATAATAAAAAAATCAAGATTTTAAAAAAATAAAAACAAACAAATTAAACTTTAAAATATATAAATTGAGTTGAAAAGTTTTAATTCAGATGAGTCTCGAAACAAGAGTATTTTAAACCAATCAGATCGCTAGGATTGTGACTCATTTAAACGAGTTTTTTATTTTCTTTAATCCTCACATACAGCAAAGATAACATTTTTGGCTAGAAACATCACGTGATATGATAATGAATGCTAGTCTCTGTTTTGACGTTGCATCACCGCGGGTTTCCTACAACAACAATAACAACAACAACAATTTAGCTACGCAAAACAGACCATAATCAACACCAACTACAAATACAATATTAACTTTTCCACCTCCGATACTTAAAGCCTGCATGTTTCAAAATGTCATGGCTCAAGAGTGTTCGCACATTTCTTCGCGATCTGAGGCGGTTCAAAAGCGCGAGCCCAGATGAGATGCAGCTGGAACAATTACATATAGAGACTTTCGACATCAACGATCAACATACATTCGATAACATCGAGCCTGTGTGGGATATTTTAATGAGCGATAACTGCTTATCAGAGGTATATTGTCTGGAGACCTTACTGCGCGGAGTCAAGGGAGCTCTGTTTTTCTCAGAATGTGTGTCTTCGTTATTAGCGAGTTGGATTACGACCTTGTCACAAGAAGCTTCACATAACTTTCATATTGCTAGGTGAATGTTTTAATCTGTATAGTTTATGTTATGCTGATGCAAAACTTCTAGGAACAAAAAACTTCGAATTGAGAATGATAATTACTCTTCTGGCATCCCCACCTTATTGACCCTATCATCGTCACACAAGACGAAACGTATAATTCCTCTGTTATCGATTGTGATCCGGGAACGAAATCGACCAGAGCATTTACTTAGCTCTGCAGAGCTCTACGTCGCATTCGCTATGGCTGCCATGCACTGTTCACTAGAGGACATCAAAACCATAAATGTGCGTTGATGCAATAAAGAGCTTTGCTATGGGGCTAACCTTTCATAGGTAAGGGTTTTGATAGTATACTCGTATTGGGTGCAAGTCGTTACTGTGACCACAACACCACTATACATTAAGTCAATCATCCAGGGCTCGGAGTGTATCATGGGAAAGATGGCGATACACCGGACCAGATGGTTTAATTTCCTGGACCCTTCTGGTCGGCTGGGAATCCTTCTTTCAGCCTCGGAGGATATCAATTTAGGACTTTCTCCGGAGGATACGAATTTTTACAACAAGAGAAAGCGGCCAAAATCTACATTGGAGCATGTGGAAAAATTGGAGAAATTGAGAAGTAAAAGGCGAAAGTCAAAGATTGCCTGAATGGTAACCAAAAAATAAATCAGCTTTGATGGTTTATCAGTTATTTAATATATCTAAATATTTAATTATCCGTGGAAAGAACCCTCACTTCAACTGCGGGTAACTACATCCCGATCAGTGTGGGAATCTATCAAGAAAGACTGCACAATAATTATTTCCTCAAATACCCTTCCATCTTATGTCTTGTAATGTAGTCAATTTTCCGTCGCGAGATCCTTGAGCATGCATGACCCCTCGGCGCAGGTAGTCGTGCTTGCTTCCTTAGGACCCACACTTTCTTCTTCAGATTCTCTTTGATTGTTGTGACGTGGGTGAGAGATTAATCTTATCTTTGGAGAACTAACTTGTATGATTGCAAAGGCTTCTTTCTCGACTTATGCTGTAAGGGCCAAACTAGTAGTTATGTTTTTGACATGATCAATTTTAAACAGTTTATATTTATTAGAAAAGAAGGAATAGAATATAAATATTGAATATTGAATATCGGAAATAAAAGGTTTAATATCCTTTATCCTTATAATAGTATTACTCTTCTTTACCGAGTACCACTGGTGAATAGTTCTAGACCTTGAATTTGTACAACTTGGAGACTAACTAAAAAAAGTTGACAAGTGTAAAAAATTCTAGATCATTGAGCCAATGAATTTGATAATCTCGCTTCAGTTCATGAATTTAATAATTACTAATTCAATTCATCCGAAATCCGGATCTATTCAATCGAATGAAAAAGAATAAGCAAGTGGGAGCGATCTCAGTAGCCTAGGGCTCTGTATTAAATGTTTATAAATGCTCTACTCTGTATATCCATAGTAATCTGGAGATATATGTAGCTCCATACTCCATCGTACGAAGCATAACCTTATCGTTTATTTGACTTTTCCTTGTGGGGTTCATGGTGATCAAAACTTTGTACAATAATCCTAGTGTGAAGTCTAAAAGGCCAGCCACAGCCATAGCCGACTCTAGAAGCAAGTCTTTCTTTAACCAATCCACATTTGTCACCACGTCTTTTCTCTCGCGATAACTATTAGCATTTACTCAACCTATTTCTTCTCAGCAACCATCTCCATCCAACTCAAACCTATCCTCTCCAGCGCGATGCACATATATTGAATATGCGACGGATACATTGACGAAAATTTCAACCACTCGAGCACCAACGCGGGCTGGAGTTTTCGGCGCCTTGGAGGAAGGACATAAGCTAGTAGAGCTCGCGCGGCAACGTTCCGGAAAACAATTCGACGACTTTTTTGGCCGATACAATACCCTTGATGAATTGGAAATATCTACGGAGGGTAAATCGAAATTGTACGACAGGGAAATAATACCATCGAGGGAATTGTTTGGGAGTGTTCCAAATTGTCCGATTACGAGGGCGGATATTTGGTTCAAATCAACACCTAGACACACTCCTCGATTCCGTGTGCGAGTAAATACACAACGGTCTGGAGATGAGGATTAGCATCAGGTTGCAACTTGGCCTGGTCGTCCTGCTGGCTTCTCTTGTTCCATTGGTTGTGCTTGCTCTAGCTACTTGGTTCAATAATTACAGTTTCACAGTCAACGTCAAAGAGAATGCACTCAGTCTCACCGCATCGCTCAAAGCTGCTTCAGTTGCTTCCGATTTACTCTTGATCCGGGCCACATGTTCAACAATTGTCACTAGAATTCTTATTCAGCAAGCCATTAGGGACTTTTACCAAGAAAAGCCCAATTGGGATGAAGCAAGAGACGATGTTCAAAGTGGTTTAGCTTCTGGTGGACTATCTGCGTTACTTCAAGTCATCATCTTCTCGAGGAATGAGACGGGTTCGGTCAGTGGGATATTGAATGTTACGGCTAATGCATCCGGTAGACTACCTTCCTTCATAGATACAACGTATACTGATCGCGCGGAGGTGCTGCAGATATTCAACTCCCCTATAATAACTCAAAGAATCAGCCCGCTTTTCTAGGCGATGCTGATCAAGGCTACCCACCGAGTTTGTACCCGAATATTTCGTATATTCCAACCACAAGGTCCGACCCAAATGATCCCGGGACGAATTTTACAGACGTATATGCATTTGCCGATTACCCACTCAACAAAAGTGCCGCCCTTCTCCTAGGGCCTCTGCAGATTAACAGTACTTATGCTTTGGTATCATTGACACTGCCCATCCTCGAGAACTCGAACCCCGATTACGTATTAGGTTATATGACTGTAGTAGCAGCTGCAACCTCGCTGATTGATGCTGTTTACTCTCGGGAGGGCTTAGATAACACAGGAATAGTGTTGATAGTGGGCACTAATCGGCGAGAAAACCAGTTTTCATACGCAAAGAGACCAGCCACAGCAACCTACGAGCCCAGCCTCCATAATTTGACGAAAGCGCCTGTCAAATATGTCTTTCCGCCATATCCTCTCGCTGGACAAACCGATAGACATTCGGTCTACAATTCGAACTTGACTAAATACGGAACCTCGAACTTTAGCGAAGGTCAATATCCGGCCATTTTACATGGGTTCGGAGAACGGAACCCGAAAGTCAATAATGCCAGCAGTTATATCACAACCACAAACGAGCAAGGAGCAAAAGTCGCTGTAGGCTGGGCGAGACCACAGAGTGACTTGGTTGATTGGCTTTTGCTAGTAGAACAAGCTCACTCTGAAGCTTGGGAGCCCATCATCAAGCTCAGGAATATCTTACTTGCATGTGTTTTTGGTACATTTGGATTGATTCTCCTTGTGGTGAGTTGACTCATTATTTTCAATGCACTCTTTATACAATTCATCTTTTAGCGACGACTATTGTTTAGAGGCTATTCATTTTCTAGCGAATTAGATGAGTTATTTCCATTCAAAGTTGCTAACAACGACAAGGTTATACCGATGGCTCATTTTAGCGTTCGTCCGATCAGAAGGCTAAGAGATGCCACGAAACAATCCATTCAACCACCTGGCTACACTCCACGTCCAAGTATAGATGACGAGCCATACGGTGACCTAGAAGCCAGCGAGGGCAACTCGAGCGGATCTAAAAAGACGGGATTTTTAGTTCGGTTGCGAAGATTAACACATTCAGGTCGACGCGTGCCGAGGCCAGAAAAATCGGAGGGCGATAGACGAAGAGATTTCAGGATTCCTGGAAAGGTTCCAGAGCGAAGGCATTTGATACACGACGAACTTACTGATTTAACTTCGAAATTTAACGAAATGAGCGATGAGTTGTTGTTACAGTACACGAGTCTCGAATCCAAGGTGGCTGAGCGTACAGAAGAACTCGAACACTCGAAGAAGGCTGCAGAGGCCGCAAATGAAAGCAAGACGTTATTCATTGCCAACATCTCTCACGAGTTGAAAACTCCATTGAACGGCATCTTAGGATTGTGTGCTGTATGCATGGGTGAAGATGATTTGCCAAGCATTAAACGTTCATTAAAGACGGTTTATAAATCTGGCGATCTCTTACTGAATTTGCTGAATGATCTTTTGACTTTCAGTAAGAATCAAATTGGGCAACAATTGAATTTAGAAGAAAAAGAGTTTCGTCTGTCTGATGTCAAAGAGCAAATCAAGAACATATTCCGAAAACAAGTGGACGAAGGCGGCATCAACTTTGGGGTTCACTTTTTGGGTACCGAAAGTACGGATGGATCCGCAATCGAGAACCCAACCGGAAAGCCTTTACCAGCTCTGGGGCCTAATGGTATTGGTAGATTGAAGGACATGTGTTTATGGGGAGATCAACACAGGATTCTTCAAATCATAATCAATTTAGTCAGCAACAGTCTCAAATTCACACCACCAGAGGGTAAAGTGGAAGTCAGAATCAGATGTATGGGTGAAATAGAATCATCACCTGATGGTATCAATAGTCGAAATTCCATGGGTTCGAAGCAGAGCTCACAAAGAAGGAATGTGAGGGGTCGCAATGGCTCCGGCTCGAATGCTTCAGGGCACACTTCAACGTATGTATCCGGACAAATATCACGGACGACATCTGGTGCCAAACCATCCGGTACTGCACTTGTGATCAATCCTATGGACCCAAGAGCTCGTATCCAACTCAACGACAGGTCCGCCACTCCGCCACCTAGTAATTCTAGGACTTTGTGGTTTTCAATAGAAGTTGAGGATACAGGACCTGGCATCCCGGAGCATCTACAGGAGCAAGTATTCGAACCTTTCGTACAGGCTGATCTGGGATTAAACAGGAAATATGGAGGAACAGGTCTAGGGTTGAGTATTTGCTCTCAATTAGCTGGCCTTATGGGAGGTTCTATTTCTCTCGTCAGTACACTTGGGGAAGGTTCTACATTCAATGTTCAAATACCATTGAGATTCATCAAGGAGCGAGCGCCAAGTACTTCCAGTTCAGATGTTATTGGCTCTCGTCCGGCAAGCGTAGTTTCACAACCAGAATTCGATCGTCATACTCCCAAAGGTTCTATTGATGCGTCGACTGCTGTTGGCTCCCCTGGAAAGGGTTCTAGTGGCGTTGGCTATTCCATAGATACTCAACCTCGATTGGTTGGACTAAGACAACCATTTTTTACGTCATCCCCTACACCTCCACCTAACGAGGATAGCGCAAAAACTCAACTTGCTGCACTCGATCGTGCTGCCAAAGAGAAATCGGGCGACAAGAAAATAAGGGTTTTGGTGGCCGAAGACAATCTTGTCAATCAAGAGGTCGTTCTTCGCATGCTTAAACTTGAGGATGTCTATGATGTGGTAATCGCCAAGGATGGTCAAGAGGCATACGACATGGTAAAGCAAAGTATGGAAGAAGGCAAATTCTTCAACTTGATTTTCATGGACATACAAATGCCAAATCTTGATGGACTGCAAAGCACGAGATTAATCAGAGAAATGGGTTATTCTGCTCCGATTGTAGCATTGACTGCCTTCGCCGAAGAGTCTAATGTTAAAGAATGCTATGAGTCGGGAATGGATCATTTCCTAAGGTTCGTTCTCGGTTTACCTACTTTAACTACAGCCAGAAACTAATCATTCTCAGTAAACCCATTCGACGACCAGCTCTCAAGCAAGTTCTTAAGAAGTTTGCCACCATTCCGGAGGAGACCGAAGATTCGTCCCTCACTCGTAAAAGCACACCCGAAAAAGGTCAAACCTCGAAACAAGACACAGGCCCAACATCTACTTCGACATCTACTCCCTCGTCAAGTACCGTTACTGAAATCGTCAAAACCAACGGAACCCCTTCACCACCCTTACCTTCCACCACCACAACGTAACCACGTCACAACATAACAAATATAACTCGTTTAATTTTGCATTCTAATCATCTTTGTATTTTCATCAGGATACCCCGCTCACTATACACGAGTAAGCATTTTAATATTTATCGCGCGTGATTCAAGTGACACGAATTTTCTTTATCCAGCTAAACCCTCGAAAATTGTATCTCGAGGGAAACGATTGGTTTTAGGCACATCAATCATTGATTAAAAATATTTTATCATGGCGTTTGGAGCGAACACGGGAAGACCAATGAGACGATTTGATACAAAAGTTCACTGGGCGTGGTTTGGTATGATTGCTTGGCCTTTTATTTTTATTTAAAGTTTTTATTTGCGAAACAGTCGGAGAACATTTCATTTCAGATGGCTGGGTGTGGAATTGAGTGGAATTTGGATTTGGAAGTTCGAATAGCGGCATCACAGAATAATGAAGGATGGAAGATGATAGGAGATAGTGGGCAGTTGGGTGAATGGATGGATGATGGATGATGGGTACGTGGAGTAAATGGAGGGGTTTGATTTGGATAGGATCTAAGAAATGATACGGCAATTGATGTTATGAAAGTATACGCGAAGTTGAAAAGTGCATAACCGAAGATTAGCTTAGCATGGGAGGAAGATTGGATGAGGATTTTGATGTATAGAAACAATGGCATCGATTTCTCACTCATGTTTTTTTCTGTCGTACAGTTTTTGGATGGATGGATGCGTGAGGCAAGGCAAAGCAATGCGTGAATTGTTAGGGAGTATATGGACGCGTGTATGAAGGAGCGTGTTGCGCGCGAAAAGAACAACGAATGCATTATTAAACAAAGGAGAATAATATGAGTAATTAACGCGTGTGTATGTGTTATTGTCAAATCTTGATCTTGAATCTTAATTTGGCTTGGATACTAGGTAATTGATGTGAATGTGAATGTGGGTTTAGATGTAGATTTGAACTTTTAAAGTAGAATTATATTTCTTATTCACGAACTTATATATCTTTGGGTTTATTTAGAATTATAAAATGGATGCCGTGGTTAAATTTACTACTCCGTGGACAATCCAAAATACAACGAAATATATCATGATTAGTATGTAAAGTATATAAAACAGACAAGATAGTTATGATAATATGATATGATATGATATCAAGATACTGAGTAAGGTTAAAGTTCAAAACAAGCGCGTATCTTTCGCGTTTATCCCACGCGTTGTTTTAAGGTTCATCTTAGCTCATCCGATTAAACTTTCCGTGGAAAGGTGCATAGAAGGTGTATGCGTGCATGGAAAGAAGACGTTTAACATTCAATCCCATCCAATTCGATCCAATTTAATGCAACAGCCCCTTTATTCTCGTCTACCAACCACAACTCATATCGCATCTCCGCAGGAAACCCGGCAAAGCTATACAAACTCACTCCGTACTCCGTAGCTAGTGAAACCTTCAAACTCTGTACCTCCACCTCCACTTCCATCTCCTAAAGCCTCCCTTCCAATCCAATCACTACAGAGTATTCTTGAAACATTTCACCCCGTAAGAATTTTCATATCGTGCATACCCCTCTCGCCAAGATCCCCCCATATCCATACACATTAGTCCCCTTTAATTTTCCATCCTGCATACACATAACATAACATACATACACACATATACATACAAAGTCTCATCCCATCCACTCACCGCGGCTATCGCCGCCTCACACATATACATAATTCGCGACAATTTCGCGTTTACTGTCGCGCCGACGAATTAGACACGTCGATAAGGTTACTTGATACCTGCACAGTTCCTCGGATGTAGGATGTTGTGCATCGATTCCAGGATGAGATGTGAGTCAGAGCTTAGTGGTATTTTGTATGCGGGATTTTGGGGACGGGAAGGATGTGAAGGACATGAAGGATATTTGGTTGGCTGGGGAGGGGGGGTTTTGTATGGATTAGGTGGAGTATTTGGAGTATATAGAGGAGGGGAGGGACTGAGGTTGTTTCTTTTTGTTTTGTAAATTTTTGGTTTCATTTGAGTTTGGGATTTGTGATTGAATTTTTTGGAGGTGGTAAGGTTAAGGTTACACTATTTATTCAATTGTGGTTGATGACGACGAGGGATCTTTGTTATTGACATTGTCATTTTCACCGTCATTGTGATTGAGAGAGATTACATACTTGGGAGAGTATTTGGAGTCAGTTGGACTTCCCGTCTCAATTGATCTTTCAAATACCAAATCATCATTTATAACCCACTTCAAAGGATTACCGACGACATCTAAGTATCAACATCAAGCAGGACTTGACCTATTACTCCTTTAATCCCTTACTTCCCCTAACGATATGCGCAAGTTATGGCCACCACTAGCAGAACAGTCAACCGCCTCTGGCGATCCCACAGCATCCTCAGCAATATTCTCGCCCACCTAGACACCTCCTCGCAATGCTCCCTCCGCCTTGTATCCAAGGAAGTCTGCACTTCAATAACCAGTGACGTCTTTCTCCGAACCCGTGTAACTTTTACTCCCACTTCACTCACCCGTCCTTCTCGTCTGGAAGCTCTCTCTCGAATCGGAAAATATATCCAACACCTCGTATTCTACATGCCGCACACCAATGCTACATTTTTGCCTCCTCTATTAAGCCCCATCACTGGTCAGGAGATTAACTTTTTGTATACTCCTCATACCAGCATGGCTTCTCACGATGAAAGACCCAGTAATCGACGTCCGAAATATGGATGTCCAGAACTAGGTGAGATATTAACGCAACAATATCCACCACTTTTCCACGCCGCAACAAATATCCCCGCGTTTATTAAAGCGCTATCTCACACACCCAATCTACGTCATTTGACAATCTCATGTCCAAATCAAGATCCGGCACAGAGATATAGGAGAGACATTGTGGATTATGCACTTATAAGCTTACGCATTGCTATTGAGCGAGCACCGTTACTGAAGTTGGAGAAATTGTCTATTCACATTCATCCATCTGGACTTCAATATTTGCGCCACATGCCTGGATTCGGATGCACGCCATCTGCAGGACGACGATGGAGACAAATACGAAAACTCAGTATCACGATGGATTCCTGGGATTTCCACAGTTTATTACCTGGTCGCGATCATCTGAAGATTCTTGATGATTATATCCGAAACTTCGCGTCGCATTTGGAGAAAGTGAGTTTTGGATGGCATGGAAGGAAAGGTCCTTGCCCATTCTCTTTATCTAGAGATCCACTATTCGCACCTCCAAGAAAGACGGTGAAGTTATTTGGAGAAGTGACTTCCCCAATGTCGCCATTACCAGCTGTCCCTCCAAGGTCACCGATGGTATTTCCAAAATTGCGATATATGCAAGTGAGGAATGCTACCATGTCGGAACAGCAAGTCGCAGATTTTGTCTATGAACATCGTCATACGGTGAAAGAATTCGATTTCGAGAATACGTCATTGATTAATGGTGGGACTTGGGAACGGGCACTGGCACCTCTGACGTCCAGGAGTAGTTCAGGAACTGAAGAATGGCTGTCTCAGCCGAGTGGATCTGATGTTGAAAGTTTGCAATATCAAAGTGGAAGTGATTTATATGACATTGAGGAGGCGCCTGAGGTTATTGATACTTTGTCTGGGGTAATGTTGGCTGATATGAAGGAGTCGTCGATGACTGGTACAAAGCTTAAGAAAAAGAGGTCACATCATCGTAGACGAAGACGCAAGCATAAGCAAAAGGAGAAGGGAAGGAATGAGGACGATAATTATCCTGACGAAGAGATAAAGCTAAAGGATTCAGCTCCAATACCAATAGCTGCGCCTTCAGTTGAGTTGTTACAGCCAATGACTTTCAACCCCAACATACAAGGTGTTCAGCGTAACTTTGAGAAGGAGGATGCCCAACAGGAATTGATTGACGATCCTGAAAAGAGGGTGATTGCTTTGAAGAAGGCAAGAAAAGCTGTTTTGAAGCAACTTGGCAAAGAATTTTGCAGGACTCAAGATATAAAAGGAGGGAAATTGACAGCCTGGCCCAAGCCTTTGCAATTAGGAGCTTCGTGCTCATCGCCAAAGAAGTCCATAGGATTTTTCGGTCATGACAGTAGTACCGCATTGGTACCTTTGATGTTTAGTCGGTACTAGCCAAGGGGCCGGGTTTGGCACTTTATGATTACCTTGACATGATTTTTAATGAATAATGAATTATGATATCACTCCCAAAACTCATGTCCATATTGTGATTGCTGCTATTGAAATCGCCATTTTTTTTTATGAGCGACGGTAGAGGTGTACCTGGTACCGCATGTTTTCCAATGGAATCGGGTATCGAAGGGTTTCAGGCAATCTAAACCACTGAGAGTCCTCGGAATGGATTTTCACCCAGTCAGGAATGCTCTCTTTTCCCCTAGACTTTTGTGTTTCGATCAGAAAATGGTCAAGCAGAAACTTCATTGGATATTTCTTCTCTTCCGTTCCAACTTTGGTCTCTGAATATGACCCCGGGCTATCCACAACTAGGAGAAGCGATCCTGTTGAAAGAACCGACGTAATATTCAGCAAGAAAGCAGTCGTCTTGCTAATCGATGCAGTGTACAGTTCATTCAAGGTAAAGAATAAAGTAGCAAGAACTGGCTTTTTGCCAAATAGATTACCAAGATCGGTTTTACTCATTGCTAATACATCATGTTCCAAGAACTTTGTCGTGAAATCCTCGGGCTTAACAAGAGCCGAGTTTGCTTCTCTGGCAGTTGCGCTCGCATACTTAGATATTGGCGGAGGAGTTGTGATGCTGGTGTGGAGTTTGTTAACAACATTTGCCCAAGATGCTGTATCGATGAGTAGCAACTCGATATTATTATTGACGTCGGATAAAGTGAGAGAAGCCATTGCTTCATCGGTGGTGTGTGAGGCCGTTTCCGTGATTGAAGTTTTGAATCCATGCTTTAAAAAGCCTCCAAATGCGATGACTTCTGCTGCTCCTCCACCAAAGGAGACAACTCTTGATTTTGACCTAGAAGAAGTCGTGGATGGAGTGTCGTACGCTACCTCGGATTCGACTCCCGTCTGAGCGCTCCCGTCACGTGGCATAATTTCCCCAAGATGTTCTTGAAGATCCAAAAGAATCGAAGCATAACATAATGATCTGCTAGGTGACCATCTTGCAGAATAGACTTCGAGATATTCTTCCTTTCCAAACGCGCGACTAAAGTCTCTATCGTATAAAGCTCCTTTAACATCCTGCAGCAGCTGATGAAACTCATCAGAATTGATGTCATCTGAATATGTGTCTCTGAAAACATTCAATAGGAGTTGCTGTGATTTCACAGGGAGAAGAGATTCTTTAGGTACATCTTTCTCCTCTCCTGGCTTTGCCCTCTTGGGTTTTGCTTCGGCTTTTTTGGTAAATCCTGGACCTTTCCATCCTGGACGTCCAGCATGGTCTTTACCAACCACTTTACCATAGTCCTTGCCAAATTTTCCGTTTTTACCCATGATGAAAGATGATATTCAAATTTTTTGGTTGAATATAAAGTGCTATTCGATTTGTTGGTGGAGTTGAAAAGAAATCTTCTGCAGTGGGAGAGATTCTTTTCGCTTGAGAATTTTACACTAGCGCGAGTTGAATATCCCCAGATTTTAATTATATTTAAATAGAAACTTATTACATTCATATTTATTTAGGAAACATTTGGTTTTTCACCTGATAGGGCTAAGTAAAGACATTGCGAAATTCCACAATTATGTTTCGATGTGGAATTTTGTTATTCGTTCATCTCATTCCCCTCTAGCAAGAAAATAAGAAAATGTCCCCGGTGAGCTTGTTAATATCGCAAGCAGTTTCACTCAAAATGACTCTTTTCAATGTTACCATTCACGTTTAACAACCAAACTTGTTTCCAGGGCTATTAATAGATATCAATATATTACGTTCTGTTAATGGTTCAGATCTTTTTCAAGGCGAGATTTATCGTGGTGACGAATAATTACATGCCATGGTGATTGAGACAGCTCCCATTTGGTGGTGTTGATTTTGCGAGTGAGAGCTAAAACTGCTAATCAATCCTTCTTTTCCAAACTTAAATTCCACCTTTAAACACCAACTTCACCTTACATAACCCTCAATGATAATTATATAGAAACTGCCAGTATGCCTGGCCTCGTTCGAAAGCTTCTTATCTTTGCCGCCATCGATGGCTTGATTCTGCAACCAACGGCGCAAAAAGGCCAGCGCCCCGCTCCCGCAACGAAGATCACGTATAAAGATAAGCATGTCGGGCCAGCATCGTATGATTCTCACGATGCTGAGGGGTCGTCTGCCAAAGGTTTTGAAGCATTCGGGATTGTCGGTATGCATTTGTGACATTGATAGTGCCCCAATTGTCTGACATCTTTAGGTCTCCTGACGGTTTCTAAAAGCTCCTTCCTAATATCGATTACGAAAAGGGAACAAGTCGCACAAATACAAGGAAAACCTATATATGTTATTACTGAAGTAGCTTTGACCCCTCTAGCTTCCAGAATAGAAGCGGAGAACTCGATTAACAACACAAGAGCGGGGTTGTTGAAGAGTAGTATTGAAGGTCATGGATTGGACGACAGTGATAGCGAGGATGACGAAGTGAATGTTAGTGACGAAGTGGAGGACGACACAGCGACAGAATCACATACAAGAACGAGCAGTGTGGCGGAAGATGTAATCTCGAAGAAGGGAGGGTATGGAAGATTTGCTCAAAAATGGTTCTCGAAGAAAGGATGGGCTGTGGACCAGAAGAGAAACCTGGGAATGAGCGCTGAACCGTATGCTACACGAGAGCAAGATGCCAGGTCTGTCGACGTAGCAGCTGCCATTTCAAAGGATGCTGAAGTGGAACCTGAGGTCTTGATTTCCGATAAGGTCAGGGACATTGAAGATGTTGGAAAGTCTGACAAGGTTAAGAACGTTCAGGATATTGCTGAGAGCATGCTGCCAAAGTTATTGCGCACGACACAAATATTGTTTGGAACCTCCCGGAGCTACTATTTTTCTTACGATCATGATATCACAAGAAGTTTGGCCAATAAAAGGAACACAAACTCTGAATTGCCATTGCATAAGGAAGTCGATCCACTCTTCTTCTGGAACCGACACCTTCTGTTGCCCTTTATTAATGCTGGGCAAGCTTCATTTGCCTTACCTCTTATGCAGGGCTTCGTAGGACAACGAGCATTTGTAATGGATAGCAATCCACCAAAGCCTGTTGTAAATTCGGACACTGAGAGGACTTCCATGGAACTGAATGAGATCACGACAGATAGTTCCGATGAACAAATCTCCACAGCACGTGTTAGTACAGATAAGCCATATCTATTGACATTAGTGTCTAGAAGGTCGGTTAAGCGTGCCGGACTTAGATATCTTCGTCGAGGTGTGGATGAGGATGGCAACACCGCCAATGGTGTGGAGACGGAACAAATTTTATCGGATTCTACTTGGGCTCCTTCAAGTAAGATCCATTCATTCGTCCAGATTCGTGGCAGCATTCCACTCTTCTTCTCCCAGTCACCCTACTCTTTTAAACCCGTGCCACAGGTTCATCATTCTACCGAAACAAATTATGAAGCTTTTAAGAAGCATTTTGATAATATAACTGATCGTTACGGGGCCATCCAAGTAGCTTCGTTGGTGGAGAAACATGGACCTGAGGCAATACTTGGTGGAGAGTACGAGAAGTTGATGACTCTGCTCAACGTGTCCCGAGCTGGCGAGCATAAAAAGTCTATTGGGTTTGAGTGGTTTGATTTTCACGCCATATGTAAAGGCATGAAATTTCAGAATGTCAGCCTTCTTATGGATATTTTGGGGGAAAAGCTTGACTCGTTCTCAGATACTTCAGAAGTCGATGGGAAGCTTGTGTCGAAGCAAACTGGTGTTCTGAGGACTAATTGTATGGATTGCTTGGACCGAACAAATGTTGTCCAAAGTGCAGTGGCAAAACGAGCACTTGAAATGCAGTTAAAGGATGAGGGGCTAGACATTACTCTACAAGTCGACCAAACTCAACAATGGTTCAACACTTTGTGGGCTGATAATGGCGATGCTATCTCTAAGCAATATGCCTCTACAGCAGCATTGAAGGGAGACTTCACTCGTACTAGAAAGCGGGATTACAAGGGTGCTTTGACAGACATGGGACTTTCTATCTCTAGATTCTACAGCGGGTCAGTTAGCCTTCCTGAACGCGGATTTCTATAAGCTAACCAATTTTAGTATTGTAAATGATTACTTCAGTCAAGCGGCCATTGATTTCCTGCTTGGAAATGTAAGCTACCTTGTTTTTGAGGACTTTGAAGCAAATATGATGAGTGGCGATCCTGGCATCTCTATGCAAAAGATGAGACAACAGGCTATTGATGTATCTCAGAAACTCGTCGTTGCGGATGATGGTGAAGAATTTATAGGAGGCTGGACATTTCTCACCCCACAAGTACCAAACACGATCAAATCTAGCCCTTTTGAGGAATCTGTACTCTTGTTGACAGATGCGGCCTTATATATGTGCCATTTTGACTGGAATATCGAGAAAGTATCATCATTCGTGAGAGTGGGCTTGAATCAAGTGGTCGGCCTTAAGTTTGGAACATACATCACAAGCACATTGTCACAGGCTCAGGCAGACGAGAAGAGGAATGTTGGCATTGTAGTCACATATAGGGCGGGTTCAAACGAAATTATTCGTGTGAACACGAGATCTATGGCTACTGAATTTCCGTCCTCGAAATTGTCTCTAGAAGACAAAACATCGACAACGGCGTCTGCATCTAGCACTAACTCTGTTGTTGCTCCAATCGCTGCCGGTTTCGCAAATTTGATTTCAGGTCTACAGAATCAAACCGCGCCAGAACCTAAAGATGCCATGAAGGTTCTCGCATTCAAGGCTCTGCCCTCCAGATCAGCGGTATCAAATGAAGGAGTGAGCGAGTTTGAGCAAGTGAAGAGTGTTTGTTCAGAGATTAGAAGAATGGTTGAGACTGCAACTTTAAGGGAGGCTGGGGGTGAGAGACAAAACATCGTAGAGGAGGGTACTATCATTAGCTTGGCCGAGGCCAAGAAGAACACGGGACTATTCGATATGCTGGGGCACCAAGTAAAGAAACTGGTATGGGCTTAATAGTGGATGTATCAACACACGGGAATAACTTTTGGAGAAGGGAAAGGATACATTTTGAGAGACTTGGAATGGAATTTGGGACGTGGTAGGGAGGTTAGCAATATCCAAAACGGGTTTTATTATGAATATCCACGTTGAGGGCTCGAACATCTTAACTTCAGCATCGAAATGAATGTGTAAATAGACACAAGTATGTGGTATTGGCTGGACAAATACGGAATATTTAATGAGGAATCTGTAGAAGCCGCTAACGAAGAAATTATATACATAGGAGTTTAATTTTACTCTAAGAAAAACTCGCTTTGACACAAGGTCCAAGAAAATCCACGTCTCATCAACAACATCTTTGCCCATGATACCCAGACACCAAGATAGCTGCTTGATATAAAATTGGATCTGCAGCAATGATTTAACATGGAACTAATCAGAATGTGTATTAGCACCGGGTCCAGAGCCCGATGAAGAAATGTTGAACCCCACCACGGCGGGAGCTTCCAGCACACATCAAAATCGAAATATTTCTTTCCATCGCTCCGAATTTCTCTTATCTCCACTCCATTCTCACCCAAACCTCCAACCAGAGCAGCAATTGAGAAGTCGATAGATCTCAGTTGCGACAATATCTCCAGAAGACCATAAGATCTGCTAGCACGCTCTTCCATTGCTTCACAGGGATTATGGCACAAGCAGGGGATCAAAGTTTTGGTGCTCACGACCCCACTATAGCTACACATGAGCGTCGGCTTGATGGGAAAAGTTTGAATGCAAATGAATTTTATGCCGATGAGTCTGGGAGGACTTCTGATGAAGAGGATGTTAGTATTGACAGAGTTGAGAAGGTTTATAGGTATTGATGAACTCCGATCTTGACAATCGTGGTGATTTTTTGGATATATAATATATACTTACATCAAATCATAGGAAAATCGATCGCCGCATTATTCCAGGTAATTCCTATTTTTTTATATCATAATATAAGAATCAAATTAACACGTACCTAGCATTTTGGGTCTTATACTTCCTCTGTTCCGCCATTCGATCCAATGTCGGTCTCGCTCAAACTATGAATGCGTCATCTGGTCATGATCTTTCCCAAGTTTTACACTTGACGGCTAAGCAAACTTCCACGGCTTTGGCTTTATTTTATGTTGCCTATGTAGTTTTTGATTTACCTTCGAACTTGGTCATGACGAAACTGAGTCCTAGAGTTTGGATGAGTAGAATTGTGCTCGCTGTAGGTATTATCGGGGCTTGTTTTGCAGCAGTTAAGGCGGCTTGGAGTTTAATGTGAGTTGTAATGATTACTCCAATTATTATTTTAGTTTTACACTAATGATATAAAGGCTCCTTCGTTTTCTCCTCGGTGTAGTAACTGCCGGAATGTGGCCCGGAATGGCTTACTATCTTACTCTGTTCTATCCGCCCTCAAGAACTGGCAAACGTATCGGCATGTATTTCACAGCATCTCAGCTTTCCGCTGCTGTTGTAGGTCTTGTCTCTGCTGGATTCCAGAAAATGGATGGAACTCAGGGACTCGTTGGATTTCAATGGATGTTCTTGTTGTATGGACTTTGTGCTATTGTGCTTGGTATTGGACTTCTTTGGTGGTTACCAGATCGTCCTCTTCCTCCTGGAACAGAGCGAGCTCCTACAGGCCTTGCGAAATGGCTTCCTGCTACTCCGCCAGTGTTGACGGGTGAAGATGCTGAGATTCACTATCAGGATCTGAGAAGAGTTTATCATCCAAGATCATGGGGTTGGAAAGATCTTGCATATGTCTTGATCGATTGGCGTCTTTGGCCTCTTACTTTGATGTATTTCGGTGTCGTTGGTGTTGGTATTGGTACACAACTCTACGCTACTGTCATTATATCAGGTATCGATTCCTCGTTCTCGGGTATCACACTCAGCTTGCTCACTGCACCAATCTGGATTGTAAGTACCTTAAAGCTATGATATGAGATGACAGGCTAACAAATTACAGATGGACTTGATCGCCATTCTCATGGTAACTCCAATATCCGACCGCTTCCATAAGTACCGAGCTTTCTTCTTCTCCGCCGCAGTACTCATTCAAATCGCCGGTCTCCTCACCACCACCTTTGCTCCCGTCTCTCACCCATGGGCACGCTACGGTGGTCTCCTTATGGTCGGATATGGACTTGGCCCAACCGTCCCCATCTGCATGACATGGACCAACGAAATATTCCAACACCGTCACGGAGAGGTCGGCGTAGCCGCCGCATCAGCCCTAGTATCCGGTCTCGGTAATCTAGGGAGTATCACAACCACCTACGCACTGTATACCGGATGGCCCGAAGACGCCAAAGCAGGACCTCATCGCTACCGCAAGAGTAATCTCGTTATGATTGGTATCCTCTGCTTGAGTATCCTAAGCAGCATGATCATGACTGTTCTTCTCAAAATCTTTGGTAATCCACGCAGTACCAAGATTCAAAGTAGCGACAGCTCGGCTAGCGGGGAATTCCAAGATGGTGCTGCGAAGCGTGAGCAGCGACAACGTGGATTCGCTAAGATGTGGTGGAGAAAGTAGTTTTCGCCTTTGTTCTACTATATGGTGACGCTGTCATTGAAAAAATAGTTTAGGATGTTCAACAGCTCAGATCATCCTAGACTATTCTCCTTCACGTTGGTAGCCCGACCTTCGACTCACACGCCATACACACATCTATTCGACCTCACTTCACTCCCACAATTTCACGTCTTCACCACACCTCTCATTCTACTCCCGCTCCCGCCGCCCAAGCGTCGGTACCCTCATCCCATCATCCTTTCTTCCCTCCATCTTGTCATCCACATCCATTCATTTCACTTCACTTCGATTTTCATTTCACTTACAATTTCAATTTTCAATTTTCACATCCAATTTTCAGCAAACGAACAAACGAACGAAACAATAGATACCCCATTTTCAGCATCTTTTACGCATCATGCATCCATCACATCACATAACAACACATTGCAACAACCACAAGTCTTTTCTGTCAAAGGAAGAGAAAACAAAAAAAAACAATGGAAGTGCCGCTGCGCCACCATTGGGATGCATAGGCGTATCAGGAGCTAAAAGAGAGTCACAATACCACGAAAATGTTTTGCGCTATCGTGGGTTGTTTTCTCAGGGGGGAATTTTTGAGTTTTATTTTTTATTTTTATTTTCAGGGGGGTTTTTCGGTTCTTGGTGGAAGGGAAGAGAACGTAGTAGATACACATTTACAGATACCTAATCGGATCTGTAGAACTAACCACCTTATGTATAGCTAGCTATAAAGAAATCTAGAAAGGTATATATATATATATATATGTATTTACATATATATAGAGTATTTACATTTCCATTTACATGCACACAAGATTTCACAAGAATATATATCTAAATATCTACCGTACAACAACAGTACCTCCCTCCCTACCACCTCCCTCACAAATCCCTCCACACACTTCATCCCCACCCCTAAAACATAACCCATCCACTCGCATAAATCACCTCACCATCCCAAAGCAGACTAAAATCGGCACCAATCATAACCAAATCCACATCCACATCCATCCTACTCTATCGTCTTGCCCTACCCTACCCTAGGACCTAGCTAGACTTGCGGTTAATTAATTATTGCGCAATCGATCGATACCTATCCAAGATTATAATTTATCATGAGTCATGAGTTAGTCAGAAGAAAAAAGATGTAATGTTCCTGTCGGTATATCATGTGATTACCGTACAAGAAATCGACCGTACAACAAGCGGGCTCTGGCCCTTCCCTTTTGAATGTAAATAGGTCTCCATATTACATAGTTATTAATGACAACCAAGAATCAACACATACAATAATAGTACTATGCAAGTAGTATCACCGGAGTGATACCAACAATTTCGATCAGATATCGAGAGATAGTATTATACTGTCATACTATGATCTATTCCTCCAACACATCATATACAGAGCTAGGTTTCACTAGGATATCCAAAAGTACCTATACAACAAAGGCCAGTTCGTTCCGAGTATTATATTCTCGATCATTTCAAAAATAATCTTCACATTCGGAAATCCCAGAGAAAACTTTGATTCATATTACTCCATTATTAGAGTATTATAGTGAAGAATTAATCATATCATACCATGCTTACGCAAAAGCATACCGCACACGCATAATCGATCACCCATCCAAACATCATGCATGCGCAACGCCATTGATATCCATCCCATGAGCTACCTAGCCAAAGGAAAGAAAACTATAGGTATAACGCCAGCCAACCCAGTACGCTCTCACCGAACCGAACCGTAGCCAAACGCCATTCCAAATAGTTCATCACGTCATCCACCCCATAGTTCCTACAGGTCGCCCACCGAAAACCCAAAAGTACAAACAAGAAAGCAGAAATAAGAAAAATTAACAGGTTGGTATTTTGTTCACGAAAGAAAAAGAAGAAAAAGGGAATAGAAAGAAAAGTCGCTGCACCATTACTTTCACAAATACGCCAGCCAACTTGCTTGACAAACCAGAAAATGCAGAGAGGCTTCAAAGAAAAAGTCGTTCAGCAATCAATATCCATCGACGCAGCAATATCTTCACTAACACCACGTATAGGAGCCTTGTAATTCTGGTCATCGAATTCATCGTCGACTTCTTCATCATAGCCATCGTAGTATTCTTCTTCAGGATCGACTTGGTCACCCTCATCCCACATGTTAACATCAGTGTCATCATCTCCATCTTGATCAATCGCAAGATCAGCACGGTCACCTAGCCAGTATCTAGCACGTTTATTTGCGCCGGAATCATAATCATTGAAGTTGGCTTCTTGGTTCATCATACCCTGAGCTTGACTTGGACTATGGCTCATGACTGGGACAGCTCGAACGTACAGATACGCGACTCTTTTTCTTTCTTTGTTAAAGAAGAAGTAGTTGAGGCTCCAAATAGATCCCAATTCACCATCAAATGGTTCATCAGGAGGGGCCCAAGAGTAGACTGTACAGTCTTTGAGTGTCATCTCCGTATCAATCAAAGCCCACATCTGAGGACTCCAAGCTTGACTTGTAGCTCCAGCAGATGAAGTCGTCTTGTATGATGTCTGCGATGGGACATGAAGTGTCATACCCGAACTTGGTCTAAGATTATAGAGGGTAGAATCGATGGTATTGATGACAGTCTTCAAGCTTCGTTCTTTGTGGAAATCGGCAGGTCTAAGAGTATGTGAGAAGTCGTAGTCAGGATGACTTGCATTAAGTGTTGCAATAAGATATGCAAAAGTCCTGCGACTCGATACCTGGCTCAAAGGTCCAAAAGGACTTGAACGAGAGAGGTTTACGCCGGCTTCGTTTGGATCAAGAGGAGGTGATACCGAAGCCGATAGTTTGAGAAGAGATTCATATTGGGATTCTAGTGAGTTCTCAATATTGCGGTATAGTTTCTTATCCGAGCCAGCGGCTTTGGTTGTATAAAGATCACAACCACCAATGACGTGGCAATCGGGTGTGTTGAAATTCAACGCACTGGTGATACTGTCGAAGTCGCGCAAAGGAAGGAACTTCATTTTGTTAAGTGTTGGAATGAATTCGATTTAGATATGTTCTTATCGTGGATAACGATGCGAACTAATTGGAGAAAAGGGGTAATGACGTTGCGCGCGTGTTTGAAGGAAGTGAGAAGTATGTGGCTACGGAGCCCGAGTATTCTGTGGAGATAGACAACCTTTCGGTGACTCTTCAGACTCGTTGAACTGAAAACCAGGTACTTAAGACCTCATGTATTTATGGAGAATATGTATTGTGTAGATTGTTGATGAATCGTTATGTTGATGGTGAAGTATGTACCAGACGTGGCTCTCGCTATCTCTTTGTTCCGTTATCGGTGTGTTTGGAGAACCTGCGTGAACTGAGAAAGCAAGATTGATACTTCCTGCGCTGGATGCGGAGGTTATAACAAGAATGTTCTCAAGCTAGACTGAATGTCTAGCAGGCAAGTGGCATTTTAATTAATAAATGTGAATGTGGTTGAGTTGCGTGGTGTTGTTCTTACCAAAAGAAGGGGAATGGAGGTGAGCGGATGATGAAGGGTGTGGAGACACCCGCTTGATCTTGATAACCTTGATTGCGACCGGAATGATTAATGCGCTAGTCTAAATGTGTATTAGTTTCTTGACAAACGATGTGGCACAAGTGGATCCTCAGGTTGGAATCTAAGGGTTCCGGGGAGATCAACAACTTCAAACGTCTTGCAACCAATAAATGTTTCTCGTGTTTGAAGAATAGATTAATACAAGCTCCTCTAAAGTTTGTTACAGATCAAACTTTGAAGCATCGAATTATCGTGAATCACGTTTTGAAATTATCATCAAATTATACTCTGTGTCTCCTCAAATCCATCTTCAAGAATAGAGCACGTTTGCGGCTTGGATATCACGTAACCAGTGTTCTCCTCGAACACCAGGATGTCTAAAGCATGTTTAGGATGACAGGGTACGCAGACTGTGAATATCAGTACACCTTACAACAATGGGTAGTCCGGAAGATATGAATGGCTCCTAATGTAGGTATTTCCAGTGATTGATTATAAATATCATCGTAAACGTGGATCCTGATCTGGCTCAAGAGCCAGGTGTTAAAAGTAAGTTAAAGGGGGAAAACGGGATCATGTCAGCAGGAATCAGTGCAGTAACTTATAAGTGGGTATTCAGCATACTGCATACATGATGTCAAAGATAGAAATCATCCATCAATTAATCGTATCATTTCATAACTCAAACTTATACAAACGCCTTTTCATACTTCAAACTCGGATTTGATTTGTAAACCGTACCCGACCTTAAATTCCTTGTGGGTATCTTACCATCCATAAAAACACCCTGTGTGAGAACGCCAGTACCATTCATCCGAATCTGCAAACTCATGTCGGCAGTCGTGAAAGAGCATCAAGCGAGACCAATCTCCCTAAGTCCACTGATTACCTCTTCTTGAGCCTAGAGAAAACGAACCAGCACCTAGTTAGCAAACAAACCCGTCACAAGAAATTTTGCACAGCGCTTGAAATTTTCTTGAAGGCGGTATGTGATATTCTCGCGCCAGACTCCATCCGCCCATATATATTTCTGTAATACATGTATAAAAGCACCGATTCACATAAGCTTGGTAATCTCTTCGTCGACCTGGAGTTGCGGAATTTCGATCAGCATGAAAGAAATTCGAGTTGAAATGGTGTTCCCCAGACATGGGGAAATGGTACCATGCCTAGAATAACCACTACGACCCGAAGTAATGTTCACCACTCACCTCTGTATCCTCTATTGAGTCTTGTGCTGATATCACCCTGAGCACATTCTTCTTACTACTCTCCTGCATTTCCCCAGCTAGCAATAACTCATCCAATATGAAGTATGCCTTTTGAAAGTTGAAGATAATATCCTGAGGCCATATCAGTATAAAATGACAGATTTCACCTCGCGGGATTCGAATTACCAGCTCGCAAACATTTCCATAGTATTTGTCCATTTGCTCGACATAGCGGTGAACAATTTCCAAAGTAATGAGCTCATTATCCCTTGAGGCACATCCGGCGATAAAGAAGAGAGAGGCGTATCGTCGATAAACTATTTTGGAATCTGCCATCAATGCAGTCAGCATGAAGCTCGAGATATACTTTTACTGGAGCAATCTGACCCTTGTACTCCAAGAAGTTGCACATCCTCGTTCTTCGTGCCAGCACAAGTTGAGAGACATCTTTAATAATCTTGGCCTTCTCTTTTGGCGATAATGTTGTGAACCACTTTGCGAGTCTCTTTATGGAGTCAGTGTATGTTCGAGCTTATTCTTATTGTTCATAAAGGAGAAGCACATACAACTTTACCCTGCCGCGACAGCAAGATGAGATAGCTGTAAAATGTTAGTCGAAATCAATTGTGTTTCATTTAATTCCCTTGAATATATACATACTGAATGGCCATGTTGATTGTCTTTTGAGAATGATTGATAGATATCTCAGCCTTGAGGGTGTCGTGTCTAGGCAGAAGAAGGAGCCTTGTGTCAGACAGGTTGCATGGGTTGTAAATAAAGTTCTAAGAAACCCTGCGCTTTCAAATCTCCAGCCAGCTTACAAAGATATGATGGATGGAGGGGCAGATAACATGCAGATTAGTGATCCATCTACCAGTAATTCCAAACGCTTGTGACAGCATTGATAGAATTATATAATTTTCCTTTTTATCCTTTATTTTCTTGGACATTTCTTCGGTCCTATTCACTTTCCATCCCTAGACCTTTTAGATTTCTTCTCTCTGCACTTGCCTATTGTATCTCTGTATCATTCGATATATATCTATATTTCGCCTGTATCCATCCTAATTTTTACACCATCCATTCCGCATCCCACTTTACCATCAATCTTAGTATCGAAAAAAGAAATAAAAAATGACGAGACTAATACTTTCCACCTCGTATGATTTCTTTCGATCCATCACTCAGGGAGCAATTGACTGACCGACTTCACAGAAATGTTATGATCGGAGGTCCTTCCATCATCCGAAAACCTGGCGCAGATGGATCAAATCTCGAACTAACAAATTCCCTTCGAAGCAATTTCGTCGCTGCGCAACAAGATTATTCACCCACTTCCTCATATGCAAATGGAGTCAATGGACATGAGGAATCCGATGAAGAAAATGGCGGTTCAAGTCGACCTCCAGTTTCCATTTGGACAACAAGACAAGACAACGACTTTTACATTCCGACCATAGACTGGTCTTTATCTGGACTCACAGAAGAGCCCAAAAATTACGAAATCACTGTTAAATTATTCTATTTGGCAAGCGCCGATGTAGAATCCAGATCAAAATACACAAAAGATGCTCTAAATTTGGTAATGAAAGAATTGGGTGTCGACTCAATTGATCTCCTAATTGTTTCATTTCCCGGAATGTCCTTCGAGGGCGACTGTGAATGGGAAGCAGACAAAAAGAATTCGGAACAAGGAAATGAAGCCGATGAACTTGCGACTTGGCCTATATTGGAAGACTTATATGAGCAAGGAATTGTGAAGAAATTAGGTCTGGCGGAATTTGGCAGCGCAAAACTTGCTAAATTTTTGACGAACGTCAGGGTACGACCACAAGTCGATCAGATAAATGTTAAAGATTGTTGCAGAGTTCCACAGCCTTTGCTCAAGATCGCCAAACAAGAGAAGATCGAACTTTTCACTCACAATGATTGCACCAATATATTACCTAGTGGGACTTTGCGAGAGCTATTGGGACAAGGGATAAACGGTGCTGGTGTGTTATCAGAATCTAAGAGGGGGATTGATGGTATGAAGGGTGATTTGAAACCGGAATGGGTGGCCAAATATACCGCAATTGTCCGGGATCGTGGCGTGATAGAAAATAAGGGATATTTCGCTTCAGCAGAGTTGAGGGAGTGAACGTTAAAAAGTGCATTTGGATTTTTTAGTTTTGGCGCAATGGCGCCTCGGGAGTGGTAGTTTTTCAAAAGCGTGTTGAAAATTGCAAGATGACTTTGGATAGCAAGACTACTTGGAAATCTGTAGTACTTTGATAGCCCTGGTGGATGTCGAAGAGAACCTTGGAAACAATTGGATATATAGAATTCCTAATGCAGCTAGTGCATAGTATAGAATCAGAATTAGATTGTAGACCCTTTAACCTAACATACTCCTTTTTCTTCCTCTCATTCTCACATCCTCTAATTTCTTTAAAACCACTTGTGCGCCTTTATAGCTTGTTCCATACGCATTCAGAACCTCCTTGAATAAACCCTCCGCCCTCGGATGTGTACTTCCAAATCCGGCCATCCTCATCCGCCGTACTCCTTCCCAAAATCAATTTCATTCCCCTTCCTTCCATCCCCCCTCCTCCTTCCACCCCATATCCATTTCTTATCCATGCATCCATCCCCATGCATCCTCCAACCTCCAACCTCCAGATCCACCACCACCACTCCCTACCTCCTCCCCATGTTTCCCTCTTCCCTTCCTTCCCCTCCCTCCCCAAAGCCACTCATTCAACCTAACCCTCACCACCTCCCCCTCAATCCACTCCACCATCAAACATCCCTTCCCCTCATCCACCGCATAAACAGCAGGCACCACTACCCCCTCTCTCCGACACTTAACCAACACCCTCGCCTCAGCCAATATCCGCGCTTTCGTTAATCGCTGATCGAGAATCGGATGGCGATACGGTTTTGACGGTCGCCATTTTAGCGCGCAGGTGAGCGTAGGTATTAAGTATGTGGTTTTGTAGAGGAGGGCTTCGGCGCCTTGGGTGATGAGGGATGGTGGGGTGGAGGAGGGGTATGTGAAGAGGTGGGGGAGGGTTGGAGGGAGGGTTTCTGGTTTGGAGGGCTCCATGGCTGGAGGTGAATTGTCTGTGGGATTTCTAGATATGGAATTATTATTTGGTTTTAGAACCCGTAGGTAGGAAAGCGAAGAGAATTGTCGTGGTGGATTTGTGGATGCGATTTAGATGTGGATTTTTTCTACTGCAGGTCATGGTGCTGTACATCGATTTACGTACCCCACGTACATGTATGTAACTATTGGTCCAATTGGCCAGCAATAGGTAGGTAGATACTATTTAGGTAAGATAAAAACTCCCCGCTCTTGATTGCGTCGCATTGTTATTCTTCCTTGCAGAAATCGTTAACCTTATCGCATATCACATCAATCATCTATCAATCATACTAGGTAGGTACTCCATTGCGATATTGTGAATACCTCCTACTTGCAACATTTGAAATATACTGGGAGTCGATTAACTCGTCAATCAAATGAATCAATGGGAATAGTAACATAAGTATCGCAAGTATCACAAACGCCTCTTCAAATCATACGCCCTAATCATCCTTAGTTTCTCCCAACAGAACTCACATAGACTCACACATCAAGGCAAGGATCCTTACTCCGATAAATGGCAAAGGAAAAGGAACATAAGACCACATGTGATGATTCTGCAAGTACAAGGGTTCATTTCCCACCGTCTATTACATTTTGATCTATTGCTTTCCATACATGTAAGAAGTGAGTAAGTAGTACTGGGAAAATTACTACCCAGACACTGCATACATCCAGGTATTCCAAGGTTCAAAGTATTTCTTTCGTTTTGCATTTTGATTATCCATCCGGTTAAGGGAGGTTACTTCATCTCACATCTAAGATATCCATCTCCATCTCCATCTCCATCACCTCACATCATACTTCATTGTGACCCTTCATATCTAAATCCCGACAGAAAGCGATACTTCTCAAAATTGAATATGTGCACAACTCACTCTACCACCTCAACACCATCATCATCAAAGATCAAAGCAAAATGTCCCTCAACCCACTAATCCCATCCCTCCCACCAATGTCACCCCTCCAATCAAGTCTCCCAACCTCCCTCCTCTTAACCTGCGCTGCCACCGCCGTCTCCCTCCCCATCCTCATCCAAACCCTCCTCACCCACCTCTCAGCCTACAACACCGCACCCCAAGACCTAAACACCTACCTTTCCGTGCTCGAATCCAGCGTTTTAGAAAACGCCTCTTACGATCACGATATTAGTCGAATAACCAAACTAGAAGATAAGCTACGCTTAGCGGGCATGGTACGAGAAATCCAAAAATGCGGCGATGAATTACGAGAGCTTTTGGATAAGATGGTTAGTAGGGAAGATCACAAGAGGTTAAAATTCGGTTCGAGGATATTATGGGGAACGACGCGGCGGGATTTGGAAGAACGAGTGCGGAAATTGGATTTATTACGTATGCGATTTCTGGTCGTGTATCTTGGGATGGTGGCTGCGAAGACGGAAGTGGTACTTAAGGAGAAAGAAAGGGAAAGAGAAGATGCGGATAAAGTTTCTGGGATGGTCGTCGGACCCCTTGCTTCTCCTATTCGGAGTAGAACACTTCCGAGTAATTTGAGTGAGAATATTAAACGCACGCCGCCGTTAAGAAGGATTACGAGTGGTGCTATAGGACATAATGAGGGTACGGGAAGTCCACAGAGGAGTGGTTGGTTGGGAGTTGTGAATGAATTGCAGAGTAGTCCTTTGATGCATAAGAGGAGAGCATCAGTGGAACAAAGTTCTTCAATTGGAAGTCTGAAGAGTGAGAAGTTTGCTCATTTTCCTTAAGGGAATTGACTTGGATTCTTTGAGGAGGATTGACTCAACCATCTTTAAAGAAAATCACTGAATATCCGGTTGGGATCAATCGCAAGAGAGGAAACCAGACGCTTTCGAGTATCGTTTCACATACATGGATACATCACGAACATAAATCATTACACCATTTCCCTAGTGAGCGACAACACTACTTTGGGCATAAATTTAAGCAACTCTCCTATAATGAATCTTTACGAAATAAATGGTAGACATACAGCACTCTTTACGACTATATAAAAATGAACGAAACAGAACGAAACGAAATAAAATGACGAAGCGACGAAATCAGAAATCGAGAAGAAAATCAAAAAAAGAAAACAGAAAATAGGAAATGGAATGGGAAATGGAATAGCGACGACTTTATGAATACAATGGATTCATTCATTACCGCCGAACTTGATGCGCATCTTAACGAAATTTATGAATGGGAGAATAGGAGAAGGATCGAGGCTCGAGGGTCAAGGCTCGAGGAAGGAGACAGAGGTGAGATGAGGTGGTGATGGAATGTATGGAATTTACGGAATCTAGGTGAGGGATTTGGATTATATCGAGTGATTATTGCCAATGGATTGGATGGGATGGATTGGATGGGATGGATTGGATGGGATGGATTGGATGGGATGGATTGGGATGGAACGATACAGGAGCAGAGATATACCCCCTTTTTGGTCGGCGGCGCACTTTTACTTTTACTTTTACCTTTTGGATTTGGATTTGAACCTGGATATTATATACGGTATGATATTACAGTATAAATAAATAATATGATAAACTATCTACCTATCTACCTACCTATGAATCTATAACATGACATACAATACCATGCTATATTATATAACTTTAAGTAAGTCAGCTAGCCTATACATCCAGTCAAGGTTAAAGTGTGTATACTATTCGTATTATTCATATACTCTACTCTATATTTACTAACTTATGATTTAAATTTTAAATTTTACACCTAATAATAAACCTAAATTTTGTTCTTGTTCTTATTCTTAATCTTAATCTTACATTCACGACCGATCAATCAATCAATCAACCAACCAATCCGTCCATCATCATACACCCCTATACCTTAACCCACAATCCACAATTCCCATCTACCACCCCTCACACATCACAATCACCATAACGCAAAACCAACCACCTGCCATCTCCATCTCCATCTCCCCTCACCCCACAACCGTTCTAAATCTCAAAAATTTCTCCCACCCCCTCACCACCCGCACTCCTATTCTCGACCAAATCCAACCTCCAACCCTCCCAATTCTTCAACGCCCGCTTAACCTCCTTAACCCTCTCAATCCTCTTCGCCGCCTCCTCCTGCTGCGCCTTCCTAAAAGCTTCTTCATCAAATTCGAGTAAATCATCATCATCCAATAAATCTTCTTCTTCATCTGCTCCTCCATGTGCATGACCCAAACCCAAGGGAGCCGTACCACCAGTAATAGCATTAAAGCCACTTGTTAGATAATCTCCAATGCCTTTTCCTTGGTGCAAAACACCGCTCTTTCTCGCATGAGGACTTCCACTTCCGCCTAAATCTACATCTGTGAATCTTGCTCCTGGACTCGTATCATCTCCTTCTCCCTCCATTTCTCTTCTTCGATCTCTCCATACTCCTCTTCTTAATTCATGGACTTCCGCTTCTAAATCTCTAACTTTCCTTTCCAAGCGTTGTCTTTCCTCATTTTCTAGTTCATCAACCCCATCATCATCAATTCCTTGTGCATCTCGTTTCTTCAACCTATCCCTTTCTTCCTTCAGACGTGAATTTTCATTCTCAACACTGGCAAATCGGATTCGGAGATCTGATGCTTCTTTTTCCACTTTTTCACGTTCTTTCTTCTGAGCTTGCGATCGAGCATCGTGCTCTTTATGAAGCGTCGTGAGTGTAGACACTTTCTTTTCAAGCGCCTCTACTTTCTTCTGAAGTTCATCACTATGTGCTTTAGCTTCCTCTGCTTCCCGTTCTAGTGTTCGTAATTTTGTTTCTGCAGATATGCGTTCACTACCTTCTTTGACAGCTTTCTCAGTCGTTCTTTCGAGGTTCTTTTTCAAATCTCCCAATTCGCGTTGCGCTTTTGCAGCCAACTTTTCACTTCGTGCTAACTTATCCTCAAGAGCGGTAATTTGTTCTTTTTCGACAGATGATCCTGATGCGACTCGTTCAAGCTGTGCCCGAAGATTGGAAATTTCAATTTCCATAGACTCAATTGTTGAAGACTTAGATCTTAGCTCGGCTTCCAAATCTGATGGTACAGGTACCGACATCGAAGGCGAAGAAACATGTTTTCGCGAGGATGAAACATGAAGTTGTGTATTCTGTCGTTGGAGGGCCGCGATTTCTGATTTCTACAAAATTCAATTAGCTCCGTAAACAACTCACTATATCCTCCAGCACTTACCAACTTCTCCACCTCCTCCGAAGACCCACTATCAGTACTTTTCTCCCCTTTAGCAGACTCCCCTTCTGCCTCCCTCAAATCCTCCAATTCTTCTTCCGCCTTTTTCCACCTCTTCTCTGCATCTACCGCTTCTTTACTCAACTTCTTATTCTCCTTCTCCAATTCTTCAATCTTCAAAGCTTGTTTCCTATAAATATCCGGCGCCGTATCACCACTAGGACTAAAAGCAACTTCCGGCGAAAGAGCTCCTGAAGCCTGTCGAAAGGAAGATGACCTCATCTTAGATTGCACCGACAACGAGGGCGACCTTCCATGTCTCGCAGCAGAACTGAGTTCCGATACCTTCTCATCTTCATCCTTATTTTCTGGAACTTCTGGAGCTGGAGGCGTTTCCTCTTTCCTTTCTTGCTCGACTTTTATCTCCTCGGGAGCGATTGGTGCTTCGACAGGAGTATCGATTGGCGCTTCAATTGGAGCTTCTGTTGGAGCTTCAGATGGTACTGCAGCGCTCGTCTCAGTCGTCTCAATCGTCTCTTCACTCTTCTCACCCGCAGTTTCGCTCTTCTCTTCCTTCTTAACCCCCGCCTTCTTCGCCTTCTTCTTTTTCATTTCCTCCACCTATATATCACTTGTTAGTAACTACCCTCAATAAACCCCCCAGCTACCTCTCCAAACCCCGCACTGAAACCATTCATCCCTCATAACAAAACAGGACAACATACACGTTTCTTAGCCGCAGCCAATTTTTCCGCCTTTGCCTTTTCCTCCGCGTCTGCCATATTCAATGAATTCAATAAAATCAATTCCTATTCCCAAACTCTTCTTCTTCTTCTCTTTGTCCCTAACAAAAAGTATCGTCTTTCAAATATTCCTGTATTCCTCAAAGGGCGCGCGGAGTCGTCAAAATCATCAAGATTCAGATCAAATCAAATCAATCAAAGGGTAAATGTTCAGACCAGCTTGTCCCCTCCGTAACCTTCCCTTCACATGCCATAACCACGCTAATTTTAGCTCCCGCTTTACCTTTACCGACAAGGGTACCTAAAGTCAAGTTAACCACTCGAACCTTGGCCGATAAGCGTACTGGGTAGGTAGGTAGGTAGGTAACCTATGGTTTTAGGCTCTTTCCCTCCAAATCAATCCATCCATCCATCCATCCATCCATATCCACCTTAGCTGTTTCCTCTATCAGTTGATCACCAATTTCCTATCTAACTAGCCATCTTGATTTCATTTGATTTCACTCGACTTTCTTTTTCTAGTAATTAATTAACTCCTACTTTTTTGGCAGATTTGGGATACCTTTTCTCCTATTTCTATGGGGGTTTAGGATTTTTTGACAATAAAATCAATAAAACCAATCAATCAATTAGTTTATCAATTGTATTGTTACTGTTACACATACACATACACATACACATATCACTATCTATCATTTGCAGGATCCCCGGTCCAACCAACCTTTCCACAAACCAAAAATGACGTCTTCTTCCTCTTCTTCCAACCTACATCCCAACTCGAATTCCAATATCGCACTCCATTTAACAGATTCATCACTTAGCCCGCTGCTCTCAACTTCCTCATCGTCCACTTCATCTACCTCCCGCACTAATCCCGCCCAAATCCAATCCCTCACTACCCTAACATCCACCGCCCTCTCTGCCTACAATTCTTCTCTGCATTTAAACCTCGGGACCCCGCAACGCATAATCGTCGAGACCGCTCCCTCAGGTCCTATTCTTCTCCATTCCTTTATCGCCCCTACATCATCTGCCGCTCAGTCAACCTCCGGTCGACATCGCAGCCGACCTATACACAACCACGCACATGGCGCTCGAATGAATGGATTAGAAAATATTAATGGAGGATCGAGCATACGAGGGCTAGAAATCATATCTGCGGCCCGAGAAGATATGCGACCGTTGAGTGGTACAACTGAGGGGAGCCATTCAGAACAAGAACATCATGATGTGAAGGATGAGGAAGTCCAGGTTCCTTTATTAGTGGGAACGGTTGTGGCTAGATCGGCAGAGCAAATAGGAGAGGCGAGGAGGGCGGCACACAGGATTGAGATTGTTGCGCATGGGTTTCAAAATGAGTTGATGAAAGATACGGCAGAAGTAAAGAAGGAAGAACCGGACGAGGATACAGCTGAGGATGGTTGACTCATTTGAACACTTTGGGATCGAATTTTTGGATGGATGTGAAGATAAAATTGAACATACACTAGCGAGATGAAGCTGCTTACTTATAGCACATAAACAAAAGCTTTTGGGCGGAGGTCAATTGATATTTCAAAAAGCGAAATGGGGAGATTAGATATGTAGATGCGAAAAGAGGGGTATTCTGGGATACCGAGGCGGAAGAGCTTGGACCACAAATATCTTTCAAAAAAAGCCCAATGCAACACAGATGCATATATAAAACCTCAATGGTTCGTTCGTAAATCATTTGCTTATTTTCATAGTCTATTTGGCGGACTACACCTATGACCTGCATTATTCATACATGCCCCATACCCAAACGCAAAACTTTATCAAAATATTTAGATAAGTTGCTTGAAAGCTCTGTTGAGAGGAGAGCGGATGTTGGGGACATCCTTCCAGAAATCAACAGTGGCGACAGCGCGCTTTGAGATGCCTTCTGGTGTAAATTCGAACTTCTAGAATGGGAATTAGCAGTGTTCGTAAAACCTAAATTTGTTTGAATGCGAGAACATACCTTGTAAACATCCTTGTAAGCACCGGAGGCACCAAATCTGTTGAGACCGAATTGCTCGTGGGTATAACGTTCCCAGCCCATGGTTGACATAACTTCAACAGACAACGATGGGATACCATCTGGCAAAACGCTGAGTCTGTACTCGTTGGATTGGGCATCGAAGACCTCGAAACAAGGGATAGAGACAACACGTGCTGTGAGGTTGTGCTTCTCCTTGAGGTATTTGACAGCATCAACACAGATACCAACTTCAGAACCAGTGGAAACAAGAGTGATATCTGCCTTCTCAGCGTCGTGCACGACGTAACCACCCTTGATGGCGTTACCAATTGTGGAGTTCTCGAGTTGAGGAAGGTTTTGACGGGAGAGGGCGATAATAGAAGGAGTGTGCTTGGAGGTCAATGCAACGTAGTAAGCTGCGCTGGTCTCATTTCCGTCAGCTGGGCGCCAGACCATGCAGTTAGGGAGAGCACGGAAATGAGCCAAAGTCTCGATAGGTTGATGAGTTGGTCCATCCTCACCAAGACCAATTGAGTCGTGAGTGGCAACCCAGATAACACGTTCTTGAGACAAAGCAGAGAGACGGATTGCACCAGCGGCGTATGAAACGAAATTAAGGAAAGTTCCACCGTATGGAATAACGGTTCCGTATGCAGCCAAACCGTTCATGACAGCACCCATAGCGTGCTCACGTACACCATATCTAATGTATCGTCCAGACCAATCACCAAGACCAGTAGCGGGGGGTTGGAAATCAACGGCCTCCTTCCATCTGGTCAAGTTGGAGCCAGTCAAATCTGCTGAACCACCAACAAGTTCTGGAATAGCCTCGTGAATCTTTTGGAGAACGATCTCGGACAATTTTCTTGAAGCGACTGCGTCATCGGATGGAGAATAAGTTGGTAGGTTCTTCTCCCATCCTTCTGGAAGCTCTCCCTTCAAGCGGCGCTTGAGATCGGCAGCCTCAGAAGAGTACTTTTGGCCGTACTTGTCGAACAATTCGTTCCACTTTTGCTCCAAAGCGGCACCATGGTCTGCGCGCTGGTGGCAAATATCGTAAACTTCTTGTGGGACAACGAAAGATTGTTCGGGGTCGAAACCGAATTTCTCCTTGAGTTGCTTAATGTCATCGGCCTTGAGAGGGGATCCGTGGACACCGTGAGTGCCTTGTTGCTTAGATCCGTAACCAATAATAGTTCTGAGCTTGATCATGGAAGGCTTGTCCTTAACGGCCTGGCACTTCTTGATAGCAGCCTCAATTGCTTCCAAATCGTTGTCACCATCGGTGACAGTCTCGACGTGCCATCCATATGATTCAAACCGCTTTACGACATCTTCAGTGAAAGCAACGTTGGTGTCACCATCAATGGAAATGTGGTTATCATCGTAGATAGCAATAAGGTTGCCCAATTGCAAGTGACCGGCCATGGAACAGGCTTCACTGGCAACACCCTCCATCAGACATCCATCACCGAGGAAACAGTATGTATAGTTGTTGATGAGCTCGAATTCGGGCTTGTTAAACTCGCCACCTGCGTGTTGTTGTGCGATGGCGAGACCAACAGCGTTGGCAATACCTTGACCCAGAGGGCCAGTGGTGACCTCAATACCATCCGTATCAGCAGCTTCTGGGTGACCAGGAGTATGACTATCTATCGACTGGATAGGAAACAAATTAGCTGAGTGTCAGTATCTCATTTCACGGGGCTACTGACTCTGAAAGCTTTAATATCATCCATGGACAACTTGTAACCGTAAAGGTGGAGAAGGGCATATTGGAGCATGCATGCATGTCCGTTACTGTGATTTGCGGACAATTAGCTTCTGAACTTCGAACCCTCTTCCAAGATTGCTTTGGCAGCAACACAAATTTAAGAATCAAGTCATGCCAAATCTAAATTTTCCATATAGTATGATGATTGTAGCCCTCCGAATAAACCTTGCTTCTTCAAATGCGTAGGCATCAAGTATCAAAGGACATCGATGCGCAGAGAAGTCAATTGGGTTAAGAAACGGCTATGACTTACGAAAGAACAAATCTATCACGGTTAACCCAGCTTGAGTTTTTTGGGTTGAAGTTCATGATCTTGTTGAAAAGAACGTGGGCAACTGGTGCCATTCCCCTAAATACCTTCATCAGCAAACAGATATTAATGTGCCAACAACTCTGCAGAACTCACATAGGAGCTCCGGGGTGACCGGAGTTAGATCTAGCTGTAGCATCGGCCTTGAAAATAAGACGTTAGTATTTGTTTTGAAGATTTTGATGCTGGGTTGGAGAAAAGCTTCCAGTATACGATCGCGGGGCAAATTCCCGAGGGAAAAGGGAAATACTTACAGCGAGAACACGGATGGTGTTGATAGCAAGTCTGTCAACGTCTGTGAAACCCATGATTGCGATTGTATTATATGAAATCTCTTCTGGGTATATTGGGTATAATGAGGATTGAAATTCTTTGTAGAAAGGTGTTGGGGAAAGAAGAGATGAGTGAGTTGAAAAAGATGTTTAAAGTAAAAAGGAGGGGCGGACCCAAACGTTGTTGAGCGTATTGGCTGTTTTGGTATGGTGGGGTGAATTTGCGTCACAGAATATAGAAGCTCGGTGAATGAATCCACTTTATTGTGGTTTTTGCCATCTAAAATTGGTCTTTACTCAGCAGAAAGAATTTCCCGGTGAAAGAGAATATCAGCGGAGGGACTAGTATTTAAATATTGTATTATGTGCTACTTACTACGAGGGAGAGTAACTATCCATCCAGCTACGGAGAATGGCCCTCTAGTTCTGGCCCACGCTCTCAATCGGCTCCGAATGGCCCGCAGCTCTGTCATCAACATCAACAGACAGGCCAGACTCTATAAAAGTATGATTTCGCCCGTTTTCCTACTAGATGAGCTCCAGGCGCCTGTTAGTCTAGAACTCATTCTTCCATGATCGATTATACATCATCCCACAATACACCTATCTCCTAGGTAATTATACAAAGAAAATGACAAACAATCTTTTAACCTTTGCGCTGAAAATATCGTGATCCTTAACCTACCTACCTCACTTTCATCGGTTTTAAGAAAAGCATTCTTCGGAGAGCCAAGACATCAACCAACCAAGCATTTATTTGACTCGTCCCTCCCTGAAACCCTTTCCTAAGGTAAGACGTATGCAGAAAGCAAAAGTAAGATCTTACAAAACATCACAGCCAACTTGTTATTTCTACTCAGTACCGTCCGTCACTCGGGATAGATAACTACACCAACATTTTAAAGTCTTGTGCTTTTGCTTGCTACCCCGAGTTGTAGAAGGTCCAACGTTGGTGTTGGAAATATCTTCTGACCAATGTCATCACTCCCATCCCTGGTATTGATTAATAGTTCACTCAAGTATGGAGTCTTGCCTTCTCTTCTCTCTTCTTCAAAACATGAAAGATTTATTCCTAAAAGATCAAGCAAAGATGTTCAATGCGAGTCTACCGTTACGATTATTCGTTAGTAAGTTAATGGTTGGGACGCTGAAGCTTATGAACATGCCTTTTCCAATCATGTCAACCATTTAATTCTAGGAGATTGATTGATCACCTGGTATTATTTCATCACAGATATATGTGTACCCAGCATATGTTGTGACATCTCCATGGCACACGGTCCAGGATATCCGAGTCTGGAGAGCGAAAAGGACGAATCACGGCACAGTAAGTAATTCATGACTACGGTATTCCCTCCTCGCAGAAGTATCTGTTCATGTATGGAGTAAATGGAGATGGTGATAGCACAACATCGTACATCGTCATTTGAATTTACTATGTTCAATGAATGAAATGCTGCGGTATCTGATTCTGATTGATCTCTCCAAATTTGTGGCTTGCGTATATTTCCACTCGTATGATGAAAGCTATCGATGGCGCTGCGTCTAGAGTCCCTTGTACCACCACACAAATGCATACTCTCCTACCCGTATCTCCATTACCTCATGCTGTGTCCTGTCCACTATATCATGGGAGACTCGGATGACCTCAACCGAAGAGCTTCACCAGGATCAAGGCTTATCGTTCAAAACTCAGGTATCATAAAAACGCCAGAGACTATTATCATTGGGTATATATCGTACATACAAGTGAAGCATATGATAGATGCGGATACTAACAGAAACTCCTAACGGCAGAAAGATGTGTGCCCCCAGTCCAAGTCCTCCAAGAGCCCAGTCTTATCCGTCTTTTACAATCCAGTCCCCATGCTCCTAGCCACCAACGCCGAAAACCACACCCGAATCAAAAAACCTGCTCTTTGGGCTGGGGTCCAGGCTCATTCTGATCAAAGCAGAACGCAGAAACATCGAATAGCAAGGGATCCATAATTTCCACCTTTGATTCATCCCAAGCTTTGAGATTGGATTGCGCAAATTCTCTCGATGACGCTGACGCTGAACGTTCGGGATTAGTCTTCGATTTACGCAATCGATCCAGCTCCTGTTTGACGCCCGAATACTCCACTTGTAAAGACTCATATGATCGCGATAGATCACTGTGACGCCCCTCAAGCTCTTCCAATCGTTGCTCGAGCTCCCGCATATGTTTCTCTTTCCTATCCCTGAAAGCTCGTTGAGAAGCTCGATTTTGGGCTCGGCGACGCTATGTGGAATTAGCATCGCATCCCGTCCGCTCGGCAGAAGAGCGAGTTCACTTACCGAATGCACGTGTGGAGAAACTACTTTTTCGTTTCCATTCTTTCTCCTTCGTCGATCATGATCTTCGTAAATGCCTTCGATATCTAATTCCACCGGTATTAAACCCATCGGTACGCCGTTTGGTTGGTATTGTACGGGAAATGATGGATATGTCATAAATGTGTGTGCTCCGTATACGTGATCGTTTCCTCCATATACGTGATCGAAAGTCTAAAGGAATCATGAGATTTTGAAAAGGAGCGTTTGGTAGAGTGTGAACGTACATTGCTGTTGAGTGGTGAGCTTGCTGAAGACTCGCTCGAGGTATCGTATAGATTCATGTCTCCGTGCATCAAATATGAATCGGTAGAACCGTCGTGATGAACAAAATGACCTCTCTCCATATCGAAATGTGAATATGTTATATTATTGAGAAGTAGAGTAATGCTATTGAGAGAGAGCGACGAATGTTTATGAGATCAAAAGGAGGTTAAAGTCTGACGTGAGTCTTGCGAGGGTATGGGTATGATGGTTAGTCAAATGATATTTGGGCAAGTATAATCGAAGGGGGGTCTCAGTAACTTTAAATCCTCCATCCTCTCTTCAGGATCATGGTTCGGGCAAAGATAATCCCACTGGCCACTGGATGGGTGCATCCCATGTGGATACCCCAAATTCCAAAACGAATAAGCCCTATCGCTGTCGCGGAATCAAAAAACAAACACTCCCAACTCGCATACCGCTGTTAATCACAGACAATACCGCCCGAGGCAACCCCTCATCCAATCATCGACGGCCAAAGCCTCAAAGGAAGCGGTAACCACTTTTCATGGGACATGGAATGGGATGGCTACCATACCATACCATACCATACCATACTCTGCATGGGAATAACGAGGCACACGGAGAGCGGTACATGACCTCCTCTGCAATCAAATGTATCCACGAACCTGACCTCCGCAAGCAGCTTCCACCAGTCAAGATCTGCAAATTCTAATTTTCTTCTGGTCTGGTATTTTCATGTGGTAGGTCGGGTAGGGGTTCACTACGAGGTTGCACTGCGTGCTAAGGGTACGGAACAAGCATGGCTTTGTGGGGGTCCCTTCATCCACTTACAATGCTTCCTGGACCTTCCTCATCACTTATTCCTCATTACCTAAGGTTCCTCACCAAAAATTTGCCCTGCTTACTTTATGAGATGTCAGTGAGATCCTGGTCGTCGTCTTGCTGACATTACAATTTCATCGTCGGTAAAGATCTCTAGTGTGCTCTAGCTCGTCCTTAGTGCGCTCCATCCTGGACTTTTACAACTTCTCTTACTGCTGTTTTCATCCTCGTAACCTCGTACTTTTCTCATGCGGGCTGACGCCAAGATTCGTTCTTTGGTTTACGCTGGCGTGTACATGATTGTTTTTTCTTTTTTTGGTTCTGGATGGAGGCAAGATGAGTTTGACTTTGAGGCTGGATAGCATGGGATGGAATGGGATAGAGAAGCGAGTTGAAGATATGTACATACATGTTTGACCGTTACTTCCAATGTATATGCACACCCAGGAATCTCTGGCCTCGAAATCTAGTCCATTCTATTGTATTCAATCCACTCACATCATTCTCTATTCGTAGGTAATTCACCCAACACCTAGAACACAATATTTTAAGCTTCATCAATCCTAGTACAACAATAAATCGATCCAACTCAATAAACCTTACACTGTTACACAGCGCGGATGATCTTATCTAGCCTCGTCCTACCCATCCTCTTTCGCCGCATACATTAGAATTAGAGTATTTTAACGCAGCTCGCGCTGAGGTACTCAGTGAAGCTTAGCCCAAACATTAAAATAACGTCTGTAGGATTCCTAGCAGATCACCTACAACCGGCCAGCCAGCCAGCCCAAACCCCAAAGCCCAAACCCCCAAGTTCTGAACGCCAAAAACCCACTTGGCAGATCTCATCCTCGTACCCCTTCCCATCTCATCTCAACCCATGAAAAACTCAACTCCCATAATAGGTACCGTAGGATTCCCTCACGCATCACGTCGTCAGCATCTAAATCATCCTAAAGATTTCCAATTCTCCCCAACTTGTTAACTTGTCAACTTGTAACCTGCATGGCCCCTGATTCTTCGAATTCTTTCCTCTTCGGAATTAGTCCGCCGTCCATGTGGACCCTGATTCCTCTGTTTTGATTCGAGGAATTCCTTCGGGTGTCATAGATAGTATCATTATCACATCACCTCATATCATCTCACATCTCACTCAAACAAAAGATACCGGGAATATCATCATGGACGAATCAGCGGAGAGTGTTTCATACGAAATAAGGCTAGTTTTCTCATTTCATGTTGATTTTTTGGCTTCTCGGGATAAAATGATATGACATGAGGTGAGATGGCAAATTCTCGCTTTTCGCTATTTCGCACAAATTTCGCCATGTGTAGTGCAGAACGGATGAGAGGCTGAGATAAGGTTAATATGATGTTGTAACGTTGAAATGCATGATCTATGATCTGGGTCAGAAGGAATTGTTCGGCCTCGAGTCTCCATGCCGTTTTGTCTTGTCTATTATGGATTACATATCCAATGCCGAAGGGAACAAAACGTCCTAGAACTATCGGGGAAAACTACCGGAGGATGATGATTTGTTTGGTTTGTATTGTAGCATACCTACCTAGTAGCTAGTCAATGGCATCAAAGTGGCTTTCATTCAACACCATCGCCGCCATAACTCCAAATACATACACAACTGTCACAATTCATTCAACCAGACCTTCCGAATACCGAATTCCCATTCGGCGGACTATCGATGGAGAACCCGCAAATATCATCTCACATGACATGACCAGCACTGCACTGCCATCCCCATCCCTACCCACCCCATCAACCCATCCATTGACAAAATCCCCGCCCAAGTGAAAAACAAAAAACGTGGAAATCCAACGCCCCCAAGTTTCTACTTCAACATGCATGGTATCTCTCTTTTGCGTCGGTGGGCCAGTGGTGGACTCGCAGACAATTGCAAGGGGTGTTGAAGAACTCATCCATCACCACATCTAATTCCCGGCGCCTTTCCCAATCTAGTATCCTCGTATAATTTAACAGTACAGTGCATACATACGCTCGGATATATGCAAGCGTATTTAACGCTAACACCGGTACATACCGTGCTGGGCATTGCTGGCTGGTGCTCTCCGTACAGACTACGGTACCAGCTTTAGGGGTCCAGTTCTGGGTATAGGTTTTGGGAAGGTTGACACGATGTTGATGGTACTTATGCATGTATGTATGTACAGAGTATGTAACTAGTTCAATGAATGGTATCATGTATGAGGGAAAAAGTTTTTTCCTTCCCTTTCCCATTCATTCAATGGTTTGGTTTGATTTACGGAGGTATATCCCGTCGAACATATCCACTCTTGAACGGGAAGAAATGGATATAGAGGGGTTCGATAATATTGCCCGTTATTCTATAGCTAATGATCCCCAATATATCCAGTAGTGCCATGTAGCAACCATAGAATCGGGAAAAGAGGAGCCAAGAAATGTATTTTTAACCAGAGCTAATTCTAGTTATACTCCGTCCCTAGTAGTTCTAGTCCTACCTCCTCATATCCATATCAGTAAATATGGAGTACAGTAATTAGATGCTGCGTGGCTCCCTGATCAGTTTTTTTCGCATCACTCACTGCCTAGGTACGTATATCCTCATATATTTCCTCTTGGCACCATCCACCATCCACCATCGCCATCGAAGTTCGAATATTACGGAGTAGAATACCCAAAAGTTCCCCAAAAATAAAACCCGAGAAACTTCTATATACATACTAGTTTCCTCCGCTCCGTTCCCTCCTGCAGATGCATACCGATAACGATTTTCTTATCAGTTGTCTGTCTTCGAATTCTTGTCACATTACATTTGTCATGGCTATATTGCTTACATACTTCATTCCGTACGGAGTACAGAATCTTTATTACAATTTACAAGTAACCGGTTACTTAGAAAATAAAGAAAAAAGGGTCAGAGTGTCAATAATATACGATCTCCCAAAGGGGCAAGTCCGCTCAGCCCCGTTCGTAAAGCTTAGATGGACTTCTGTTTGTGGAGGCGGATGGATATCGTTGCTCAGATGACGTTTATGTAAGTTTTACTCATACTCCAAGTCTCCAACTGTTGCGTGGTTTATTAGATATAAGATATTTGATTACAATGTGTGTGTGGAAATGCATATCTACCTACCTAGAATATATCTGGTAACCTGAGGGAATATGACGAAAGCCCATGTTATTTGTCATAATATAAGCATAGTGAAGAATGTTCTACTCGTTGAGAATTTCTATGCGATGTAACCTAAGATTACCTTAGTATCATATCAGCATGAAGGATTTTCTTCTGCTTATAATCTCACATATGTCCTGTAGAAAGTACTTGGGATATGTACGCATACATTGAAGTACCGCAGTACCGTGGTAAGTGGCTTAGAAATTCCCTATGTATGGAGAGGAGCATCTAGATGTAATCTCACAGGGAAGGAACAGGAAGATGAGTGGACTAGGTAGAGATCAATATGCTGTTCTACATATGTGAATAGTATTACTTCCCTAAAAACACGCTTTCCCCAGACCATTATATGCGTCTTCGAAGGAGGGGTAAAGATCCTGCATATAGGGAGAGGCATGTTGCGCAATGGCAACGGTAATGACGATGTTGAGGTTTGTGATAACGTCTGGGAATATCGCGATAGAGTAAAATGTAGATATTGATATGAAACCAACTGATATTTTTGCAAAACTCATTCCCAAAGGTTATATTAGTAGGTTACTGAGATGAACAATAAGTCACGAACGAGTACAAATGATAGGTAAGCTTAGGTATGGACGGACAGTCTTTAAATCTAAGATCTTACAATTACTGTAATACCAAATACTTACCAACCTTAAATAAAATTCTAAACATATCCAACACATCAAAAGTAGACGTCAAGGACAATGAGAAGGGCAAGGGGAGCATAATTCCCATAACCCATAGTCCACAAGAACAGGATATATAGATATAAACACAAGCTGGAAAGCAACAACGAAAGTCCCTCAAAGCATCCTTGTGTCCATTTCCATTTTCCGAATACCTTATATGTATATATATTACTACGAATCTGGGAATTCCTACCATGTACCTATATACCTCAATACCTAAACTGCAACAAAATCCCATGATCTTCCTATCTCTGCGCCATACCATTCCTAATCTACTAGGTAATCGTACTTGAAGTAGATAGGTAGCACCCCATATCAAGTCCTGATGCTCCGCTAACATAAGGAGGGCTTAAGAAGAGAAGTGCTTGAACACAGAAGGGACTTCGATTCGCAAGAGGAGTTAAGAATGAGGGGTAGAATGGTGAAATGTGTACTAGGTAAGTAGATATCATTCGAATGAGGGATCTGTGGAGCATTTCGTGTGATGATTGATGCCAAGGAGATGTGATATTATTGGAGCGGGAATATGTCTTCGGATCCGAATGGATGGAGCACCAAAGTTTCAATAGAGGAAAAGAAAGCCCTGAAAAGACGGGAAGAAACAAGTGCGTTTTTGTACAGGCCTGGGGCTGAAGAATGATTTGGAATTCAAGGTCGATCTATAAAATTGGCGACATAACGGGCACGATGCAGTGCGTTGTCTCATATGCGGTAGCAACTGTATGTTATGCATCTAACAACTTTTGCTACATGTTCGTACATTTTTCTGTTTTCCACATAACGTGGAGAGCTGTGGGCGGAGATACTAAAGATGAGATTGGATACCATACATGAAATTTGATGTCCATCCTTGTCCAGAGGGTATATTATTACTAGACAGGTAACCTATATGTATCTCGGGATTTGAGGGTACATTCCGCATTTTTATGTCGGTATTGCGATGCTCTTTAGACTTTCAGTAATAAGCAAGGTTAATGAGCCACATCATCGGGACCAGTAAGTTTGTTTCTTTCGCCAACTATCAGGTAGGTGTTAGAGAGGAGTACAAAAATTGATTCATGAGGGGTTAATTAAGAGAAGTATGATATGATGCAACGGAACACGCATGAGAAGACTTACCATCTAAAGCCACCAGGAATCTGCTCACACAATTGTATGCTGCGATCTGCATTTCATGATTAGCTTTTATTTTCCTAGTCAAAACGCACATGACAATTTTCGGACCCTTCACTTCACTCTGTTTCGAGTCCACATATCTCCAATCATCCCTAATTTCTAACCTCTTTGAAAGAAAGCTGACTTACCGTAGCCGTCAACTCAACAATCTCCTTCTCATCAAAGCACCTTTTCAAATCCTCAAAAACCTCTTCCGGCACCCTAACATTCCTAGTCATCTCATCCGTATACTTAACCACTGCCCACTGTTTCCCACTCAGTCCTTCCGCATTCCCATTCCCATCACCCTGCCCCTCCCTCTCACACTTCTCCCTCTTTAGCACCTCCATCCCCTCATCACTAACCCCTCCCTTCTTCGCCAACGGCGCATGATGTCCCCATTCATACCAAGCCCTATTACAAATAGCCACCCTACAAATCGCTATCTCTCTAATATCATCCGCCAACCCCGTTTGCGTTCTCACTGCTCCGAGAAAAGAGTTCCAGCCATCTGCAACCGGGGGACTATGCAATAATGTCAAGTCTAAGGGTTGGAGAGGACGCGGTGCACGGCGAGCTTCAACGCGTTCAATGATTGCGCGGTCAGCGGGAGAAGAGAATTTTGGAGAAGAGGGATCGGCGTAAGGAAGACGCATTTTGGTTTGTGTGGTTTGGTGGATGAGGTGAGTTTGTGTGTTTCTGAGAATCTGAGGGTATCGAGGAAGGTTTTGCTTGGTAGTTTGAGAGAATGAGAGTATGGAGATAGAATTAACGTTACGATACTTCATACCATTGAATCAAACTTGCAGATATTTCAATAGAACTTACAGATGTTCCAAACTTGTGTATAGGGAAGTATATATCATACTTCCGGTACCCCTCATAGATGTGGGGTTGCAGCCGGCCGATATGGGAGAATACTTTTCCGGGAATTGGAAAAGACAAATGATACCGATACCTTCACGTCAGCAATCGAAAATGGTACAATCTCGCGGCAACACGGTTGCCATATGTATGTGTTCGTCTCGTTGTGATAAGTGTACTAAGATCATGACATTGGTAGGTGCAATACTGTAGATCTTCCCGTGTAGATGTAAAATGTACCGAGTATTCAGTCACCGAACGGAGAAGGACAGTACCCACTGCAACAGGATGAGCCGACACGTGCCGTATTTCATTGTGATCTTACCGTGATCGAAGTTACTCAGAAGCTTGGGATTTGTCTAGTTATCTTTTAGGGAATTTGATACTTGTAACACGTGCATCGTGTTTATAGTGATTACAAGCTACCAATCAGGTTAGCTTTTTCGTAAGCGCCTTGATCGTTGGAACTCGTCCTGCAAATTCGGCGTCATGTCAAAATTCATCATCTTTCGAGATGTCTCAACTTGCAAAAGTCAACAGGATCCATGTATCAGATCCCTTGTTTCGAAATCAAAAACCCAATATCATATGATTGCTACCAAGAATAGGAACTACTAGCATACACGGTCAATTTGACCTCCTCCACCCCCATCTCTACTTCTAATGCATCGTCGGAAACGCCGAAATTTGTAGAATAACAACAATACATATATTTTAGCCATGGATTGTTCTACTCATACCTTCCACCCGAATTTCATCCTCGAAGGCCATTATTATAACCCATTCATATATTCACAGTTGGTCGCAGGAGAGAGAAGTGCGTTCAGATTGTCTCGAGGCTCTCTCTATAGGAAGTGATCCATTTAGCAAGAAACATCCAGAGATGCCTTTGAGTTCATGAGAAGAGCAACAATCAATCCGTATAGACCTGTCAATTATGTAAGTCACTATTCATAGCAAAAAGAGAACTTCGAATCTTACCCAAGACTTCGGCGAAAATCAAAATAAGAATCATTCCGACGAAGAGACGTGGTTGTTGAGCTGTTCCTCTTACACCTGCATCACCAACAATACCAATAGCGAAACCAGCAGCCAAACCAGCGAGACCGACACTAAGACCAGCACCAAGTTGAATGAAACCAGTATATAATGCGAGCTCTTGTTTAAGCCCATCGGAAATCAAAACTGAGACAACAAGACCGTAGATACCAATAATACCAGCCATAATAACTGGGACAATGTCTGTATAGCATATTAGTAGAGCTCTTAGATACCTGATGAACATAGCTCACTCTTGACGATCAGGTCAGGTCTGAGAACACCCATTGCGCAAATACCAACACCAGACTTAGCAGTTCCATATGCAGCACCGAAACAAGTGAAGACGATGGCAGATGTGCAGCCCATGGCGCCGAAAAATGGCTGTACATTAATTAGTATGATGCTTTGAAATGGATAGATGTTGATGTTGTTGGATGCAGAATCAACGGTTGGTCGGGTTGAACATCGGAGGTGGCAGTCGGGGGGAACTAACCGCATATACGGGACTATCATAATTGCTATCAGTACTTGGATCAAGGCATAGAAGTAATTGTAATGATGTATAAGAATACAAATCTCATGGAGATTCTTATCTCAAAAACAAGGTAAGAAGGTAGGATCGGGAGGCGTCAAGGGAATAGTTGTTCGACATACCAGAGATCAGTCATTTTGGCGGTATTGAAGATGGTATTACTTGATTTATGAAGGTATCTGAAGCTCAAGGAAGCTGTTGAATGGACGATTGAAGAGTTTGGTTGATGAGAAGTTGAGCTTGTAGAGTTGATGGATGGATGATAATTAGTGATTCAAGGTGGTTTGTACGAGTTGTTTGATGAGGCTTCTCTGGCAAGCTTAGCTTTTCGACCAATCAAGTTATGGATTAGCGCGTAACGTAAGCGAAGCTTTTCTTGTCCCCGATAAAGATTAATCTCAAAAAAAAATCCAAAAGATTTTACTTCATCAACTACCATTTTTTTTCCAATACAACCCGCAGGGCGAGCCAACGCAAGGAACCCTGAAAGAGTATCTCTCAAGGAATTTTTAATTTCCCAGTACATCCTTAAATAAAACGTATGTGCGTCCCCTCAATCGAATTGTCCTGGTCGCAAAGTCTTTGATCTACCAAAGTCAGGTGCTAACTTTTTCTTACAGTTAACTCAATTCCAAACCAAAATTACAATGGCTGAGGAACAAAATGAATCCGCTGCCTGGCCCGTCGGTAAGATGTTATGATATTTCTGCAAATTGATTGCTTTTACTAACATTTTACTCTACAGCCGACAGCACTCTTTCCCAAGAGATCCTCGACCTCGTTCAACAAGCTCAACACTACCGTCAATTGAAGAAGGGAGCTAACGAGACCACCAAGACTCTCAACCGTGGAATCAGCGAAATTGTCATCCTCGCCGCCGATACTGCCCCATTGGCCATTCTCCTCCATCTCCCTCTTCTTTGCGAAGACAAGAACACCCCTTACGTGTACGTACCATCCAAGACTGCTTTGGGACGCGCATGCGGTGTTAGCAGAGCTGTTATCGCTGCCAGCATTACCACCAACGAGGCATCCGACTTGATGGGTCAAATCAGAAGCTTGAAGGACAAGGTCGAAAGACTCCAAATCTAAGCTCTGAATGATGGGGATACATTAGCTGGCGCTACACCTTAACTGCGTGATGGCGATTGGCATAGGTGTAGGGAGGAGAAAAGCTATGAGTTACATTGAACTATAGGACAGAAATCAAGCTTGTAAACATGATCACAAGTTACAATATAAATTCATTACTGGGAAACTCATTTTTTAATTGTGACGGCTTGGCTTCCTTGGCTCCTCCTTTTTCATACACTTTATTCAAAAACTCGAATTTTCTTCCGAGCATCAACTCTTCCCTCGGTAATGCAAATCTAAAGTTGTGTTTTAACACAGTGATGAGACTATGCATCCACAGTCAAGACCAAAAACGAAATGTATAGATGATTCCACACCGGACCAAAGGGATTTCCGTTTACACATATACCAAGACCGCTTCAATATGCAAGTCTGCACAGATCTGGCATTAAGCAGAGCTAGCGATAGGCGGGCAGCAGTGTGTTAGATTGATTTAATATCATTTCCCTGAAATGATAGCTTGTCTGCATACTAACTAGGTAGACTATCTGGGATTGGTGTTTGATCAAATACGTATAGTGTAAAGCACTAATCTACGTATCTGGGTTGCATTTCACCATTGACGAATTTTGAATAATTTAGTCCGTAGACTAACTAGATCATCGAGAACTATACATACATACATACATACATATATTACCCAAAGATTTTTAAAGGAGTCTTTTTTCTTTATAGTTCTGACTGTGTGATAAATTCAAATTCAAAACATATCTTGTTCTGAAATCCAGGTTTGTTCCTTTCATCCTTTTCATCCTTTCCATTCCTTTGGATACCTAGGTATTAGAACAATTTGAAAGTTGAAGAAAGTTGAAAATTGCACAACTGTTGGACTTATGATATATACATCTTTGTTCATTTAAAATGCGGAGCAATATGACTGACCCCTGTGGCATGAGATACTGTGTTCTTCCATGTTCACTAACACTACACTAACACAACACTAAGAAATAAAACATGGACTGACATCCGATATCCAAGAAAGTGGTGAGGATTTGTATTTCTAACCTTGAGTCTATTGTTCTATGTATATAATCCTCTATCTATATCTATATAAAACGCTTGACGCTCCCCTTCTAACCATGCATAACCGAAATTCCATACCATAAAATAATACAAAAACATATACATCTGCATACACTCCTATCACAACTTACTCCTGAACCTCTCTGTCTCATCTCTCTTAACGATATTATCATTATCCGCATACGGATCAACCGTCAGTCCATTGAGCGGATTCAACTGACTTGCTCTGTAGAACATATCCTCGTAGACCTTGCCATCCTTTCTTCCTAGAGAAGAGTCAAGTTGCCAATCAGGGAATGCCCATGCATCAACAAGACGTAATGCATGTGGTCTTATCTCGGATAATAAGTTCATGACAGTCTTGGTTCTCGCCAATTGGATTTGACGCACGGTGACAGCAGCCGAGGAATAGAATTCCGATGCTTCTTTCTCGAGAGTGTTGAGAGCGTAGAGACGGTAGAGTTTGTGAAGAACATCGATTGTTTCGGCGTCTAGTTCGTAGCGGAGCGACTCGCTTTGAAGAGCATCGTAGAAGTTTTTGACGACTAGGTATTGAGAGTGCGCAGTGCTGAGACGCCAGAAATCGACGAGAAGAGAGTTCCATGATTCCTTTTCTGCATCACGATGTTTGAGGGCTTCAAATGCTAAGAAAGATGTTCTCCAAGCGAAAGCGGCGACGATATCAGAATCTGAGCCAAGAATATCGTGCGCAGCACCCATATCTTGCTTCTGGAGGAAAGTTGTGAAGATTCTGGTAGTGTCGTTATTGGGGACATTTCCCTTCAATACAGCGCGAGCGGATTTGAGAAGATATCGAGCTACTTGCTGGGTGAGCATGTAGTTATCTCCTTCCCATGTTGTAGTTGGAAGGTAATCGGCATACCAAGTGCCAATACCACTGAAACTTGAGTATCCGTGACCACCACATGCTCTACGGCAAACTTCAAGACCTTCGGCAGCGGTGGTGCTTCCAAGAGCCTTGAGACCACATGATGTAGCATGTAGATCGGCCAATAAATCACTTCCGGAGTTGAGCTCCTCCGGGCCAGCACCCCTGCTGTTATCAGAAGCAGTTGCAGCATTCTCTTGCATTCTCTTCTGATTATCTTGGTATAACCCCATCATGGCCTTTCCGGTGAAGTGCAAAGCAAAGGTCGCTGCAAGCAATGGCAATAATCGGTATTGTACCATTGTGTAGTTGAGAACCTGATTCTCCCCAGATGCATCAGGTCCAGCATCACGATCTTGGAATTGCCGTCTGACAGAGGCATATCTTGTTGCGATGGTCACACCTCGAGCTAAGACACCACCGGATTGGAGAACGATGCTTGATCGGACCCAAGTCAAAGTACCATAAATCAAGGATGGGGATGATGGCTTGACGTATTTGCTGGTTTCCGGATCAACCCTAGAGAACTTGGCCAGCATGTTGATATGTGGAATCTTGACATGATTCAATAACAGGAATCCGTTATCCATGGTGTTGTAGCCAAATTTTGGTCCAATATCACCAACATAAACACCCTCCAAAGGCTCATGGGTTACCAAATCTCTGATTTGGCACACGAAGGGATGTGGACCATAGGGCTTTCCCGCAATAATAAGCTGTGCCATGACTACAGCATGATTTGCAGTCCTCCCTAAAGATCCAATCCACCATTTTGAGGCAGTGAGATGTGGCGAGTGAAGGATGAATGTCTTGTCTTCCGGATTCCAAGTAGCAGTTGTTTCTAAACCTCGCACATTCGATCCGTGTCCCAATTCTGTCTGTGCATAACATCCAATATACTTGTAGTTCTCAGCGGGTTCGAGGAATAATTTGTGTTGTTCGGGGGTACCTTGACCACGCAGGGTGGTCTTGATATTGATTAACATAATGACAACATTCAGAACATGAATCAACTCACCAAAAACATGGTTTCATGAAGGCCAAAAGGAGTTGGCTCACTGATGAGATCATTGGCGGCCCGAAATTCATCTTCACTCCAGTTGTGCTTGACTTGTAGTTGACGAAGTCTTTTCGCCTTCGCGAGGGAACTCTTGAATCTATCCACACGACCATCGAAATAGTTATTCGATTTGTCGAATACTTTATCGGCTTGGAGAATCTTCAATACACTTTCCTGACGCTCGAGTACCTCTTTCGTAAATAAAAAGTTCGAGAGCTTCTCGACATCTATATTAGACTTCTCCCTCTCTGCCTTGATGAGCTCAGTACCTTGCGGACCGGATGGCCTCAAGTCTTTGACCCATTGCGGAGGCGACATTTTGAATGATTGATATGGAGAAAAAGGTATGGATGGAGGAATTCAAACGTTTTATTTTAAGAGTGCCTTTTGATCAACGAATTCGGCCCTCGGTCAACGATGATTTGGAAGGCGTTGACATATGCGTTGGTATTTCATGAGTGCTTGAGCTTCCAAGCAATGAACCGATGCCGAGGTACAAATGCATACTTGTGATTGGTAAACTTTCTGTGGAGTAAGTAGGGGGTAAATGGGATTCCCCATCTTCATCTCCATGATTTTAAGATACACATCGCACATCGTGGTGATATTGGACCCTACTTGGAGGTCAAAAAGAATATCTTCAAATATAGTCATCAAGCGGTACATAAGTATTAGACGGTTAAATATATAATGTTACACTCAAACTGCGGGCCTATCGTCAAATGTTTTATCCTATTCGCTGCAGTCTCAATCCTTGTGTGTTTGTACAGCTCAAAACCGACCACACCACAAAATCCCATACCAATGAGTTGGTACCTTATGGGAATTTTATATTGATTACCTACTATTGGTCAATTAGAGCTCAAACATTAGCTGATTGTCTTCGAAATAGTTCGGATAGGAATAGCAGTTGTTGGAACTTAAGCTTAAAATTAGTTGTTGTTCAGGTAGAGCTTGAACATCACATTGCAAACACAAACTGAACATCTTCCAAGTCCTCCAGTCGATAGTACACAGGTAATGACATTATCTACAGACCCAGAGTTGATATTCAATGATTTTGACATTATACGTTGCTTCAAGATATTTGTGGTGAGTTTGCCGAATACTGCTGGAGGTCGTCAATAGGTTAGCAAGCAACTGATGACAATCGTTCCTTCTACTTTAATGTTACCCTTAAAATACTGTCTGTCTATACCTTCCGTTTCCACTTGCTTGACTAGACTAGGCAGCTTCGAAGATTTTGATACATTCGTTACCAAATTGTAACGTCGCTTTCATCCTAAATTAACAGAACCATAATTATTCCTCTTCTCTATCCAAATGTCACCTCAAGTTCTATTACATCGCTGGATTCAACCTACGTTCGTTTTAATGCTCCTATTTCAAGTTATCCGTGTATATTTAAATCCCTATCATTCCGATGCCAACACCTCCGCAGGAACCGCAGCAGGCACACCTGGATCCCCGTCCGGATCCATCGTCATTGGCGCAGGTAGAATCTCGATCGACATCTGATGCAAATGAACACAGCTCTTGCGCACAACGCTTGACCTCAAGGTACTGTCTAGAGGCCTGTATAGAGTCATTAAGTTGGCGTGGATGGCTTGTTTATCTTGCCTGTCTGCTGGTACTTATCATAATCATTGGGATCGTCTGTAGCGCTCATGTATATTATCATGATATGGGAGGCCAAGGCTGGCTCAAATTGAAGCAGAGAAGTCAGGAGCCGTTTGAAGAAGTCCAGAACACTTCGCAAGTATGTCTGCCGATTAGACGTCCGGGACCCTACAATTCGGTGTTCGGTCTGAGTCCAAGAAGAGCAGCCGCTGTACCTTGGTATACTTGCGGAGATCAGCAAAATAGCTGTGAAGCATACGCCCATCCTGTGAGTTTTAGCATGCTCTTTGAATACCCTTTAATGGCTGATCATTTCTTCCGCTTGCTACAGGAGATTTGCTGTCCTCAAGGTATGATTTGTCGGCCTACAACTCACACCACGTCAGGCATATACTGTTGCAATGGAACGATGTCACACTCTAATTGTCGTCTCTTGAGGGCGCACGCACGGTGCAGACCTAACCACTTTGAATGCCCGGAAGATATGGGAGGAGGTTGCTGTCCTAATTCGACGACTTGTTACAAGAATCAATGTATTCCAGTATTGAAACAACCATCTTCTGTTCGCCCGACGAATGGACCAACAGTGACACCTTGGCCCGCCGTTCCCGTCCCAAGAGAAGGAGAAATAGCACAGGGATCACGGCTTATGATATCGAAGTTTTGGTCTGCCGGCTATCCTTTTTTGGCATTGGGATTCTTGATCTTCGTAGGTGCTGCAATGGGCATGCTCTGATAAAAGTTTGGATACAACATCACGCATTGAACTATTGATGACGTTGGTCGTATATATAGTCTAGTCACCCCGGTAGTTGGAAAATCAAGTAAAAGGATCTTACTATTCCGCGCAAAAGAAGAACCGCAAGTAATATATGAATCGTGTGACGATGAGAACCAAGACGTAATGCATCGATTCATCATCTCTTGTACCTAAACAACACTTCAACTGACTCAAAGACGCCTTCATACAAACCTACCTTTCGAGTGTTCGGAAAGAACAGACCGCAGTTGTTTACCTTCGGAGATCATCGACCGAGCATCTTCTAGATACACAAAGGAAATAACCACTTGTGGAGCAACTAGCAGCAGATGGTTCCAACCTAATCTGCGTAGTTCGAGGTTTTGCGGGGTTTTGATTAATGTCTTGATCAAATCGAAGTTTTAATATACCAGGATTATCTAGTTTCTTAGAGTTTAATAAAAATCCAATTATTACTCTATAGTACTTTAGAATCACATATAGTTACAACAGGCTAGAAAATTGCAGATCTCATTAAAATAGGCAGCTACTAGGCTGTTTGAAGCTAGAAAGACCAAATATTATCTGCCGAGACCCGGACCCTATTGCCTCTTTTTTCTCTCTCCACATTAGAGATGGGCCCTTTACGTAAAGCAGAACTAGATTACAATAAAGCATAATGTAACGCTTTTTACCAGATTATACGTTATAATTACGCACGTGATCATTACACCCCTGCTATAATGATTAATCAAAATGCTTCTTAATCATCGAAGACAAAATCATTAAAAATTAGAAATCGACGAGGAGGTCAATTAATTCAATATAACCTCAAATTTACCTCACCATATTAGCCTTATATAATGCGAACTAGGTTATCATATAAAGCTAAAATTTGGCTTTACATTATGAATTATATAATTCCAAAAGCCCAACCATACTTCACATACTACTTAATAGTGCCTAATAACTATCCACCGTAAAGCACAAATGAGCACAAAACTCCACAAGCGATCGCGGAAATTTGGCGCTGTCGAGCTATATCTAAAGCGTACAAACGGCCGTCGTCACTGTTGAGCTAGAACGCTGGATGGGCCTTTCGATGGGGAAAAGAAAGAGCCTTTCAAGTTTCTCTCTGCCCTTCGGCGCTCTGGTCACCATCACAGCGGTGCACGGAGTCGAGACAGGATAATATATCACCATGGTCACGAAAAATGAGGGTCCTGTATGATTGACTTTTGGTGATCACTTCGATGTTGATACTATTTATTAAATTTCGTTCATCTCCTTTCCACGGCTGGCTTTGATCTAGCTGAGTATGAAAAACGGCAGTTGTAGAATTAATTATGCGTCCAGCTTTCTGCATCAATCATTGACACAATCTTCTCACCAAGCAATATTCATAGGCTTTTCGGTTCGTAATAGCGTAGCCATTGACGGAAAGACTGACGGCCGGTGACTTGGGAATTTTGGTATTTTAATAACTATAGCATTAGACGTCATCCACATGAGTCCAGAAGCATGACTAGCTGTTTTCTCGAACGCCATTAAAGCAGTTAGTGGTACATGGCGTCTATTTTACCATGAGAAACGGGAAGTACGTACAGTACTCGAGTAGTAGCGAAGACGCTTTCTTCAACTCTCAGATGTCTAGATACACACATCTCCGAGACTAACAACTACAGATCGAGTTTCCACGAGTCAACCAGGATATGCTAGCAGCTTGTACGGCTTTCACACCATATGCGGTGCGACTAGACCATGGCCCTCGGGCTCCTACATCATACAGAACGCAGATGGCCAAAAAAGATCCAACCATAATTTTGGTTCCCTTGGTTTCGAGTCTTCAAGGAAACTCTCCAGCTTCTTTTGAGCTAGGAGTCCTTGTTGATTTATTGACTCTCTATCTTGCTCTGTCCTGTTATCTCATCTTGTCTCCTCGGAAAAGATTTCATAACGGCCGTACCGAGATATATCCACTGGTATCGCGTAACGTTTTGGTAGCTTTAGTGGGCTTCGTTAAGCTAGGGTATGACACCGCGGAAATTAATCAAGGTGATATTTCAATTTTTACCAGTGGCGGCAAGCCATGAAACAAAGAAAAAACATACCGTTAAACTAGAGGACATATCTTGACTGTTTTGGGAATCACTTGAATAATCTACCTGGCTTTTCTTCGATGGAGCCGGGAGAAACACAGTAGCTGCCAGCATGTATACAATAGTACCTCCGCCCACACCATGCAATATGCACAGTCTTAAGTCGGGACCATCTTTATTTCTACATTCTTTGGTTTGTTTTCTCTAAGAACATTTCATTCTCGAGGATAGTTATTATTGTACGCTATCATCCAGTACGCTGGTCATCTAGTTGAAAGACAGACGTTCATAGCCATGTCTGTACTATTTTACAAACGACCGGATTATACCAACAAAGCAAATGGCCCTATAAATGCTACAGAATGTCAACGTTATGCTGAAAGAGCAAAAAGTTAGCAGGCCTTACCTTGATCAGGTTAACTTGACTGACACTTACTAGATTCTGAGCGTGCAATCCCCCCTGGACTATCATTCGAAAACGTGGTGGAAAATCGATCGCTTCCAGTAAGTTTGAAATATTCCCCAATAATGCAATTATTACTGATATTGTCAGCCATGCTCTTTAAGTGACTTTATGGACTATCTCGTTTATATTGAGCACGACGCGGAGAATCTTCAATTCTATCTTTGGTACAAAGACTATGTGCGTCGGTTCGAGGCTCTGTCCGATCGTGAAAAGCAGCTTTCTCTTGAATGGGTGCCAGAAACAACGGAGCTCCGCACTCTTGCCAAAGACACAGAGGGGAATGAAGGGAGGAAAAAGAAACCAGTGGTAGATTTGCCAGATAACAATGCTGTGGCTAAATTCAATTCAGACGTCAAGTCTACAGACGGCGTTTCTCACACCTTTTCATCAAGGGCTGATAGTGCCATTGGCAGCCCAATGGTTTCTCCAGTACCATCAAGTAACATAGGTAGGCGCTCCGGGGAAGTACTAGGCCAAGCCGGTCTCAGATGGCAACCTTGTATGTCCGAAATTTCTTCAACAACAAGAAGACTAGTGCTAAAACTATCTGCCTAGTCACCGTTCAACCTATGCGAGAAGAAGTTAACCGTATAATGCGACATTACCTCGCTTTTAACTCAGCTCGAGAGCTTAACCTATCCCACAAAGACCGCGCGTTATGTCTGCACGCCCTTCAACACACAACTCATCCATCAGCCTTTTCACCGGCTGTGGTCATAACCGAAGCTGCACTTCGAGGCCAATCTCATCCGAACTTTATCAGGTGGTCTATATGTAACGGAAATCGACCTCGAATTTTCTTTGTCCGAACTACGGGTGTTAGTACCATAGTGTTGGGCTTTGTGATCGGTATCCTATTGGTTCTCTCGAGTGCTAGTCGATGGTGGAGGGTCTTTGCGGGCCTGCAATGGTTTCTAGGCATTGCCACAATAGTAGCATCCTACAAAGGTCTATGTCTCATCATGCACAAGTCTCACAACCGCAATCTACGACCCTGGGAACAGATTCTTCAGCATGACGCCGATGAAGAATACGAACGACCCTCTTTTGAAAACTCATCACAACGGCGCATTCACATGGCGATACGCACTGGTGATGATCATGATAAGCAAATGGACGGCACAGCGATTTCTCAATCGTCGACCCTGTCGAGTTTTGGTCCAACGAATGATGTACAAGAATTTGAGGAGAAGTGGGCACGTATATACAAGAAGAAGAGTCTGTTGAGGAAGGTTTTCGATAAGACTACTTGGACGCAAGATGAAAATCTAAGGTTATTACAAGATAGGATTGTACTCGGGGCGATTGCTTGGAGCTTTATTATCACGGTGCCGTTGACGGCGCTGTTTGTTGCGTTGCCAAAGGGAAATTACTATTAGGTTTAGGGCATGCAGGACTTATCTAGATGGTACTAGATGGGACAATACTCGGATTGGACGATAACTTTTTGATACCCTGAAATGAGCTTATGTAGGTTAATTGTTGGAACTTGGGAGGGGAGGACTTTTCCAGAGCTAGCGCTTCTTTATTCGTTGTACATATATCTAATGATTCATTGCCATTATCTTTCTGAGAATGAAACGACTAAATTTCATCAGTATTAGTAATGTAATTGTGGTGGTGTGTTTTAAGGTGAAGTAATATGGATTGATTATTTTTCCAAGTACGGAAAATTGATTGCCCTTTGGGTTGGTTCACCGGGGATTTTGGTTTCCAGTAACAAATTTTTCCGTTCGGGAATTTGTGGTCTGTGCTTCTGGTATTGAGGTTTCGTGCTTTCCTGTTTTTCTGCTTACTCTCAACATACCGATTTTGCTAAATGCAATTCTATCATCCGCGTTTATGTAAGCGCGTCCGAAGATAGCTTGGATCGCAAGATGCGACGTGGGGACGGAAGACACGATCGTGAGGCTACCTACTGGCATCAATCGCATGCTCTTTTCAAGCCTCTAGCTACAGCATCTTCATCTCCAAGCGGCCGATCGGGGTCTGAGTACAAGGGAGGTGATCTTTGTCTATGATTCATTCACTTATCGGAGATATGTTTGGATCGACCATTCTTGCCTTCAGTGTTTAATATAGCCATCTATGTATCACTGCTCGGTCGTCGAATTGAGGTTCTATCTCTCGGTTCAATTCAAGCCAAGTGGTCTTATGAAACCAGCTGAATTATTTGTCTGGTTTACCGTCTGAAATTATTGATCTACCACCTTTCATGGTCAAGACATATTTTTATCGACTATGGGTCGTGAAATAAACATACTCGAGGTGCAATGTGCTGCTGTGAAAGGTTAAAATGCGCGAAGTATAAGAATGATAGGTGAGACTTTAATTGTGGCCACACAAAATCAAGTCTCTACCAATCCGATGATCTTATGAGGACAACAATCCGCTAACGACATTTGAAGGAGGCGACTTTGAGAGAAGGCTTTCTTGGCTTGTTTCATGAATTATATACTGGCTCTTCATACCCTCAGAAACCCTATTAATTTTTTTCTTATCCAGAAATGACTACCTCAGTGCCTGCTCCTGTTAGTTCGGCCGTCGCATCTCCAACTCCAGCCGTGTGTTATTCAACGTGTAGTATGAGCATCTCCTTTCTCGTCGGATTCGGAAGAAAACTCACTTTTATCTTAGACAATGCATACATTGCAGCCTTGAAAATCGGAAAGGAGCCTGAATTATGTGCATCTGGATCAGAATTCAAGGACGACTACAGTTCTTGCCAAATATGTATAGAAGCAAACAGCGGCAATGTCAAGCAGGATATAGCGGGGTATATAGAACCGCAGTTTGGGCCATTTCTTGACTATTGCGCGTCGCAAGCTTCAAGTACGACAGTGCCAAGTTTAGTAGTGAACAATACAACGACGGCCTCAAGCGACCAGTCATCCTCTTCGCTGCCTTCTTCGCTCCAGCCTTTTACGAGCATCTTTTCTAGCCTAACTTCGAGTCCTTCTGGGTCTGCATATTCTACCGCTACAGCTATTAATACCGAGCTCATTCAATTATTTAATGGAAGCATATTAACTCTTACTCTGACGAATTTAATAACTTTACGGGGTCAACCAATTACTAGTAAGATGGTCTTAACCATTCAAAATGCGTGACATTAACTTGTATTATCAATTAGCTTCGTCCTCTATCGCAACGGACTCAAAATTTAAATCATCACCTGTCCATGCACAGTTTCATGGTATACTCTTTGGATCCATTTTTGGCGGTCTATCGGTTATTGCCTTTAGTTTTTGGATCTACTGGAGATTCTGGAGGCACCAGAAGTTGCAAAGGTCGAAAGTCGGGTCCACGGCTGGTGATGAAAATGGTCACGAGAAGGCTCAATTGCATTCGGAATGTCTACGACCCAAGGAACCTCAAGAAATCGATGGATCGCCAAATGGTCCAGTCGCAGAATTACCAGCTGTAGAGCCTGTGGGTGCAGAGTTGTTAGGTACTGTTAGATCTACCGAGAAAGGTTGATTGAGTTCCAGTGGTGATGTAAGGTATATAGTTGGGTGCCTTTTGTAATACACAAAGTTGTGAACGAAGTTTGCCTTTAATTCATCTAAAAGGAATGGAATCACCAAGTGGTTTGGGTCTATCGACGTGGAAATGATTGACGATGAATCTAGCTCATGTTACTCCGGAGCCTCAAGTTCGTATATCTGTAGTCGCGGGTCAATTAATTCACATGGTCCTTCCACACACGGGTACTCAGGTATACTTCCATGTTTAATAGATTGCTGGGGATGAAATTGAATGATATCCATTTAGTGGACTCGAAAAATAACAATGATCCTATGAGGATAGTCAATACTACTACAGTACTATCAAAGTCGTGACGCAGTACTATATTTCGAAATGATGTTCTCCGAGATTGGTGAACCCTGGATATTCTTTGACACTGAGAAGTGGATTTTATGGCATTTAGTTTTGGGTCCGAAATTAGTAAATGCGAAAGCCTCAGTCTGGTTTTCCATGAAACCAACGCCTTTTTCACTTTTCTGGTTCTTCATTTAGTGGATGCAACTCTCTGCATATATTGAAATTGTTAACGCAGGGCAGATCGGTAGTTGATCCATCTGTTGCGGAACTCGCTGGCCCAAACTGCTCAATGCGGTGTTAAGGCAGGACGTTTTGTCATGTGAATCACGTGGTCCACTTTACACGTGCTTCTATCATTTTATGCTGACTCTGCACTCTTTTTAAGTGCTGTTATCGTAACAAACTGTTGGCAAAGCTAGCAAGTCCACCGCCCATTAATCCGAAAATAGAGATTGTCTGTATTTTCCCGTTTTATTTTCTTATCCTCATCGCCGTCGCATACGCATCTGCAAAAGTCAAAGAACATCTACAGGGTCTTATTGCTGACGGAGCACCATGAGTCTGCCTCCATATGCAGCCCAAGAACGGCGTCCTTTGCCTAAGAGAATAGAGCTATGCGTGTGCATGACCCTTGGCAGACCACTGAAATTGCTACCGCTCCACGAGAGCGAGGTGTATACAACTATAATTTCTGGAACATTCAAAACGGTAGTCAAGCAAACCTTTGTTAACTCTGTGTCATCGGAAGGTGGTCAAAGTTGCGAATACTCGTTTCCCGTTTACGATAATATTAGTGTTGTTGGCTTTTAATCGTAAAGTTGGCACGAAATGTCTCTACGGTTTTGTGAAGGAGAAAAAATCAAGCAGACGTCATTTCCGATGCTGCAGCGGCTAAGGACGAAACTGCCGGCATTCTCGCACAGAACTCATTGGGTCCGGTCTTTATCGCATGAAAATTGGTATTGTCCTGGCAGGAGAACGTGTTTCTGTCGAGATTACTTATATTGGGGAGTTAAAGCAAGATGTCGATGGCATTCACTTCAGCATTCCAATTTGGGTTGCTCCTCGTTATATTCTCAATAGCCTCGTTAAGCATCGATCTGCCGCTGACTCAGTTACAAGTCCCATCGATCATACCATCCGAACTAAGATAGCCGTGGATGTAATTTTACCAGAAGGAAAAATTATCGAAGGGATTGAGTCACCATCGCATATGATTGCAGTACCTATAGGAGCCATTTCAACTGCTACCCAAGAAGTTCCAAAGACCAATAGGGCGTCTACGAACCTGCCACACATAATAGCTGGTTTGGAGGAAGATTTCATTTTAGCCATAAAGTCGAACGATGAAGGGATAACTTACGCCCTTTTGGAAACTCACTCCACGATTTCGAGTCATCGAGCCCTGACTGTATCGTTTATCACACAGTTTTCTCCTCAAGATTCGCCATCACCATCAGAGATTGTATTTATTGCTGACTGCAACAACAATCTAAAAGACGACGTTCCTATGCTCATCTCGGCTTTGAAAGTATTTTTCAAGTCACTCCCAATAAATGTTAAATTTAATATTTGCTCTTACAGAACAAGAATCGACTTCTTATGGCCTCAGAGCAAGGACTACAGTAGCGAAACCCTTCAAGAAGCTATGCAATATACAGCGACATTACGTACAAGCTATGGAGGAATAGATACATTCAAGGTAATTCAAGCTACTATTGAAAGTCGATTACCTGAGATACCGCTGGAAATCATTCTCCTTACTGGTAGGGACGTCAGAAAGCAAATACCTCTTATTTCTTATGTCGGTGAGCAGGTGGAGAAAGCAGAAAGACACATTCGAATCTTTTGCCTTGGAGTTGGTAATGCTATTTTACTTTCGACGATTGAAAGAATCTCAGGAGTAGGGAATGGGCTTTCTCAACGTGTACAGAGTGGAAAGCGATTAGACACAAGTGTCATTCACATGCTTCGCGGAGCACTTAACCCACACATCGGAGATGCTACACTTGAGATCAAGTACGCAGAAGATGACGGCTTCGAGTTAGTTGATAAGGTTACGGACAAATTTGAAATTCTGCACTCCGAGCACAAAGACTTCAACACCTCTTTACCAGTGCCTGGCTCCAACAGTAAAGATGCCGATGTATGGGAAACTTGCTGTCCACAATCATCCAGGCTCCAGATAGAATACATGGTCTTTTTGCAGGCGCTAGAACAACTTTATATCTTCTTATATGTCCAAGAAAGATACAGAGAAACCCGATATCTTTTACTCTACGCAGCTCGTTGTCTGACGGGCCACCAATTCTCGAAATTTCAATTCAAATGCTCCCAGAAAAAGGCCCAACGATTCATCAACTTGCAGCCCGGAAGGCAATGGAAGACCTTGAAGGGTCCCAAGAATGGACGTACAACCAGACAACTTCTGAAACTCAAAGCTTCGCCGAGAAAGAAAGCGAGACATTCCAAGTCATGAAAAAATGGTGTTCGTTCGACAGAAAAGCAGCCCGACCATGCCTACGAGACGCGAACTCAAGATGGATCATCATACCATGTCCAAGCCCCTTGGAACCCCCAGAAACGAAACCAGATCCAGCTTCCATAGCCGCTATCAATGCTAGGTGTCCGGATAGACGCCCAATGTGGAGACCATCTGGGGCGATGTTACGAACACTCCATCCATCTAATCCATCCGCCAGTCCTGGAATGCAACCAAGTCAAATAAAACCACCTACACCTGTCGTTTTTCCAAATCCCAACACGACGAAATGGCTCGCTTTAATCGATCTGCAATCTTTCGACGGTTCGTGGGATGCGCATGCCCTTCATCTATCCCAGAATTCGAGATACCTAAACTAGGGCCGTCACAGGTTATAGACGAGGATATTTGGGTCACGATGCTGGTGGTCCGGTTTTTGGAAGTTCGTATACCGGAGGAGAAAAATGTGTGGTGCTTAGTTGTGGAGAAGGCGCGTCGCTTTGTGAGAGCGCGTTTAAATGCTTCCGTAGATATGGATTTACTTTCACTTGAGGAAATGGTTGGGGCGGCTGTTCTGAATACTTGAGTTTTCTTGGTATCTATTTTAGCGTAGCTTCAAAATGGGCTTTTTCTCTCTTTTACTTATTTCTTAATCTAGGTCGTGGAATAATACAGAGTTGCAGCACGTAAAATATCCTCAAGGAGATGCATAACATTAATTTACGTTTTATAATCACTAATCGTATATCCTGCCTGCATATATATGTTCCAGCCATTGCGCGATTTTGACATTCCGAGATCAACTTAGCTTATTCCGAAATATTATGTTGCAAAATAAGCTAATTGATATCAAAATTAAAAAAAGTGAGGGTATTCACAAATAAATTAAGTTTATATAAAAATACTATAAATAATACACTAGTTCACTCGTAAATAGGCTAATATGTACTGAGTATATCTCATCGCAGCCCCCGACCTTCATTTTCAATCTCATCGTTGCGTCTGTCCTTATTTCCAGCCTCAGAATTCTTATAGGCTTTGAATTCTTATAAGATTAGACTTTAATTTTCTGTAAACCTTAACTTATTTGTCGAATTAGTATAGTGAAGTACTAAAAATATTTGTCAATGAACCAGCTCATTTGCGAAAAGCCTCATGCTTACCTGAACGAGGTGCATTGGGCAATGAGCTAGTTTATTCTAAAATCAAGCTCATCAACGAATAACCTGGGGCGTTGAGAATGAGCCAGCTTATTTCGGAATTCACATAGTTGATTTGGAATGAGAATATTGTGTAGTGGCCCGGAATATATATGTATATAAAGCCTATACATAGAGGGGAATAGAAGAAGCATTCTACTCAGACTTTGAACGAACTCAAGTTCTACAAAAGAAAGCCAGGTTTTATTCCAACGATTTCCATTCTCTGCATAGGCTTTCTCCCTCTCTCCGCCTCAATTTCCATACTTTCTCTTTATATACCTTAAACTTCGCATCACTATGATACTCAAGTCGTATGTATCATATATACGACTTGTTAAATCCCAACTCAAGGCCAAGGAAAGAAGAAAGAGCAAGAGAAATAATGGGAATCAATACGTATACCATACCACCCAGTACGAAAAACGAATCATCGAATATCGGTATATCAGGAAGTTTTGATGTCTTGGAAAGCCTTTCAATATGAAGGTTTTCCCTTACTGCATCGAGCCGGAGATTTGTTAAACATTCCAGTCGCATGGGTATCAAAAACACTTTTCAAAAATGATGAGTAGGAGATGTATACACTCCATGATTATTGATTGATATAATTCTGAAATATGAGATGAAGTGTCGAGAACTCGAGAAAAGTATGATGCGTCAAGTAGTGAAGCGGCGTTATGAGGTAGTGTTCTATGAGACAAGCGCATGACTAGGATATTTATACATACAGTGTAACATGCTGCATTAATAGTTACTATGGCATGCAAACACAGTTTATGTGTGTGGAAGACAAGATGAAAAGCTAATCACATGGTCATAGATATCTAGACCTTTAGCCACCAGTTGCACACGGCATGCCGGGGCAATTCAACCATGTTATGCGTTGCGTAAACGTCCAAGAGTAACATAGGGAAAGAGAGAAATCATTAAGAAAGAAGAGGAGAAAAAGTATCTGGATGTTCAGAGGGGAAGCAAGGAGGCTCTGCCCGCGCCGTCGTCACCAACAGCAAAATTCTTGTTTAATTTCCCATCAACCTTGTACGCTAGATCCACATACATCATCTGGGAATGTGACCAACAAGTGAACAACGCCTCGCAGCCTGCACACCCACACCTCCTTGTAAGCTGCAAACTGTTGCAGTTGAAGAAGCGGCTTAAAGGTTGAACAAATGGGACAAGGATTGGAAGATGCCTAGAGTCAGGAGATATGGCAGATGAGCAATTCGCCAATGCAGGACTGTGAGCGAATATGCAAGATGCCCCTCACATTGTGGAACTAGAAATTTTAAGCTGAATATTTTCCTATGGAGAGTTGAGTATAGAGGGGGCATTTCTTCTCTGCATAAGCATGGAAAGTAGTACATTATAGCACGTGAGATCCATGTGACAATTTGCAATCAGCTAAGATTGGCAGGAGCTTACGTACAATATGCACATGCACATTGTACGCACAAAATCAAACAGGCAGGACGCACTCTGAGTGGATCAATTGTTGCTGCGAGTAATCTTTTCGTGATCCACCAGCACTTTATTTACCCGCCGGCACTAGAGTTAATTTGGGATTGGCTTGTGCTGAGAGGGATGCATTACATCGTGACGAAATTGATGTGCATGCATTTTAGTGGCTTGATGTCCAGGTTTCTAAATAGAGAATGAAAGGTAAAGCATGCAAGCGGAGAAATAAATGATCGTGAATGCAGGATCCTTGACCAAATGCGTCTTTTACATGGTAGTTTAGCCATTAGCGACGGCATTGTGGAGGGGATGAGATTGATTCATTGGATGTGCGTCTGTGGGACGACTTGCAGATTGGAGATGATAGCACGGACGGCAGAGTAATTGAGCATAAGCAGGCAAGGACACAAGAGTAACGGTAAAGTGTGATGGAGCTGTCAACATAATCGGCCCTGTCATCGGTTGTCAATGACTTGCGAGTTGCTATGCTCAATTTTGTATATTGACTGGAAGAAGTAAAGATAATTGATTTACTAGGAAAGCCGTTGAAGATCTAGATTCGTAGTTATAGTTCGTAAAAGGCCTAATTGAAAGATTGATTTGGAGATGCTATGTCTTCGGTATGAGCATGAGCATGAGCATGAGTATGAGCATGATTCTACCTGAGCGGGGACAGACAAGAGGGAATTGGCCAAGCTAACAAGGCTGATAGTGGCATAAAAAAGATTCCTCGAGGTGTGTATCCGCACGATAAGCAGGATTTGGACCCTGCCTACCTATCTGTCATCACACCGTCGCTAACCCTTGCTTCGTCATTCACTTTATTATAGAATGATTGTTGATCAGTCCTGCAACTGACCATTCTCCCACTGCGAACTTTGCGATATCGTACTGCTTTGCTGACTGCGTCGAACGCTTGTGGTGGCTGATGGCTAATGACAATATTATGACTATCAATTCATCCGATATAAGAAATGAGGTACGCAAACTCGATTTTATCCATGTGAACGCCTGCAGAATTATTCGACGCACTTGATGTACCCACTTCATTTTAACATCAATGCCGCCAATTCTAACTCGACTCTTCTTTCCGTTGAGCTATATTATCTCGTGAATTCTTTCTTGTTGTGATCATGATGAGGTCTCCTTTGATAACTATGTTCCCTTGTGCGCAATTGATCCACTTCGGTGAATTTATAATATATGGAGTATAGTAGATTAGATCTTAAGACAAGTATCCACTCTCCATTATCGATAAAAGTATCTCATCCATCACAAGAGTCACTATTCAAGGATTACCTAAAAAAGGTTGTGATGGAGATTTTGTTATGATAGGATGATAGGATGAATGTTTTGCGTTTTGTTCTCCCATCGGTACATACCACTTGCGACCTCAAATTAAGCGAGAATTATTCTTAGCCTTTCCCTAAAATCTAAATGGTTGAAAGGAGCAAGGATTTAGTCGCCAAAACACTGGATTGGTTCTAGTTCCCGTCCATCCACCATTTCACTTGCTTAGGCGCCCAATAACTGCAGCTCAACCTTGATCGTCGAATCACATTGGGTCTACGAGTGATTTTTTCTTGAGTTCTATCAATTAGATCGTATAATTCGTGGAGTCCAAATGCATGGTAATCTATTAATCTATCCGGACTGCATGCGCACACATTGATCAACGAAACTAACTTATTTCCCCTCATCAATGGCTGCAGCTTCCCCCTTGTCCAATATTGTCTTTGGCTGTCCATTTTTGTATGCGAACGGGATTTGCGGGATCCTAGGATTTTAATCAATTCTGCACCTTCTGCGCCTTGCCATAGGCAGTCGTGTGGTGGGTCGATCCAATGATCAATCACAATGGCTATGATGGGTGCCTCCTCCTCTGCGACCATAAAGGGACGCTGTGCCCCCTCTCAAAATATCTTCTTTTCTCTTCAGCAAGCAATCAATTCATTCTCAAGAGCTAGTCTCCTTCCTTTCCTCCCTTTTTTCTTCGTTTTTTCACCTTTTTGTTTTTGTTTCCCGTACCCAAAGAGCTGTGCTCTGTAATATCATACCAAAATCTTTACATTCTAATCACTCTATCAAGTTGCCGGTCAACTTTTTATTAATTTTTTATTCACAAATCTCCTAATTCACACAATCCGAATTATACCCCTAACGACTAGTCTCTTCTTGCTCAAATCAGCCAATTTCAGTACATTGAAAATTTCCCCTTTAGTATTTTGCATCAAGGATCTCAAAATGGCTGCTATTCAATTGTCATTCTCTCTTCGTGTTTCTTCCAGTGTTAAGACCGTTCATTTACTTGGTAGCTGGGATAACTATGCTGGTCAACTTCCACTCGCTAAGGACAAGACTTCTTCCAAATCTGGTAGCTGGAAAGGTACTTTCAGATTTCAAGGCACCACCCTTCAACCTGGTCAAAGATATTGGTATTACTACATCATCGATGGATACCATGTCTCTCACGACCCTGCCATATCATCGACTACCGAGCCAACTACTGGTCGCGTCCTGAACATTCTCGATATTCCAGTTGAATCATCTTCAAGATCATCCAAATCCAGTTCATCAAGCTCCAAGCATTCTTCCAGTTCATCATCCAAACATTCCTCACATTCGTCCTCCCGCAGAGAGTCTCGCCGTGACTCTCACCTCAGCGTTGACATCCCCAAAGGTCGACCCCTCTCCATTTCTCAAATCAAGTCTCCTAAACCCATGTCTCCACACGCCACCAAGCACATTCTCGAAGCCGACTACGCTGGCCCAACCGTCGACGAACTCACCGCACGTTTTGGTGTCGCCACTATGGAAGAGTACGATTACGATTACGATCTTCCAGGATCACCATCTTCGTCCGTCGGTTCTACCATCTCCGACACCAGTGGTACCAGCTCGCCATCTTCTGCTTCGAGTATGAGCGATTATTCATCAGGTTCCAACACATCAGCCTGCACGTGTGAACGATATGGAATTACGAGAAAGGGGGACAGAATCAAGTTGGATTGCGGAGGATCTCGATGTGGATACAGCGATTCCGAGTCATGTAGCTCTGAAGATGAGGTTGAGTACTCACGATCATCTCGCAGAAATGGTATCGTTGTCCGTCGATGAATGAACGCTTAATGATTTTCCTGGACTGGAAATACCAACAAAACACCTGGACGCACACATAGCGCCACGAAGAGAGAGTAGTGCCATTTAGCCACTCTACGAATCTTCATCCTCTGTACACATATCACGTCAAGTCTGGTACTTGTCACGATGTGTGTTTCACGGGAAGCCGAATCCCCGGCGCAAAAACGAAACGAATGATTTATTCACGACTTTCATGTACATTTTTTAATGGAGTATTGTTTACTCGGTCTGTTTTTTACCAAGGAAAAACCCGAAAATCAATTACTTTCTTTTACACACGACAAGTTTTCATTGAACCCTTTTCAGTCCTTCCTCACTTTGGGGAAAGAAAAGAGAGGGTTACCACATGAAGAGGAGGAAAAGGGGAAGACAAAATTGCCATAGGCCTAGGGAGAAGAGTGATAGGCACAGGATGACGATAGACGCATGCTCATGATGAAATGAGAGATGATGGGTCTTTTTTTTTGGGGAATGAAACTTGATGGTCATGATTCATGATGATGAGAAATATTGACATGAGAGATTGGATGATGATTACGTGTCAGATCATGATAACGAAGTGATAGATAGATAGGATAGAGGACAGTTGAATCTATTCCTTACCAATTTTTGATTCTTTTGATTTGTGTATTGTGATTGTGAGTGATTTGATTGTACTGGTCTCCGGCCTTTGGCCTTGCTAGTGTTTCATATGTCCATTGTCTCCAGCACAGCACTTCAGGCAATAATGCATTACCAATTCCCAATAAAACTTCAAATGCGAAGATCAAATGAGAAATAGACAACTTTATTCTAATCAGACACAAGCTTTCACACACCATCTAGAGCGCAGCTCAACAACTTAGAACCAGTACATGACCCATTACATCCTGTCCCGACCCAAACACAGACCTCAGCCCCGACCCCATCCTTTCTATTAATATTCCCATCAACCGCCCGCCAGCCCTTGACCTCACTTCAAACCTGTTCCACCAAAATTTCTTCATCCACGATCCTTCATCGTGTATTCTTTGGCCATGACTACATGTACACTTTTGCGGAGTATGTAAGATTTGAGATCTTACAAGGGTGAAAGGACGGTATATGTAGCACATGCATATCATCAACTACTTCCCATTACTTTCCATTTCCATTTCTAATTCCAGCTCCATTACCCAGGATTCAATTTCTAAATATATCAAACCAACCCCGACTCGACATCAGACATCGGACACCGCATAAACCATGAGCTTTGCGTGTAAAATTATAGAATATGAATATTTAATTTGGCAGGCTAAAAGTATCATCTTATATACACCGTATTGGAAATATAAGCTAAGTATTTAACCTTATAAATATTCCGGTTGATGAATCAATGTATGGTTTTCTAGGCTTAATATTTGTAGTGGGATAATTTGACGCTCCTGATTTTTAATTTTTGGTTACGTAGGAATCGGCTACATATCTTATATCCCTTGAATCTACCTGCGATCCCTTGGATAGATTTTCATCTATAGTTTGTGTATGAAGTGCTATAGCTATATTGTAAGGAATTTTTTAACAAGGAGACTATAATGACTATAATCTCGGTAGTCTTTTCCACTCGGGATATTTTCAAAGCTACTATTTCATTTTATTATTTCATTTTATTATTTCATTTTATTATTTCATGTTATTATTTCATATCGTCTTCATCCTCCATCAAGGGGTTCTGGTTATCCGAGAGCCACAGAACCTATTATTGGAGTCTTATTACTTGATCGAGTTGAGTGTCGCATGAAAATTTTATATTTCTCCAGTCAGATATCCGTACGCATTCACGAAGTAGCGGGATACGTCTTCCCCAAAAGGAGCGTTGATATGTCATTGTCCAACCTCTAGAAAGCTGGAGAAATAACTTCCCAATCATAATCTACGAAGAAGAAAACGACTGAGCTAGCGCTGCGGCCTACAGTGCCTAAGCCTGCCCTTCACCTTGTCAATATTGAGTTCGCTGAAACATCCAAGAGGTCAGTTTTCCTATCGATCAACCGGCCCTGGAGCACTTGGTTCGCGCTTATGTTTTCGCACCTCGGAAATGAAAACTGCCTCCACCGCGCCACATATAGGTCAAGATTCTCAAACTTCTTCCCTACCTCCCCCCAGTTGATATCAGCTTGGAATACAGCATAACTCATAGTGAACTTGAATCTCTCCGTCGATTCACTACCCTAACAGCTACAGATCGCCTGAGTATGGAACTCGCCATCGATATGCAGGTAAAAAAACTTCACTCGAGGCTTATAGACCACGAGCTTGTCCTCTTTATCTCTGCTGATGTTAATATGCTGAACGAGGTTCGACAGGAGCGAAAATAGTTCTGAACCAGAAGTAAAGACCACAAAGAGTAAGCACACTTTATTATTATTCGTGATAAACATTGCTCAGGAGTAAATTCCTATTCGGTGCGTACACCCGAACCTCCCATTCTCCAAGCTCTCTAAAATTCAAATTCATGACCACTCAGTAACAACGGTGATTCGTCTTCATCTACTTGGATTTACTACTGACAAGCAATGAAATTGAAGTTGAGTTAAAGATTCCTGACTTTCATTCTCTGCCACTGATGCGAGAAGTCGTACGGCGTCTGCAGATACAGATATTCCCTCATTTGTATTGAAGTCGGCTTGAATATTGAGCTGTGAAAGATGTCTGACATTCATGTCGTTGGTGAACTTGTGATGAACATCGTCCTTCATAGAAAGTAAAGTATCAACCGATGTATCATCGAGTTGATGATCTCGAGCTATACCAACCAAACGAGCAAACTCAAGGACGGGAAGATCATCTTCCTCTTCCTCTTCCGAAAAATCTTGCGCATCTGGTAGTTGGGACAACGTTTGGTTTGTCGGGTCATGACTCATAGTATAATCCATTGTGTTTTCTGGATTATCCATAGTGTAATCCATTGCATCATCTTGAGAGCTCATGGTATTAACCAGGCCATCTTCTTGAGACAGCGCCGTATTATCCACAGTGTAGTCCATTATAAGATCGTGTTGGAGAAAAGATCCCTTGGACAAATTCACAAACCGCGTTCATGAAAACATCATCTACTTCACCAATTTCTTCTGGAAGATCTCTGGGGACAAAACATACCACGAGGGAGACACTAAGTTCCTTATCATGCTTCCTTCATAACTACAACGAAGAGATCAGATAATACAATAAGTTATGTAGGTAGTTATGTGATAGATGGAGGTGAAGTGAAACTGAAAGTGAAAAGTGAAATAAACGAAGTACCTGCCACGTGATATCAGGCTTCCGTCGAGAGGCACATCTATGTTTTGAAAGGTACTATGCAATTCAATACAGCTCCGAAATGAAAAACTACTCATAAGACCCAACTTCATTTTGAGTTAAGATATACCTACTACCAAAGGCTACTTCAAGATTGATATTACCCACGTAAAGTTACCGCTGGCGCAGCACGTGATGAAGCCAACACCATGGAAATCCATGGACGAGCCGGAATGCAACGCTCAGTGCTTGATCATGACGATTTACAGTAAGTACCAGGGCAGATACCATCAATTCCTTGATAACCACTGTTTCATATGATGACCTGCCAGGACCTGAGGAAGATGCTGCTGTCCCACATAGGAAGATGGGAAGAAAGCAATTTCTTCATAAACGACGACAATCGATTGCATGTTAGCTATAATATACAGATCCAAAATGCTGAATCCCCTTACCAGTATGAAACCACTGACGCATCTACATATTCGATCCTATCTTTACTCATGCAACGCGGTTGTCGCGAGAAAACTCTTATAAATGATAATTACGTAATAACACATGACCAATCACTCGTTTTGTTGCACATCTAGTAGAGCTTATCCAGGTGAGTTTTAGCAGGTACTTCGCGAATTTGATCACAACGTTTTCCAATCCAAATCCTTCCAAATTATTACAACTTCGATCCAGCAAACAAACAGCCTTAAAAAAATCAATCACAATTCATCCATCTATGCTTTCCATATTCTAAAACATTGAACGGTTATTATTGATATGGCCTCAATCAATACTTCATTTCATTTTACAATTGAAGCTTTTGATATGAGGAATTGGTGATTCGAGTAATTAATCTTTACTGTGTCGAGCGAGTTGGTGGTAGTGGCTGGGAAGTTAATGGCAGCCACACGAATGACAGACACGAAAAGTCTGTATCTACATAAGGAGAATAAAATTATTCAGTAAATCTGTATATTTATGTGTCAAAATTCGTTCAGGATTTAATTCGCCTTCAAAGAACTCCTCCAATGCCAAAACAATAATAAATATATCTACCAAGGTACCATGACCTTATTCCCAAGAATGTAGCAAAGTTAAACTCCCTGCCCCGATTCCCATTTCCTGAACTCCATGTCCAATATAACTAGCTGTTTACAAGTCCAGACTTCATCTCAATCATTATAGTTGCTTTGTCCACTTCCATCTTTATTAACAACAGGTAATCCATACTTCTCACCCAATTCCTCTTCCTGACTCCTCGCGCTTTCCTCCAAAACTGGCTTCTCCCCATGACAGCACACCCTCACAGCATGTCTCCGATGCGGTGCAAATCCATACGAAGCAGTATGATTTGAGATCCTGTTATCCCAAAACGCCACATCATCCCTTCCCCATTGGAACCTCACGTGCAGTTCTTGAGTTGTCGAAACAACCTCATTCAGGTATGCAAGGATAGTATCACTTTCAACTTTTGGGACACCAACGATTTTGGTAACGAATCCCGGGTTGAAGAATAGTGATTTCCAGCCTGTGACGGGATGTGATGATCGGATGATGTTCTGTGATGATTGGATCTCTCCTCACTGGTCTCCTAAAGCTCGTGATCCTTCGGCTTGTAGATGGGATGTGTGGAGTGCGGTGAGGGATTCAAGATATTTTGCATAGGTGCAGAAAGCGCATCATAAGCCGCGTATTGAGAAGACCACAAAGTATCACCGCCGCCACCACGAGGAGGGCCTGTAAGTACCTTGAGCGAGGTATATGATGGTGGTTGGATCTCGTATGTTACGTCTGAATGCCAGAGGAAAGTAGGTGTAAAGAGTGCTCTCTGATCTTTTGAATTCTCGTCCGTGTATACCACATGTACATCATCTAAATCACCACGTTTTGGGACGGAAGTTGTAGCATGTTTATGCAGTGTCCCGAAATAAGAACCTAACTTGCGTTGTGCTTCAATGCCAAAGTTCTTTTGGTTGCGAAAAAAAACGACGCCACGAATTGAAATGAGTCGAGCAAGATCATTTTTGGCAGCATCCGTTAGATTGGCTAGATCAACGCCATGCACTTCCGTTCCAATTTTGGGGACGTAGTCAAATACTTCAGTTGCAGTAGCCAGTAAATCCTTGAATGTGTCAGAACCCAGAAGTCCTTTGTCTGAATATGGAAGCTCTTCTAGTGCTGGCCATTTTTTATCGGGAAAGGAAGGTCGGAGATCTTCATGTTCGTAGGTGTCGTGCTTCTCGACTATAGTGCGCCCTGGAGTATAGGACAGTGTGGATTTTGTGGGGCTAGATAAAGCTTTGAATGGGACGCCGGTAGGCCGACTTGAGTTGGAGCTTGTTCAAACCCGACTTCTAATGAGGGAGCCATTACGTGGACACGAGATAAGATGTAGAAATATTCCAGGAAAGTTTTTGATCCACACAGAAAGATTGGTATCTGATCTCGGTAGTAACAATGGGAATGGTTTCAACGTGGTTTGGGGAATTGTGTCTACATGGAAATCTACCTATATAAGGCTAATCCCGAATGACATGGCACCATCAACCCTATCAAGCACACCATCTTGCGTTTACAAACACTAAAATCAACAAATTAAGGAATGAGTTAGCTTGAAACTTCAGTTGACGTGACACACCCACATACGCTTGCTTCCTCTAATCCGGAAGTCCAGGCACACACAGTAAAGCAGTAATACAATCCGCCATAATTTATTATTAAACTTGTACTCACAAGTTTAATTCTGCGGAAACCTATAGTTCTCTGGCTCGTACCGGGAGCTTGACAATAGAGTTCACTCGAGCTCACAATTGCATCTTCGCGAGAACATTTTTTGGCTGGATTTGCATGAAATCTCCAAATCAATCATCCCACCGCCATTCTAAACAAGTTCCATTCCCAGGGACAAGGTCATGGAATACTTTTGTTGCGGAGCCAAGGCTAAAGATCGACTCAAAACATGTGTGGGGAATATGATAACGGCATCATTTCTTGAATAAAGTACCGGTGATACCATTCCAAATATATCTTTTCTTTCAAGTCGTCATTCTTTAACAAAGACGCCCTAAGATATAATGCATTGACAAATCCCACTGTACTGGAGCAACAAGCCTCCACAAAGCGCCCAGATCCCTGATTATGAAACGTATGAGCTGACGTTTTGGTTTGGTCCCCAGAATTTACTTAGTAATATTCAACGAGACTCGCCATCGAGAGGATCTAAGGCGTGATGGGTTTCAGTGCCGATGATTTCGATTCTGATAAGAAGTACGAAATAGTATAAAGTTTCCAGTGAATCTTGAATCCAAAGTTGGCGGTCAGACTTCTGACTGTGTGGTCGATCACCTCATAGATATCGCCATATCACGGACGTTAGAACGCCCCACGGCGAGTAAGTTTAGTTTTCGCTGACATGCATTTTGTTGATAGAGCATTGAAGATTAAGTGAAATGCCGTATTGCGTGGCTGTCAAAACATTAAACAGTGCAGGCAGGCATTTTTCTGCGAAGCAGATTTGGTTAGCTAGGAAAAGGCGTCTGCTGTTTTGACCCAAAACAAGGTGTGGCTGAAATTCAAGATTGTTCACCAGCCACACCACTCAAAATGGGCTACGAAATGGTTCTCAACAGGTCAAGGCACAGTTAATGCATTCGAAGATAGAACATTAGTTTTCATTTTTAATATCTCCAATCAATGCATACTTTGCTTGCTTTTATCGTGAAAGTACCGACAAGAATGCTACGTAGAAGTACGAGCACATATACTCGAAACCCAAACTCCTGAACTCCACCCATCCATCCACCTACATCAATTTCTAGTCCCCGTTAGAACGGATGCCCCAGCCCGTTCACTCTATATACACCAACTCCTCAATAAACACCGCCTCTCCCCCTTACACTTCCCCCATGAACACTATCTCCAAACCCCGTCGGCGCTTCATTCCTCCTGTCTCTGTCCCCAGGTCCCGTAAAACTCCCCAGCTGCAACGCTTGAATGCGTTCCCTACTTGCGCCAATCTTCCCTGCCACCTGTAAAATGCTTTGCTCAAACTCAACAAGCGCCAATCCCAACTCCTGGACCGGGTTTTCCTGCTGATAAGCTCTTCCATTTCTGCGCGCAAGTAGAGCTTGTGTTTGTTGCGCTGTGCTTTGTTCTAAACTCCTTAGATGTGCTTCAATCTCTGAGAAATTGCTATGATATTTCTTGAGCGTGGCATCTAATTCATCAGCCGTAGAGGAAAAATATGAAACCAAATCCTGAGCCTCAGCGTCATTGACTGCACTATTGGGATTATTCGTGGATTTTGTGGCCCAGATGCCGGGTGTTTGATATGGTGCAGGTAATTTTAGATTGTCAATTGCGCGGAAACTTAGAGTTGCATTGTCGGCATCCTTTTTGACTAATTGACGGACTTGATCGATGTCTGCGGCGTCGCGTTCCATGGCGTCTTCCATGCCGAGTAATTTCCTTCGGCAAAATTCGACGTCGTTGGGAATGTGCTCGAGAAGCTTGCCATGCTGGGGCATAATGGCTTCGCAGTCGTTTTTCATACCGATTTGCTCTTGAATCACTTTATCAAAATGTTCGATTTGTTTCTGTACGGTCTCATTAAGATCATTGAATCTCGTGGTTCCGCGCATTTGACTAAGATCAATTTGGACGCCTGGAACGAGTTGAGGTTGTTGGGTTTGACCCAAAGACGACTACCACCCAGCATGTTGTAGGTTGTTTGGCCTTGTTGTTGATTTTGAGCGGGTGCGCCGAAAAGAGAGGAGGGTTGCTGTGACTGCGGCTGGGTTTGTTGACTTGCTCCACTGAGCTGGTTAGTTGACGTATCATAATTTCTTTTCGCAACGAGAGCTTACAAGAGACCTCCAGATGCTGCAGGGTTTGCTTGGTTTAGATTTCCAAATAATCCACCTCCATTCTGCGCCGGTTGTGACGTAGCGGTACCACCAAAAAGTCCACCACCTGTACTTGCGCCAGCTGTCTGATTATTTGCTTGTGTTCCCCAGACCCACCACCAAACAATCCACCACCGGAAGCTCCTTGAGTCTGGTTATTGCTAGTGGTCGCAGATCCGAACAATCCACTGGCTGTAGGAGCTGTTGTCGCGGTAGTCGTTGAACCAAATAATCCACCACCAGTCGGAGCCGGTTGAGAAGTATTTGTATTTCCGAACAATCCACTAGTCGCAGGTTGAGCGGGAGCAGATCCAAATAGTCCTCCACTTGCTGGCGCAGAAGTCGCAGCTGCAGGAGTCGAACCAAATAAACTACTGGTTGCAGGAGCCGCTGACGTTGTTGAACCAAATAATCCACCAGTTTGAGAAGCAGATGTGGTTGTGGTTGCGCCGAAAAGACCTGTTGAAGGCTTCGCAGCCTGTGTACTTCAAACATTCCTCCTGATGCTGGTTGGGTCGCGCCTGATCCGCTACTGAATTGAGGTTAGAATCGCTCTTTCTTTATCTGTTTCGTTTCAATGTTCTTTCTTTGCAATCTTTCACAATGGAATTATTTTGATAGCTTTCTCTGCTCCACAAAAAGCTTGGGCAATGGGTTGACACGACAAAATAAATAAATCCCCGGAGCGCAATAAATTGGATGAACTTACAACAAAGAATTGGCAGAATTAGTATTAATACTTAATCCACCTGGACCAGAAAAGATCTAGTCAAAGCCATTTTAAATAATTTTTATTGTCGCGACCTTTGGATGATTTTCGAGTAAAAGGAAAACATCAATAGATTTTCAGGGTCATCTTGTCCTGAAACTAAAGCCTGGACGCGTCTAATATTCACTAAGACTAAGGCGGCCAGGCTGTTGTGTTACAGTAGTATCATACTTATTGCGGCAACCACCAATCCAGAAATTACAACACGGACTCTCAATAGAGCCCCAAATACTCAAAATGGATATTGATGAAGATGATGATTTTTATGCGCCGGAGGAGAGTGCGCCAATTTCATTAAATGAAGCCGATCCAGCAGAAACTGCGCAGCATGAAGTCAAATCCGACCAGCAGGAGGAAGATTTAGAGGAAGGCGAGGAGGAAGATGAGGGAGAAGATAGTGATTCGGTACGATATGGCTACATTGAAGCTTTGTAAAGCTGTCGCTGATACATACATAGGACATAGATATTATAACAGAAAAGAAAGATGGCGCTCCACCCTCAAAACCCAAGTACGTTTCGCGCCCAGCTCAGAGCTCAGAATTAATGTGAAAATAGAGGCGCAAACTACGATAATCTTCCAAGTGATCTTCCAAGTCATACGAAATCCAAAACTGAAGCAGATGCGAAAGCTCCCGCTGTGAAAACTGAGAAACCAAAGAAAAGCTCCGAGACTCAAGCAATATCTGGTGCAGAGTTACCTGGTTTGGCAATCTCGAAAATCGATGTAAATGCGAAGCCCATGTATGAGCCAGCGGGAAAACCAATTACACAAATCAACATTGATGAAGGTATTTATCCTCTCTCAATCTCACCATCACACATATAATTAACCTCAAATTCTCCAGACCTCAATGAAAATGATAAACCTTGGAGAAGACCCGGCACAGACATATCCGACTATTTCAACTACGGTTTTGACGAATTTACCTGGGCTCTCTACGCCAATAAACAAGAATCTTTGCGCTCGGAATTCGACCCCAATAAAATTGCACAGAATAATAAGAAAATGTTTGAGGATATGAATATGATGATGGCAATGGGTGGAATGCCCGGTATGCCAGCTGGAGGCGGAATGCCTGGAATGGAGGGAATGACACCAGAAATGATGCAACAAATGCAACAAATGATGGCGGCGAGTGGGATGGATCCTAGCCAGATGGATCCCTCAATGTTTGGGGGCTCAAATCCAGCGGGCGGGGCAGGTGGATTTGGAGGTCAATTTGGTGGTGGAGGTTTTGATCAGAATTTGATGGGGTCTGGTGGTGACAATAGTAATCGTGGGGGAGGCTTTGGAAGAGGCAGAGGTAGAAGGGGAAGAGGAAATTGGTAGACATGATATACTTCATAGGTCATGTCTGTTCAAATTTGGGAGGCATCTCAATTAGTGCCGAAGTATACCCAGGTATTGTACAACAGACTTCAACTTGTAAAAGGGGTTTAGACAGCCTCCTTGTCTCAAGCGACCACGTGATGGAGAGTGATAATTAGTTTTTCACAAATCAGTCTTATCAGGTCTTCTAGGGGTATTTTATGACACTTGGGAATGATATTTCATGTATCATGATATATCAATGGTAGGAAAAGCGTGTTATCTTTCATGTGTAAACCACACCGCGTTGCCACAGGCAGCACGAAGTAATGAATGAGAATTCTTTTCGTCTCAAGTGGAATTGTAATGTGCATGATATTATGTCTTTACTTAGTATTTTGTTTAATTGGAGTTTTGGAGTTGTGTTTTTTGGGGGTGTCGGGGGGCATGGGTGTTGGGTAGGGAGTATGGTTGTTTAGTCAATAGTGTGAAGAAGTAGTGTGAAGAAGTAGTCTAAAGAAGTACCTAGTAATTTGATTTTTGTGCTTTTGCTCTTGCATTTTTTACTTCTTCTTTATTCACACTTGGCGCATGGCCATTACCCAAAATATACATATCAAGTGGCTGTATGCCGAGTCCGATGCTCCGTATTGCGAAGTCTATGGGAATTTCCTGTATGCTGTTGTGGCCTAAAGTTTTGGTGTTTATGTTAGTTCTCTGTAGATAGCGATGGGGGGCTTGGGTGATTGTTTAGCTTTTAGCTTTTTTGAGGTAGGTAGTTGATGTAGTGTCTATAATGAGGATATTTTGGTGCTATGTAAGGGCTTTAGGATCTGTGAGGTTGTTAGCCGTTGCTGCTGCGCAGATTCGGTTGGAACGTACCAGAAAGGAATATGCATGTCTAGAGACTGAAACCCGCAGTTATTTGAAGTAACGTGATGGTGACATTGTAATGTTCTGTTGCAGATTCAATATTAGATTCAGTTTTCGAATTCAGGTCTGCTGAGAGCACCTAGTGCTATGAGTAGAGGAGAAACGCGCGAAGGTGAGCCTGGGGATACATTTCTCCTTGGTAGTTCTCCTGCACGTTCTTCCGGTACCCTCTTCTGAAGTAAAATGAATGGTTGCGAAAGGGGAAGTTAAATAGGCACTTTAAGCTCTAATTTTCTACCGTGAGCATCTTCTTTCATGATGTTTTCTTCTTCTTTTGTTGTATTTGTCATCTTCTGCTATCTTTGTGTAAACTTCTGAGTCCAGTAGTAGCAAATAGTATGGCTTTTGCAAGGAGGTTCTTTTAGTCATTGAAAGAGGTAGTTGTCTTGGACTTGCCATAGCCAATACTACTTTCAAACAGATATTTTAAAGGCTTCATTGCTTATTTGTAACTATGATGTTTCTTAATGTCTTTTTTTGTGAAAATTCTTGAATGTGTTATAAAATTTAAATCTTGTTTTCACTGCAAATGTAGTCTTAGTTGCAAGTTTTGAATAGTCTTTGGATTTCGAGGTCAAGTCTCAATTGAATCTGGATAAATGCAGGAAAGAACTGTCTCCGACTGTCCCTGGAGCGGCAAAACTTAAGATTCTAAATCATAGTAAGTGTTTAAAGAACGCTGAGAGAACTAATAGACTAGCACTAACCCCGTTGAATATCAATTAGCTTCAAGAAGCTCCAAGTAGGTTAATAGTTAAATAGTCTCGATTCAAAGTCACTTTGCACGCCAGGACTGAATGACCTGATCAGGATTTGGTTGAGAGTTACATTCACTCGTGGGAAACTTTCTTCTACCATCTACAGTTGACTCAATTCAGTTTCTAGAGTCAATAAGTAGCCGAGAAGCTTGAAAGAGCCAGCTGCTGCTCCAAAAGCCTCTTGCTGTAGCAAATACGGAAGAATACGGCTTCAGAATGGAATCATAGCTCTCCATCAAGTTGAATACCAAGTATACTTACTACCTTGTAAAATACCTAGTGGTGTAATGCACTTGCAAATATCCCAACGATGGTTATTAGAACTGAAATACCTCAACATGCCTGTTATGGAGGGCTATAATCGGGCCGGGAATATGCCCGAAGCCTAGCTTCCAGCCTGTCTTTCCCTCAAAGAGGCGTAGAATAGATCGAGGACCCCTGTAGACTTCAACTAGGCTACTATTTTAGATTCGAGCCACTTCCTGCTATTTTTTCTTCGCAAAATGCCTATTTCGTCGTCGCTTTTCCCCAAACACCAACAACTAAAACAACAGAAGACAAGAAAAACTCGAAAATGGGCGTGATAACCCTTAGAAAACCACAAAACACTGAGTTCCGTCAAGCATCTTCTCCTCTGATTCTTCTCGAAATTAACTGAGTCGATCTAATCAGCGTTGTTGGCTTTGGCTGCAAGTTTTTGTTAAAAGCTTGTTTGTCGCACCAGCTGGGCTGCAGAGATCGAGACTCGATCTCAGTAACTACATCAAAGCAATTACCATTTACCACACTTAGTATCAAGATGACTATCTAGTCTTCCACAGGAGCACTTGACTCATTCCAATTGACTTAGGTACGCGTCGTCCGCTTTTCGAACCATCTGCTTTATCCTCAGGCTCCTTTTCCTGCCTCATCTGTCGTGCTTTCTGCCAATATTTATATCTGCGCTCCCATTACAGGTTGCTGACTTTAATATCCTCGCAGGTCCTACCTTCTTCTAGGTCTCACCTGGAACTTAATGGACATACAACTCAGCATGTCTGCAGAAAACACGGAAAAGGGTTAGCAAAAACAGAAAGTAATAAAAAAGTGGGTATTCACCCCACTGCAACTTTCGCTGACCATGTATGGCATCACGATGACCTCATGCTAACGCTTTCCAGTGGCCCTTCCGACCGGAGCAACTCAACATGTTTCGAAAAGGGTCTGAAATACTTTCCGTTATATCTCTCCCTCGTCCTACATATGTCACGTTCAATATACTTGTCGCTCTCCACGGATGCAACTACTGCGAGAGTGACGTTGGTGCTGGCCAAGGTTCCAGCAAATACCCTCGGTGGCTTCATAGGCTCTAGTCAACCAGTGTTTGATCCTTATGTAATAAAAGAAAACGACTCGGAACGAGGTACGGTGTGCCTGGGGTCTAAACCAGCTCACACTGAGTTTGGACATGCTCCAAGTCAGAGTCAAGCATGATACTTGGAAGTCCTCTTCAAGGTACAAGGGAATCAAAACCCAATCGTTGCCCTGAAAATCTCCCCATCCGCCATCTCGTTTTTTTGCCTTGAATGAATATGATGATTGATCCACTATTACTGTTGGTCATTGGTGAATTCAACTCACTTTAGAAGATGCGCTAACAGATTTCTCCCATCTAGTATCTATTTAACTTCCCCCTCAACCATCAAAAAAGCTTAACAAAAAGCTGCAGACTAACTTTGATACTTCACGCCCCCGGTATGGGTACGGGCTTCAATCCTTTCAAAGGTATGCTCAGCTGCCTGAGAATCTCCTCAGTCGTCAAGCTTCGTTTCCCTGTTTCAGTTTTCTTCTTTGTGCCCCATTTGCTTCTCGCTGTTGTTCTTTCATTTTGTCACTGTCATTGCTATCAGTCGAAGGTTTTGAATTTTTTTTTTCATTTCCAGGACCATTTGGTAGTCATAGAATTGTTTCTCATATGCTGATGATGACTTCATTTTAGTTTATATCAACGTGAGACTTACGCGTTTATTGTTGGTTGAACATTGATACCAGCAGTCGCTGATGGCTGAAGTCTCTTGTCCACTCGTGGCTTGACTAATAGTAAAACCAAGGTGTGTTTTGCATCCTTATTAGTGCTGACCTGCAATTCGATTTACCATGGATGTGGATTGTTGTTTTTAGCAAGCGCTCAATAGTACCGCTCATCAAAGCTGCATGAGCGCCATTGTGATGTTAGCCACCCACGGCTTCTGTCACTTTGGGATATTGATATTAAAACCATGGCAAATGAATACTCTGTTTCATCTGACAGCATGTATGTGACGGGTTGTGTGTGCAAGCGGAACACTCGTCCATGGTGTGACAACTGAGATGGATGAGAAGTTTATACAAAACAAGGAGGGTTTATTTGATTCCTTCATCACTTCCACTATGCTATTGTGCCAGTGGTATAATTCAGAGGCTTGCCTATCATAGCTTCTTATTAGTCTTGACCAGCTATTCTTGCTGTACAATCATAGCACTCCTTTTCCAACAAAATGCATTCACCATGCAGCTCCGGGCTTCCTTGAACTCTTATCTTTATGTTGTAGCTACAACTTGAAAGACAAATACATCACTGTAGTTGTTTCCAACATTCAATCGTATTCGATGTCTATAATTTTTGCCGTATCGTCCGATGATCGAGAGGTTCACTCAGGTGGGCCCACTTTTCTCTTCAAAGAAATTGCTGAAAGGGGTTCAGACGAGAATTCAAAACTTCATTATATCCATTGGCAACAGCGTATTCATTTCCCTTCCAAGCCACCACCTTTTGCTATTGCTTAATTTTCACAATTCGCCGTACGAATAACCTACTTTTTCATTACCGCGGTGTTGTATTGAGCTTTTCGAGCTTCGCGATCGACCAATACGGCTCCTCGCCTGATTCATTTCCCTCTTCAAAACAGCCTCGATTCACAATCTCGATTCACTTATATCTTTTCCTAATCACATTGGCTTGATACCCACTTTATTTGAGTTCACTTCTCAACTGAAACCGCTTCCTTTCCCTTGTTTTTAAGGACAGTAAGTACCCCGCCCGACCTTACTTTCTCCTCCAACCTTCTTAATTTCTACAACATCTTTCCTTCGATCTCTTGTACAATTCAATACTCCCCAACAATCAATACCTATTTCAAGAGAATCAATACAAATTCAATCAGATATTCTCTTACTTGACATTCCCTTTCTTGTCTACTTCCAACACCACTTTATCTGTTCCTTTACATATCCAATACATATTATCGTATCCAAACTTGTTGTTCGCTCTTCGATATACAGACATTAAGTAACCAATTTCAAGCACTTAGATACTAGCGTGCAGTCAGTATAATCTTTCTATTATCAATACATTCTTTCATGTTCAGTCACCTATCACTCCTGTTTTCGATCCATTTCAATAAATAATTCACCTTCAGAAAAAATTGACTAACCACAATTCAACCTTTAGAAGATGGACCAAGAAGAAATTAGTCACGAGTACGGTGCCGCTGAACACGTTGCGGAGAGCGGTCAAATACATTTGGCACCTCCTGAGGTGCCCAATGGTCCGTACCGGGCCATTTATCGAGACTTCGAAGCAGTCAAACAGGCCAAAAAGGAGCGGATCGAGGAAAGAGTTGCCGATGCCAATGAGGCCGGAATTTTTGACGGCGCTCCAAACAACCCCGTGGACCAGCGGCGGTTCATTGCAGACCTGTATAATGCATTTAACTCCATCGAAACAGAGGGCGAAGATGCAATCATTGATAAGCCTACCAAAAATGGGAAGTTGTCCCAGGCTGCCTTAAAATTCCAAACGGGTCGTTATCCACCGGCAGCGATTGAGGAAGTCTGTTGGGAGATTTTCGTACGTACAATCCTACTACCTTCCTCAACCTTATCTAGATCTAGATACTAATTTAGCTATTGTAGGACAGAGCTCGCTATGCACAAATGGATGTGAGACTCTTGGAAGCATTCCACGAGCACAAATTTGAGGGGACTTTGATCCACTCTACATTCGGTGCACGATGGACAGCTATTGTTGGGGCCTGTGCTGTGAGTAAAAACATTCGATGTCATATGAAACATGTTCTAACTCGTTCTGTAGCGCTCCAAAGCCTTATGTAAGATGTTGTTGGATGCTCCATACCTCGATCGATTCGTCAGTCATCCACAAGCCGAGCTCAAGGTACGCAATCTTATCCTGTTCTTTTATAATTGGCTGTCTCTAACTCACATCTCTGTAGATGAAGCTCAACAACAAGAAGATCAATGCTCAACGCGATGAACAAAACGAAATAGGGCGGAGTTTTCTCAGCAAGGGCCTTGGAAAGGAAGAAGCTGCAGAAGCAATTGCACATTTGCATCCTGGAGATGAAGATGTTTTTGACAGGTATGCTCATCTCAGCCCTCGACAGTCCTCGACTGGCAATGCAGCTGGCCCAACTACACCTCTCGCGCCAGTTCGTATCCAGCCTACTCGATCTGTCGTTGCAAACTCAACCAAGCGCAAGAAGATATCGGAGTCTGAGGACGAATATGATGATGACGAGGATGAATACGTTGATTCAGCTGTTAGATCCAGCATAAAACCAAACCTCCGAACTCGTCGAGCTACTTTAAAGACCCCTACACGATCGAATACAACCAACTCCGTCATGGAGAAGACTCCTCAAAGCAAGCGGGCAAAAGTACCTCCGACCATCGCACGCCAAATTCATATGGATGATATGGCTCCTCCCAAGTCCCAAGCCCAATCAGACGCTGAATCCGATGGGATTTATAGGACGACGATCTGCAGGCTTCTCGGTCTTAATCCAAAGCACGCTCAAGTCATGAAATACAGCTTGGAGGATCTCAGATACTATGCGAGAGCCTACAATGGTGAATTCGGAGGATCACCATGGACACATAAAGACTATCCTGGGTTTGTTGGTCTCGAATGGACTCTTAAGGATGCAAACAACAACGAGTATGAACATTTCTCTCAGATTATCAAGTCATTGGGGCCACTCGCTGCTCTACGTGGAGATTTCGTCGATGGCAAACTCATGAAGAACAAAAACAAAATGTTCGAGCCCAAATTATCATCTGATCGAGAAGCTCTTGGTGCCACTGCAAATGCTTTTGGATTTCATTGTGGATACCCTGCTCCTGTGAGCATTAAATCACATGGAAGCCCCGATATGCTGGCCGAAAACTCTACATTCTCTCTTCCTACACGACAAAATGTTTCACAAATGAATGCGTATCAACCCCTCCGCCAGGATTATTATCAAGGTCAAGCTGCATATGGTCAAGCTGGCTCATCATATCAGTCCTACAACCAGAACCATACTCCTCAAAGTTACACAGACTCTCCCCACAATTATATTTCGCCAAGTGGGAGCTACGAAGGTGATGCATTCCAACAAGGAAGTCTGGGTAGCCAGCAAACCTTTGCTCATGCAGGTTATGGCTCCGCAAATTATGGTTATAATTCCCAAGCTGCCGCTATGCTCAGTGACGGTCTCCAATTTGCTAATCACAACAATAACGCCTATGCTTCCTCCCTCAGAAGTCAAAATACTGGATATAATGCTAGTCATGCTACCCAAAGTAACTCATATACTTCCCCTCAACTTGGTCATGGCGGCGGACTCTTTCCTCATAATCCACATCTCAACGGTCTCACTTCTCGCCATATTGACCCACAATATCCAGATCCCGATGACTGCTCAAGTCAACAAAAACAACAATAGAATTCCGAGTATGATTTTCAGTCATCAAATAGTGTTCAGCTAAATTTTGCTTTCTCCTCAACTACAAGGCTTTAGGTTATGAACTGCTCTCTGATTGTTGTGGTTTATAACAAACAGGATGGTTTCAACAACTTCCTTTCTACCACTTCCAATGAATTCTATTTTAAATTGTTCTCAATGGACTTTTAAATTTTATCTTACAGTTTACGAAATTTAATCATACTTCGACTCGATATTCGCAAAACTTCAATATTTGACGGATCATTGTGGATACGAATAAGGGTGATACATACACCTCTTTAAATTAATCTTGCTTCTTGCAGGATATTATTGCAATAACTTTATTCTCTGAGCTTTTACATCGACTCTCCTTTCTAGACGTCAAACATACATCTCCTCCACGCTCTACTTCCTATCCGCATAACCATTTCGATCAGTTGACCTAGTGAGCTCTGCTATCACTTCTCACATAAGAGTACTTCATTTCCTGGATTATACCACCTACTCACCGTCCCGCATGAGCTTCATTCAACAACTAAATCCACTGAGCTCTAGCATAAACCGAATCCTTAACGTCTCAAGAATCCTTTCCTTCTCTGCAAATTTCAACTCCCAGACAAACAAAATACACCGCAGTATAAACAATCAGCACAATAAATACAGCGGAGTTTTCGAATACGATACCCAGGGTATCTGCCATCACCATACATTCTCAGCATAAACGACTCGACTTTGCCAAAACTGTTTTTTCGTCCAGACAAGCATGGTTTTACAATCACAATCACGAGCATACCATACCATACCATACTATAACATTGCATATGTATAGTGTTTATCAGCAATCTCACATCTCACATCTATCCATCTCTCTAGGATAAAATTCTGGAAAACAATACGTAACAATAACAATAAACATAAATATAGCGATGGAGTTGGAGTTAGAGTTGAAGCTGGAGTTGGGAAGGAAGGAAAATAAGATACCCTCTCGAGCGTTTTCAGGAGTTTTCAAGAGTTTTCAAGCGATATTTTCGGTTCTTTGTTCTTCGTTCTTGGTTCTTCGATGGGAGTTTTCGAGATTTCTTTTCTTTTCTTTTTCTTTTTAAGTCAGTTAGTTAGTTACTTAATTAGTTAATTATCATAATCTTTTTTCTTGTTCTTTTTCTCTCTCTTTGACTCAGTGATATAGTAGGAAAAAAAATTTCACTGTAATCTTAACACAGTTATTTATTTTTCTTATGAGATCGTTGTTTCGGTTCCTTGCTTGCATGCTCGTATGTTTGTGATGGATGACTTTCTCATAAGATTCTATCTAAGATCTTACAACCTGATCTATAAAGAATAAACTTTAAGTTTTCTTACATTAAGAGTATAATAATTAATGAAATTAAATAATATATATATATATTTCTTTTGAGATAATATTTATATTTAGAAATAAATAAAAATTTATAAATTATAAATTATAAATTAATAATAATAATAATAATAATCTAAATAATTTTATTTAATTTTAATATATTATATCTATTATATTTATTAATTAAATGATTATCAACATTTATTTATATAAATATATAATTAGATGTATTTAATAATGAAATTGATTTTACTAAGAGGATAAATAATAATAATAATAATAAAAAGGTTTTGATATATGATATATTTATTATAAAATCTTGTTATTACTTCACTTATGGTGCTCGGTTATTTAATTTTAATCAATACCTAGGTATCTTTGATAGGATTATAAGATAGTACTAATATTGAATGAGACATACAGCTATTGAATAATTTTGCTCTGGTTGTTGCGTGTGCGTTTGGTGATTAATTAGATCGACTACTGAAGGAAGGATCGGCACGATTACCTCTCTACCTGTGCGTGAGATATATTCATGGTACGTTGTTGTATGATGTTTCTCGCAATGGAACATGATAGGTAGGTAACTGTTCTGCTCTGTAATTCAAATCTATTGGCTCTACATATTCTACCAAGAGCTATGCATGTATATGCAGAATTAAAAGCCCTCTTCTACTTTACCAAAATTCCATACCTCTGGTAGGGGAAATTTTCTAAAGTCTCCAAATATTCACCCCACCCATCTCCCACCGTTCCTACAATACCATCTTCTTTCAAGTTTCCCCCTTCTCCCGTCGATCCCGCCAATACCTCTCCTTCCCTTCCTACAAATTCTCCTTTTAATTCAGGATGCGGACACCATACTACTCTCATGCCCGCTCTTCTTCCACTTTCCACACCCGGCACCGAATCCTCAAATACAAGACATTCCTCCGGTTTCACAGGCTCCTCTCCATCTTCCAAACTCTGATTTATAGTATCCAACGCTAGTAAATAAATATCCGGAGCAGGTTTACCCCGTCCAGGCCCAATTCGTGGATCATCACCCAAAACCTTTCGATGTGGAAGAAAGACTTCAAAAAGTGCCACATGGTTCATAGTTTTCGCATCGTACATTTCCTTATGACTACTCGTCGCAAGAGCAATATGTAACTTCCTCTCCTTACCCCCTTCTTTCGCTTTCGTCCTCGCAATTTCTAAATCTTCTAATAATTTTGTTACGCCGGGTAATGGCATACAAGTCTGGAATAATTCTCTCTTTAACGATTCTTGTTCTTCGTTATATTGTTCTCTGGAAATTGGGAGATTGGCCCAATTAAAGAAGATTTCGGTGGCGGAGGCTGCGGGACGTCCTTGAAGTTGTGCTTTAATGGACCAGGGAATTGGGGGTCTGTTATACTTCTTCAGGAGAGTGTTGGTTACGATGGTGTATTTGTCTTCAGAGTCGAGGAGGAGTCCATCCATGTCAAAAAGACAGGCTCGGATTGGGGGGAAACTGGCATGGTGTTAGCCAGAAGATGGTGTAGCAGAGACGGGAATGGGTGGATGAGGTTTCGAGGTAGAGACGTACTCTGTTCGGGGTGCCATGATTGTGATATTTTGTTGCGACTCTGATGGTGTTGGAGTCAAGAGCTGTGGTGAGTAAAGTGTGGAGGTGAAGATGGGATTGGATTTGGCGGGGTAAATTAATTAATATATCGATGCGGTCAATGCGGCCGATGCGGTATAGCATGATTTCCATGCCGGCAATCCAAACAGACACTTTGAAATCATTCATTCATAATGTCAACACGCACCGAAAAGTTCCAGCGCAAGCCACGCGATCCTACCTCTGATCTATCAGAAGCTGCAGAAGCTGAAGAAGTCCTAAGATTTCCACCCGAAGAAGAAGCTGTGTGTATCTTCATACCCTTTCGCAGTGCGCGGCTCCATTTCATTTACTTAATGCTAATAATATAAATGATAGTCTCTCCTCGCTGAATCTAACACACTTAAAGCTACCGCAAATGATTTATTTTCTAAGAAATCTTACAAAGGAGCTATCGATACATATGAAAGCGCACTATCAACTTGTCCGAAATATTTAGAATACGAAAGGGCGGTATTGAAGAGTAATGTGGCGGCCTGTCATTTGAAATTAGATGAGTGGAAGGAGGCTGCCAAAGCAAGTTCAGAAGCTTTAGAAGGGCTGGAAAGATTGCAGAAAAAAGAGGCAGAGGAGAAAGATGGGGATGGAGATAAAGGCGCAAAGAAAGAGGAGGTGAAGGAAGAGGAAGAGGCAGATGAGGAAATCATAAGTGAGGGAGCTACAAAAGCGGAGGATACGAGAGGAAAAGATATTGATGATGCGAAAGAGACTCGAGCAAAGGATATTGAGAGGATAAAAGCGAAAGCTTTGATGAGGAGGGCGAGGGCTAGAAGTGAACAGGATGGATGGTCTACTCTAGCTGGTGCTGTGGAAGGTACAGTATTTTATTCCATTCTTTGATTTCCCAGTCGGCCGTTCAGGCTCGTATTAACATTTCGAACCCGAAATATAGACTACAAACTCCTCTCAACCTTTACCAACCTCTCTGCCGTCGACCGAAGAACAGTTCAAACACAGCTTCGCCTTTTACCACCCAGAAGTAAAGCGGCCCAAGACCGAGAAATGGGAGAAATGATGGGAAAATTAAAGCAGGTTAGTTTGATTAATTTTTGTAAGTCTTATTTCTTTTTATTCATAAAAGCTTACGGTTTGGATACGATACTGTAGTTCGGAAATGGAATATTAAGTCCATTTGGATTATCTACAGATAATTTTCAAATGGTTAAGGATGAGAAGACTGGTGGGTATAGTATGAATTTTAATCAAGGTGGGAATTCATGATTTCGATTATTGGTCGATGCCCAAAAATCGAAACTTGGTGATACTATTATACCAAGAGGATCAAGGCTGCATCATGATCATCGATCGATCACAGGAGCATATTGAGTGGAGTTCGGGCCATACCGAGGTATTACATCCATGCATTTTCCAGTAGTCTAGATCTAGATGTTACTGGAATGTACGAGGATACTTGTTTTTGAGAACAGCCCTGGTACCCCGTCACAACAAAGCTCAAACAAATATGATGAATGACTCCAGACATGCTTCAATGTGCTTCGGGAACCATTTGAGAACAGGAATATAATCCACTTCATAGAATTTGACTTATCCTTGTTTCTGCGATTTATTATACATTGATATTATATATAATACACTGACAAAATCCATAAATCAATATCCATAAATCTCAAATGTCCAGATCCCAATTCAAGAAAAACATCCATCCCTCGTGCAAAAATATTCCCCACGCACGAACAAAATCCCCACATGTCCTAGAAACTCTCCTTTTACTCGCTTACCTAGGTAGGTAGTACAAGTATATCATTTTACATACAGAGTACAACCTTTCATCCTGATCATTTCCATACTAATATATCAATATACCAACGTGTTAATAAACCTTATCACATACTCCGTACAGAAAGAATACTACGTATGATCTGTTTCGGATAAAATCAAACCAACCAATTTAAAACCCAAATTTCTTCCTCTATCGGGAGTAAGCTACACGGATATTCGCTAATATTATTATTATATCCAGTCTTGAATATATATAGTTCCCGTGTATAAGGGGTCGATGGGTAGGAGTGTTAGACACCGAGTCATCATACATACTATATCACAAAGTTCCCGTCCTTTCACAGAGCTAGAACTCTTCTTTCGCAATTTTGTTTTTAATTCTGGGTGTGATGAGGTTGTGGGATTGTAATTCTTTTTTAGGGAATTTAAAAGATCGAGGGATTATATTTGTGTTTTTTATAAGATGTTATATATATATATATATATTTTAATTTTAAAATAAAAACAAGTGTGTTTTATAAACTGAAATTGAATTATAAATATTGAAAGAAGAGATATATCAGATTAAAGTATTTATTTTTGTATATTTTTGAGTATATATATATGATGATTTATTTATATATACTCAATATATCATTATTTTCTTTATTAAATATATATATAAAATATTAATATTAATTAAGATTTATCTTTTTAAATATTAAAAACCGTTGAATTGATAGTCTATACAATATACCTTAAATGATAAGTTCTGATTAATCAAATCAGTCTTTTAAAACCTTTCAAAGACTTTTCTTTTGAAATTTTATTTTGATTTTAATTCTCTAAATATTTTAAAATAACTAAAAAAGAAATATAAATAAATCAACTTAGATTTATCTTTATCAAGTTTAAAAATTATATTGATATTGATTTTATTTTATATCATCAAATAAACTTGAATTTCTCTTCAAATATCAGGAATTATAGTAATCTGATTGGTCAATATAATCCTGTCAAGCGAGCCCGGCGGTTTTTGGCATTTAAGGGGATATCATCATTCATCCATTCATTCATCCCTTCAATCATCCAGATCCCAAAATCAGCAATCCCTCCGTCACAACTTCATACCTCATACCCTCCCATACCCCAAACAAAATCTAGAACCTCAACCCCCGATCCCATCCCAATACCAATTCCAGTCCCATGACGTCATATCCACCACCTAGTAAACCACACCAACCAACCAACTTCCAGCTAGCGAATCCCCCTGACACCAAATCCACCCTTCCACCTTTCCATCCCTTCCCCTGGCCAGCCGCATCAGAGATCCGCACCAATATCAGTATCACATGCGAAGATCTGTGCTTTTATATTGAGTATATATTTACATAAATAACATATCCATTTATTTTTTTCCATCGAATTTTTACATTCCCATTCCCATTCCCATTCTCATTTTTCGGTTCATTGATTGATTGATTGATTGATTGATTTATAATAATCATAGACTCATTATCATACACACGCACACCAGACTCTAAGGATTTCAATTTTAATTGTATTGTGTATATACAGATTAAGATACATACGAACGAAAATATATAACGAGGCCAAAAAAAAACAAAAGGAAAAATGGCACCTAATTTCCAACTTCTCACAACACCAACTCCGAGATCCACATCTCCATACCACAAATCTACATCTCCTTCTCCTTCCACCACCTCCCAACCTAGCACCTCCCCACCCTCGCGCCCCCTCTACAAAACCCTCTCCGTATCCTACCAAACGCCCTCTTCCTCCTCCTCCTCCTCTTCCTCCTCCACTTTCCACACACCCCACACAACCTCCCCCCACTCCACCCCGCAAATAACCTTTTCCATCCTCCTCACCCTCTACAAACTTCTCGATACCGTATCTCGACGTTTAGCATATGAATTTGCGTTATTTATGCTCGGAGGTGGATTTAATTTGATGTTGGTTTTGTTGTGGCCGGGGTGGATACCGATTCTTGGGGTGGTTGGGGGTGGTGGTGGGTTTGGGGTGAGGGGATGAATTGGGAGAAGGGAAAAGGGACCGATTGTTCGGGTTGGGGAAGTTTGGAGGGAAGACGGAGTGATTGGTTGTTTAGAGGGGAATGAACGTTTCAATTAGGGGAAGCTGAAAGGATGGGAGAATGGAGAATGACAACGACAAGGACAAGCAACAAGGTAAGGAAGAACCTAGAATTCTGCGATTGCATTCATATTATTCAATTGGATATCCAGTGCTAATATTTCATTTTCTATCCAGGTCTCATGTCTTACCCCCTCGAAACTCCAAATCTACTCATTTATCTATGCATCCGTCCATCCAATTAAATGGGACCTAGACCCGAATCTCACTGATATACAAATGTCCGCCAGCTCATCATCCACTTCTCAATGTTCGATATTCCAACACCAAAACCATCGAGCATCTTTTCAAGAAAAGAAAAATGCATTTCCACCTGCGTCCCTCTTAACTTCCGTCTGATAATCCTTCTCGGGATTAAATTCTTGCCACACACTAGCTGGATATATATGTTTATTCCTCTCATACCATCTACGATCAACTACTTTGGTAGACGTTGGATCATCATTGAATCCCTCTAATTCCTCGACTTTGGTTGCGGGGGTCTTAGTGCCACTAGAGGCGGAAGGACGTGAAAGCGGGTTATAGGAATCTGGAATAGGGGAGTCGGTGTCGAGAGGAGTTATTGAAGCCGTAGGAGGCGGTGAGGAACTATGGGGAAAGAGAATTTGGTTGTTCGGTCCAAGAGTGCGATTTATGATAAAATAGTAGAAATCGTAGTGCTAAAACCCAAGATCATCAGCATCATATCCAATCAAATCCAAACATACACGTTAAAGACAAACCAACTCACATGAGGAATAATTAAACCCCCTCTAACCAACATCAAATCATCCACACCCACTCTTACCCACTCTCTGTTACTATTCGTCTTCTCTCCAACCCCTAACTCTGCTCCAACCTTTCTACTCCTATCCAAAAAGACCCAAATGAAATCTCCCTTCTTCACCCTCGCAACTCCACCTGGTATATTCGTTCCATCATAAAACACAAATGGAATAGCTATTTCCGTCGCCTTAACCGCTTCTTGAATTGCCAAAAATTCTTTCCGTAACGATTCCCTCGTTTGCGCTTCTTTCAATAATGCCGATTTGGTAAGACTTTTCGGTACGAATGAAACGTTTGAATTAACGCCAATTTTCTTCTTTTTATTTGAAGTATCGAGAGTGTCAGATCGTGAGGGTTCGGAATCGATGCCATTATTTTCGCCTTCTTCCTCATCCATTCCAAATGAAAGTTTGGGGGTTCCTACTTTCTTTTTCTTTTTCTTTGGGGGAGCTGATTGAGTATCGCTGGGTGTGGAGGCACTGTACTAATGCTATTAGTCCTATTCATCTTAATCATCTTGTTCAATTCATCGATCCATCCAAATCTTCAATCCATCTCAATCCCAGCCCTCCATCTTCACTCCAACTCAAGCGCAATAGGAATAAACTAAACCATCTTCACTCCAACTCTAAGCACAAAAGAAATAAGCCAAACTCACCCATCCCCCACAGGTGTACTCGTCCCACTCCTTCCACTACCCATCTCCTGCGCATCTCTCTCCTTCATCTCCACAGCCTCAGCCCTCCGTTTCCTAAAATCAGATAATTTAACTAATCCTACAGTTTGCGTACTAAGAACATCTTCGACGGTTTTCGATTGCGATGTGAATCGCGATTGTGGATTTGGTGTTGTGGTGCGCGATGGCGTTTCAGAGGGGGGATTGGATGACATGTTTATGGGTTGTAATTATATTGTGAGAGGAAGAGCGATTGAAGATGTTTTGCATGTGGAAGAAAATAAGTATGGTCTGGTACCTAGGTGGTTGAGCTTGGATGGATGGATTCGAGCAGTGTGGCAGTGTGGCAGTGTGGCAGTGTTATTGTGTGGCGGTGCTAACGCATTGTCCTTGTGACTGATTATTAGAGCAACGACGAGGTGAACTCCATTATTACACATTTCAAGTTAACAGTTACAAAATCAAACAATAAATCAATCAACTCTTCATCGGCGCACTATATTCGAATTATCAGTTACCCTAATAAGATAATTAAGCTCACTATATCAACTACCACTCCCCCTTCCCATTCCCGGACCTTATTCCCCCTCCTCCCCCCTTTTCTACCTCCATCCTTTCTATTTCTGAGTATTACTTCCCCAAACACTTTATGACTTTATTATAAAACTCTCTTTTTATTACCTATACTTCACTTTTCATACTCCCCTCGTTCTTCTCACTTTCCTCACTTTCCTCATTTTTCCTTCTGGATATTATTCAATAATATAAAAAAAGCCTTTCCCACTAACATTTTAATCATAACAAAAATAGAATACTATTATAACCATTTGCTTTTATAAAATAAAATCACTAACTAGTACTCGACCTATTCTCATAATACTTCAATACAAGTTTAAGATATTATAAATAATAAAAAAGGAATAAAAAAATATATATATATAATATCGATTTCATTTTTCCCAAACTTTAAACCCTAAATATAATTCTTTTATGTATATATATATACTCAGTAATCTCAAAGAAAAAATATTTAAATAAATAAAATATCATTATTTTAATTAAAACCTTATCCTCTCTCAAAGAGTAATATATTTGATTTAATTATAAAATGTTTATAATTCTATATTATATTATACTTAATAATATACCCTGTTCTTATTATTTATTTCTCATTTCTCATTCCTTACTTTATAAACTCTTATATCGATACTCAATACTCAATATCTGTTATGATTACAAATCTTATATTAATCAATTATATACTTACAAGATACGATTTGAGCGATTTAGTATGGGATTGAAGTGGTGTGGGAAACAAATATATATAAATCTTGTTAAGTTTGAATCTATAATAATTACAGAGTTATATATTGAAGCATTAAAGGTTCAAAGGCTTTTATATTCTAATGAAGTATTGAAAATTCAAAGACTTTTATACTTTAAAGAAATAAAGAAGATCCGAAAGCTTTATACTCAAAATCAATTATTTAATATATTTTATTATTAGTTACAAATTACAACTATTGATATTATTTTAAACCTCTACTTAATATCTAGTTATAAATCATTTAAGGATCCAGATTATTTTTATATAATCTAGATTATATCCCTTATAATAATATTAATACTATCAATCTCACTCATCTAATCATCCAATTATTACTTTTATACTTCTTTACTTTTATATATAATCTATTATTATTCCTCAAATATTAAAAAAAAATATGAATAAAATAAAAATTAGTAAAAGAATATAAAAAAAATTAAATATAAAATATTTATAAATATTCCATCTTTCATTCTAAATATAATATATATCTTTTTTTATTAAAATCTCTCTTTTTTATATCAAGAGATTTAATATAAGATTATATTAAACTATATATAATTAATATAAGATTATATTAAATTATATATAATTAATATAAGATTATATTAAATTATATAAAATTAATATAATATATTTATTATTTAAGTCTAAAAAAAGAGAGAGGGAAATCTAATATACTAAAGAGTTTAATTTGATGACTGGTTATAGCGGTTGGTTTTCTATTCTCTGTTACTCGGGCTGGTTGTTGACTTCATTGATAATGTAAAGAGTTTTCGGATGGGAGATATTAACTTGTTATAGGGGGATAAACTTATTATACTATACTCGTGTACTCGTGTGTATATATATATATATAGCTATACTAACACACACCCAGCATCTTAGAACTATACAAATCAGTCTTAAACGTTCAAATCCAAGATAAAATATATTACTTCCCTTCCCCTCCCAACCTCATCTCTCCCCCACTACACACCACACACCACACACCCAACTTTAGCCCTAAAAATCAAAAATCAAAAATCCCCCGTCCCCCTAACCCTATTAATCGCACCCAAAAACCCCTTCGCCCATGAGAACCTCCCCGGATCAACGCCAATAACATCCTTCGCCTCATTCCCCCCGTCATCTCTCCAAATCCCATCACTCTTCGCCACCTCCCCATACAGATGAGTATTTTGATTTCGTCTCAATCCATCAATCCACCCCTTACAAACCACCGCACTATCAATCATAACATTAATTTCCTGACTGTGAAACCAGGATTGCGTATCTTGGTTTCCGTTGCCTTGGATACCGATGTGTTCGTCTACGATCATGACTTTGATGTGGCAATCGCGGAGCTTCTTTTTGGCGACGAGAGGGACCGTTTGGTCTTTACCGATGTAGAAGAAGTAGTGGAGATGTTGTTTTCCGGTTTCAGAGAGGGTGGTGTACATTTTGTGAGCGATCATTTCGTTGGTGCCGCCCTGCATTGGGAGGAGTTCGCCCTGGGTGTTTATTAGTATATTTAATTGTTGGAAAGTTTGGATGTGTAGAACTTACTGTATCATTATATCCAAGACAGATGTAACAATATACATCGACACCCCTCTCGCACGCTTCAACAATTTCCGGAACCAATGGCTCAGCATTAAGTGTAGGACTTTGGATAAAAACATTTTTGGTAGCATTTCTCAATGCGGAAAGCCAAACCTCATTTTGAGGATTATACACAGAGCTATGATTTGGCGATCCATATGGTTCACGACAAACCATAGCAATAGGGAATGGTTCATGAACTGGATGAGGAATGTAAGGAGTCATTTCTTCTTGTGGTGCACAATCCGGTGCATTTCCTTTGAAGCCTGGATTTCTAGTATGGTTGAGGTGACGAGTAACGGCTTCAATCCTTGTTTCTCCATTTTTAGGAGAAACAGCAGTTTGAACTCGAGCTACTTCACCGGCGATATCTTCATCATAATGGGGATCATCGGTTGTGTGTTCCGGTAAAAGATTACCGGATGGTGAGGGGTGTTCGATTTGTGATTGAGGGATTACTTGAGTTCCGTTGCTTAGAAATTCCTGAGTCTCTATATCGGGTCCATTGATACCATGTTGGGCTTGAGTTGCTCGTTCTGGTGAGGTAGGGACCGCTTTATCGCCATCTTTCGTATGAACAATGTGTTCAGCATCTCCTGTGGTTGCAATCGCTCTTGCATTCTCAGCCATCATTTCTCTAGTTTTGAGATCTTTATCCTCGAATCCATGATTAACATTTTGATCACCATTCAATTGAATTTGTTCAACTCCATTGCTAATGCTCTCCGCATTATTGGTACTTCCAACAGGATGTGTGACACTCTCGGTTGTTGAAGGACCTGTGGCTGAATTACCATTTGCTGCCGTCTCAGGATGAACGTAACCCGGCTGATTTGAAGCTCGAGGTTCATAAGAGTAAGCTTGTTGTGCCTGCATTCTTTCCGGATGTACAACAGCCGAGTGACCTCTGATAGAACCATTTTGATCAAAAATCTCATCGTGACGTTTGTTTTGGAATGAGCTCAATCCACCTTGAACTGCAGGAGAATTATGACTTGGTAATGGAGGCTCAAATTTCTTATGCCAAGAAATCAGAGCCATATCATATAGAGAATCAACAATTGGACCTTCCAAATGTGTCATCATCTCCATATTATCATTGTCCTGAATATTATTACTTTGCAGAACAGCAAATCTCCTATCGACTATCATATATTTGCAGTGAAATGTTCCGAGCATAGGTCTATGATAATTCATGACTTGGAGATCGAGATTTGGGATTTCCGCCGCCGTAGGAAGTGCAACAGCTTTTCCGAGATATTCTTTCTCTGAAACCATGTAATGATTATCGAGTAATTGTTTCGGACTTCCTCTGTCGTATTGTAGTTTGAACACTATTCTCTCGCCTCTCTCACCAGCTCTTCTCGAAAGCTCCTTCATTGCATTTGTAATATATTTCGAAGCAACTGAATTTTGCCAGTAGTTGGTTGCTAGAATAACTTCTTTTTCGGCTCGAACTATCAGATTTGACATATGTCGCATAATATCTGGTACGCTAATTGAATCACTCGTTAAAACACTGTTTCGCATAAGGGGATGAGAATTGTCCGAAATAAATTCTGAACAATTGAGTGGTACGTACACTGAAATCACACTCAACGGCATAACACCAGAACTTCCCATCAACGGCGGACTGACCATACAATTGCTGACACTATTATCCAGAGTACATAGAGCATCATGATACATCTGCCAACCATCAATACTGATCTTCTTCTTGCAGATCAAAATAACTTACCTTTAAGAAAAGTTCACTTGGTTGCGTTGAACCCCATTTTCCACATTCCAAAGCTCTCTGCAAGTCCTCCGGCGTTATGGTATCTCGATGTCTCCTCGCCTCGTTCTTACTTTCCTTCTCCCCTGCCGCATGTCCTCCATATAATTGCTTCCAGGCATCTCCCGGTGCCATTGTAGGATCTTTTGCAAGCAGTGAGGAGACTGTCTCCTCGCTCGTACAGAGCTTATAAACCTTGTCTGATATCATGGTTCTTGAATTCCTTTTCGAGTCCGTCTTTTCTGAATGGGCAATATCTTCGATTGATGGTTTATTCTTTGGTATCAATTCTCGCTGTCGTCTGATTGTGAAAGCACTATAGGGGAAGATCACAAAGATTTGAATGAATAAAGTTATGATGGCTTCAAAATGATGGTATAATGTCATAGTAGAGCAAGACAGAAGAAGAGAAGTCGTAGAGATAAGTTTATTTTTATCAATTAGTTTTATTGTCAGTGAGCGTAAGCATCGGAATAATAATTTCGCAACAGTTGGTGGTGGGTTCAAACTCCGAATACGTCCTCTCTCACAGTTTTTTTTACCTGTTTTGAAGAACTGGCGCATTCGGATTCGATGTATTCGGATGGTTTGGAGGGGTGATGACGCTGAACCTACAGGGGTTTGAATCAAGCTTTCGCCAAGTTGAGATGAGAATCTTGGCAAGGCATTGAACCAAGACGCGTTTGCAGGTGTAATTTAGTCCCAGTTTCCTTGTTCGAGGTCTAAAATTGGAGGCAAGAGTGGAAAAGGGAAGATGGAGGATAGTTCAATCAATTGTGTCCGACGTTTTCCTCCGACTCACAACGGCTTGAAAAGCTTGGCATTAAGGGTCCAGGAATCGAGTGGCATGTCATGTGATTGCAGACAAACATAGCTAAATCAAGGACCTCATGATATTTGTACACAATCAACTCGAAGAATTTAATGTTCATGCCATGTATTCCATGACGAGTAATATATTATGTAAGTTCTCCTCAAGCAAGTTCTGCTGAATGCACCTCTAATCCAATGCAGCAAATGACGTCGAGTATCCGAATAATGTTCGGATAACATTGCCGACTTCCCATGATTTTCCATGACTTTATTAATATAAATAAATAACCTTGAAGCGATCTGACTAAGCTGATTGAAATCAAATTCAAGTTTTTGAAGAAATAGTATTGAAGGTCTTTTCCTCGGGATTAAAACCTGCTAGCTTGGTGAGAGATGTTTTATATATGAGATGTTGTGTCCAAATGAGATGAACAGATATTTTTACGTTAGGACTAGTTGAGCTGCTAGTGAAGTCAAGATATATATGTAGAAAAGATGATAAATACAATAATGAAGGGGTGTGGAAACATAAGCGAAGACAGAAAAGAAGATTGAACGTTGTTTGCTGCTTTGGATCTATAACCTTGTGGTCTGTGTGAATTTGTTTCAAAGGTACTTGGGCAATCTTAGTTTGGCGAACTTTCAGCCCTATCCAACTACAAGCCACTTTTGGGCCCATTGTGGACAGGGATATGCAATCACGTCAAGTCCGATTCATCATCGCTTGATGGAGACGTCCATCCAAGTCCTCATACCACAATTCATTATTTCTCTCCTTTCTCATTTTTATGACATGGAATCTTTGGTGTCGACTAACATGACAGCAGCGATTCTGTAAATTACATCGTGCTGTCCATACATTACGATTTCAGAATGAAAACTCGACATTGAAAAATCCAACTTCTTTAGAAACAAATCTTTAGATGGGATGAGACGGTGGCTCGATAATGTTTAGTTTTGTATTGCTGAGGCCTCTCGTATTTCTCGGTAGTGGATATTGACTGTTTATCTGAAGTCTTTAAGTTTCAAACCCAATGCAGCTAGCTAGTGAAGAAGTGAATGACAAAGACCAGTACAGCAAAAATATGTATAGAGGTCCAATTTGAAGATTGGCGTGGCAGTTACTTCTGTGAGTTCTCAAGCTGTATCTCAAAGAAATATGCTGAATTTCTTTGGAAGAATATTAGGAGCGCTAATTCTAGCGGCAAGTCGTTAACCTAGTGGATTCAAAGCCCTAGTCCCTGTGAGGAGTCCTTCGTTTGGTCAAGCTTCCGGCCCAAAATGTAGATAGTTCTATATTATATGCGTAGCTCTCCTAACTCTTCGTTTATAAATCACCTAATAGCATAAATTATACAGTGGTTTTGCGGGTTGTCACTCTCCCTTTCTATACTTTTTGTAATCATTACACAAATTATGTGACACTATTTAAGAAGTCTTTTGTGGAAAGATCATGTAAATATTTTGATCTGTTTGGTCTTCATTACTTTTTTAGTCAAGCAGCCATCCATGGAATTTCTCTCTTCCGGTAGTGGAAGGCTAGAGAGAGGCCAGTTCTAGCCGTATGATTGTTATTTTGCCATTCTTATGATGGAAAACTCAACCATCGGTGTTCGGCTCAATATGGCAAGTACGATTGTGGTCTAATTATTATATAGTAAGGAACTATATAATTATTATATAGTAAGGAACTATATAATAAGAAAACCCTCTCCAGACCTACAGGAATAACGTCATTCATCGGTCATCTTGGAAGGGCGGAAGGTCAAAGTTAAGCCATCTTTGAATGTTAGCTCTTATCAACCGAAAATAAGTTTTCCTTTAGTACGCACGGGGTAATTTCAACCATCCTAGAACTTTTGACACTCGGAATTTCACAAAACGGGAGACGAGCGACGAGGACCATTCTATTATCAGCATTTACCATCGCCTACCACGATAAAGTATCTAGAATCTTTTGGACAAAGGTGATGTCGAATTTAGAAATCATCCCACTAGAGACCCAATCCAAAATCATCGAGTGTCTCCAAGAGAGCTACTCTGAGTTTGAAATCGACAGGAGTATATATAGTTTGGCACGAACTTGCAGAAATTCCACGAAATCACGGAACTTCTCCTTTACGCCAGATACAGCGACGAAAAGCAATTCCCCACAGACCTCGCGAGGTTAATTCAAACACTCATATTGCGACTGGATTTATGACAAAATGTAAAACATTGCTAAATCGTGTTAAATCAGGAGAAATGGAGAGGTAGATTAGGCATGTTGAAGTATGACAGGATATTCACAAATGTCGGTGGCTTGAAAACCAGCATGCGTCAGAGGCCGAACAAACTCAAGGGATTAGAACTGCAGCGACACAAAAAGGTTCAAAAGCTAGCCACTCTAGTCGGTGATTGGAGGGCCTTAACGGGTCGTGACGGATTCTGGAAAATGTTTGGACGAGGACCTCTAAGTTGCGGTTCATCATACATGAAATTGCTGATCACTATCCTCATCTTGTTAAGCCCTTAGATCAAAAAAATCCAAATAAATCGCCCATGGCTCCTTCCAGAATGCCCAGCATGGAAACACGTCATCCCAGATGTCTTTGACTTGTAATGCATGCCCCTCGAACTCTTGGTGCTGGAAGAATTCCACTACCTTACTTCTCCCAAAGTAGCTTACAACGAGGAATTTTTCAGAAACAAAACGGGCACGGGTGAGATCGATGTGCTCTTGCAATTTCCCACCATAAAGTCTTGAAGCTGTCAGGCTTCGCATTCAAGGCAGCACCAGGTCGCTGGTTGGAGGAACCTGATACACGTCCCATTGAATCACTAGATCTCTCATATGATATAAACATTTATTTCAACCACTATTTTACCTTCCTCTATCTCTTCAACGGACTCAAAACGTGCTCCTACGACGGAATACTTCAAAATACAGTCGCACACGAATTTCTTCCAGGAAATGATAATAGGACTCCTCATCCATTGCGAAACCGTCGGATCCCTCTCCCTCACCAGCATCTACCGCCCCAAAAAAGACCACTCACATCTACACATCTCCACGGGATTAACAAATTTCTTTATCTAGAATCCCGCCTCATCCAGCTCAATCTCCCGATCGGTGTAAAGGGCAAAACTAACTATTACCAACTCCATTATCCTCCCATTTCTACAGTATCCCTAGAACTGTGCTTGCAATCCTCACACGATAATCCATCCATTCGAATCTAGAGCCCCATTTGTACAAGTTAGTCTGCGCGAAACATGTGTTCCCGTTTTGTGAAAATCGTCACACTCGGATATGCGTCTTGGGCGCGTGCTAACGCCTAGTTGGTGCTATGGTGTGGAATGTGTTTTGCGAGAGGAGAGTGTCGAGTTGGTTATTGTTGTTGTGTTGGTTGGTAAGAGGGTTTGGCTTGCGGCGGACCATGGTGGATGATATTTATTTTTCTAGAAAATGAGTGGATGATTTTATTAGTGTGTATTTTGAGTGTTATCATTACTTCTGATATTAATATCAGGTATTACTTTCTTATTTGTTTATCTGCCTAGATAAATATTAAAAGTATAAAAAATAAAGATATTTAAATTATCAAGAAATTAATTATCTTTGGTATAGAAATAAAATACATCATTTAAAATAAATCATTTAAAATAATCCTTTTGATTAAAACTTTTCTTTTTCAAAATCTAAATAATTAAATTTAATTTCATAAACAAAAAATATATAATAATATAAAATTTTTTATTTTTTATTTTTTTGGATTAATTATTTTTAAATATTTTTTAATTATAAAAAATAAACTTTAAAAGTGATTTATGTATTTTTCTTAAATAATAAAATTTGATTGATTAAAATAAACTTTTGAATTTTTTTTTTCAAATACTCTTTTATCAAATTAAAATTTTGAATTCAAATTTAAAATTTAAAATTTAAAATTTAAAATTTAAAAAATATTTATATAATTCAAAATTAATATATATTTATATACTTTTAATTTGAAATTTAAATATCAAATTGAAAATAAATATTTAATAAACTTTAGAAATTCTAATGTTTTGATTAATCAATAAGATCTCTATTAAGCGAATGAAGTCTATTTCCACAGTTAAAGGAATATATAAATGATATTTAATTTAGTTCAATTACTTAATCAAAATTTATTAAATGATCTTCATTATATATAACACAAGTATCTTTAAAATAATAGCTACAGTGGGGCCACCCACAATCACAAATTCACAATGCGAACTTTTCTACCCCGGTTCTACTGGGTAAAATACGGAGTTTTACTAAGACATGTTTGTTAACCTTATCCCGAACTTCCCCGTCCAGAACTCCACCCCAACAACGTTAACCCGCCAATAAGATAAGCTAAGCTATCAGTTAGTCCATGCTCCATTCTTTAAATTCGACAGCTCTGAATCACTACCATGTAGAGTATCAGGCACTTACTTTAAGACGCTAAGTATGTATCTAGCTGCTGTTCGTAGGGTTGGATTTAGGTTTATATGTACCATGTAAGGTTAAGATCTTATGATTATGATATTTCCTCCATCTTATGACTCGTTCGTTGTCTTTTCACGATCGAATAACCTCGATTAGAAGGGAGCTGCACAGTTTAAACAGTATACCTTATCAAGCTTCCACAGCTGTACAAGAGGAATTTACCTCCACTCCATTCATGCTACTTGAAGTTCTATTAGTGGATATAATGAAATATGTTTGTTCGTTTATTAGTGATACGATTTAACTACCTGGCACGTCTCCAATTGCAAGTATAGATGGGCAAGTAGGTAAGATCTTACAACTCCGAAGATCTATGTAAGCATCTAGACTTGGTACTCGTAGCCCCATTAATAAGATCACCAGATGGATGTAGAGTGTAGGGATTCGTTGTGGTTCAAGGAGTTACTTCTCGGTTATTTAGAAAAATTCTATCAATCATTCTAACCTAGGTGATTGATAATATCAACTCCGATTTATAAGAACTCCGATCTGGACCAACTCCGTTATACATCAACTCCGATCTATAAGATGACTTTAAATAAATATATTTATGATATAAAAATAAAAAATAATTATTGAGAATATTTTAATATATCAAAAATGATCTTTAATTTAAATAATTATATTTTTATTATCTTAAAGTATAATTATATAATATATAATTAACTTAATATTGATTTTTCAAAAAATTACAATTATTAAAGTTATTATAAATGAAAATCGTTATAAAACAAAGTAGTTATTGATCGGAGTTGGTGCTACCAATCACTTTGAATAATTAGCCATATTATAAATACCCGACAAGTCATTCAAAAAATAAAAATTCCATTTGGTTCTCATCATAACGACACTAATGGAGGGGTTAAACACAAATGTGGACGTTGCATTGCATTAAAACTAAAATACACCTTATTGCTAAAACGGTACGACGATAGAAGCGACAAGAATACATCAGACATACCTAGTATCTTTGGATACCCACCTACCTAGGTATCTACATATAAAAGAGCAGACAACCCTCAGAGAAAATCTTCACTTTACAACTCAACACACTTTACATGTTTACAAGTTTACAAGTTTACAAATTATCTTATCTTATCTTATCTTCTTCCACACATCCTCAAAAATCCCACACATTGTCACCATGTCTAATTTAGAATATTTCAACTACGAGGGTTATGGACAAACAACCGCCAAGCAGAATTTTTGGTACAGCCAAGCTGTTCGCGTAGGAGATGTAATCGAATGTTCTGGTCAAGGTAAGTGATACGATTAAAAATTACTCGTTTTTCTCTACCCCTCATCACTCTTCCTCCTATCTTTTTCCAAAGATAGATAATCTTAAGAATCTTAAGATATATAATTTTGAATAAATCACCAACCAACACAATTACACACACAGGTGGATGGGACCGAATCAGTGAGGAAATCTCCGAGGACATCGAAAAGCAAATCGCGCAAGCATTCGACAACGTTGAGGCTGCATTAAAGACTGCCGGTTCGAAAGGTTGGGAGGATGTTTTCTCATTGACGTCGCATCATATGCCGATCAATGACGAAACTATGGGCATCATGGTTCAGCTGTTGAAGAAATACTGCCCAAATCATCAACCTATCTGGACTGCTCTTGGAGTTCCTGCGCTCGCTCGCCCGGATATGAAGGTTGAGATTGAAGTCAGAGCGTACTCGCCAAAGAAGTAAATCAGAGTGGAGAGTTCGGAATGTGAAGGTTCAGAAGTGCAAGTTTGGGGTTTTGGAGATATATCTTTGTGGTATATTTGAGCCGGCAAGAAAAAGATTTTGTACGTACTACTGCATGATTTTAAATGGACAAAAAATCATCAGTTAGCTACTAGAAACATGTCACTCACCACGCAAATAATCAATTGCTTGATACGGCCTGTGACTTTGTGAAAATTTACTGCCCCAGTACACGACACGAACTAAATCATTAATCGTTTGAAATATCTAAAAGCTGTGAAAATAACTTTTCCAAAACCACAGAACCCACAGCAAAATCAGATGATTCGTCCGCCCAGAACTTCATAGCACTAATCGCTTCTAGCACGTTCTCTTTCCAGTCATCCAATAAATCCAGACGTAATTTTGCCTTGACCGCGGCAAGTATAGAGAGTGCTGAAGATAAAATCAGTCTTCCAACAAACCAACTTCCATGGTGTCGATGCCTGGTATTTTTAAGTAAAATCCAGTGAATGCTGCTGTCAATTGCTTTTTGAGCAAGCTGCCGTACTCGCTCCGGAACTTTGCTTGATGATTGGTGTATTATATAGTATAAAAAGGGTCGATACAGCCATGCTTTTACCTCCATTGCACGAGTTTGTAAGGTGAATCGTAGCTCATGATCGGTTTCTATATTATAATTGAATTGGATTTGCTCTGGAAGACTGGTATGCCTATATTAATGTTAGTTAGAATATACAACTAATCAAAGGATCATCGTGCTTACCACTCATTCAATTGTCTTTCGAATTCATCTGCAGCCTTGATCATATGACGGAGGTTATGCACGTTCCAGCTTCGATAGTCTTCATCGTACAAATTAAGAAGAACTCGAGTACCAAGTCTACTGATTATGATATCTGATAGATAAAAAAAACCAGGCTTGTTCCTGAAGTGTTTCGAAAGCAACTTCTGATACTTCTTGTCGTGAATCATTTACTGTAGATGACTCAGCAGAATTTGTGTTGTATGAACTAGAATTGGCACCTGATGCAAAATTTGTCGGCGGCTCAGGTAATGAATGTGCATAATTAACCTGAGATAGTACTGATGTAGGTAAAGGTACCTCTGTTCGCAACTCGCTATTTGCATGTAGTATTAGAATTCGCTTACGGACGAGATAGATTTAAAAGAAAACTTCATACCACATAGACTTGTAGCAAGACCAATACAAACTAGCCTCAACACGCTGAATTTCGGGCGACTTAGTCCTTGATATATCTCCTCCAAAGTGTGACTCTTCGCACTTGAGGTACATGAAAAGGTTGGATGAGGCGTCAGCGAAGGAATTCCAAGCCCTCAGCGGGCGTACCATATACATTTCGTATACACCGCACAGGAAGATGCATTGCGTTGCGATCACGCTGGGCTTCAAGAGCCCAATTCGTTTGCGAGCGGCTGTAAAGCAAGCCGTTCCAAGAGACAGGTTTCGTTCTCCAAGAGCGCTTCTCGAGGTTTCCATTCTATTTTCTGGAAGAATGCGACTTTGCGAGTCACTAAAAGGCTGTGAAACACAGCCTAAAGCGCACATAATTAACTATGACTTATCAATTAAACATTCTTGCTTTGTGAGGACACCCTCCTAAACTCCGTAATAATGACTGCACTTACCACTAAACAAGAGGATGCATCCCATCGCAACCCTTCAAGAGCGATCTTAAATCCAAATTCTCTCGCAGTCTTTGGGTCTAGAATTGGACTTTTGGTGTGTACGCGAGTGAGAAAGATTTCCACAAGCTGAGGCACAGCCTCCTCATTAATGAGGGCTGATGGCTGAAAATCGTCATGTTCTGATTCTTCAGGCCTGGAATCATCAACAAAGTTTTGGTCAAATAAATACCTAGTAATGAAGCCTGTCGGATAATGGCTTTCGAATACTGGCCAATCAAGGACAGCGTCAGGGGAAGTCCGGGCAGAAGGTGTTAGCATATTTTCATCCAACTGGAGCTCATGATCCTTTTCTGATTCAAGAACTTCTCCATTGGTAGAAGGGGCTTGCCATTTGGATTTCAAAGAGACTTGTTCCGATCGAAATGTGCCCAACTCTTGAGAAATCCGGCGTAGAGTTTCTGCCGAATCTCCTCTCTCGTCAAGTTTTTGGAGTACTTGATCAAGACGTTCCACTATTATTTGACTTGCAAAATCCAATCTAGTCTCTTAGGTTAATAATTCAATTTGAAATAAATCAATTAGTGTGTTGGATGTACGAACGTGTATGGACCATTTGCTTCATCATAAACACACTGAGCCCCCAAAGCTTGGCAGCATCCACATACCGGCTTTTCGTTATTACATTTGGTCTTTCGAGCTCTGCAAACCTGGCATGCCCTCAAGGCTCGTTTTCGTGGATATGAATTTTCTATCCGAGATTTTTCAAAACGTTGACGCTTCAGAGATGGGGTATTGGAATTATCATGTGTGCCTATCACCATGCTCGAGCTCACCTCCAAACCGTTTGTCTCTCTAGTCAAATCCATGCCCGTCTCTCTTTCCATGGTTATGATATATGATAAATAAAACGCTAGTTTCTAAGAATATATAAAGAGAGTGATGTCCATTCTTGGGATGTGTACCAGAAAATAACGTTGGAAGGCTATGTACCTAGTTTGATGGACTGAAAAATTAAGAAAACCACGGTCGAAGTAAAATTGTGGTACTTCTGGGACTATATCATTCCGGTGGAAAGGATAACTTAGGAAGCATAGAGTATGAGGTCAGATAACTGAATCAAGTCTAGGTGGCTGGACTATTGTTTAAACGTTGAAAGTGTGGCATTCAAGTCACGTGTTGAGAGACATTACAGTCAAGTGAAGATCCATTATAATATACCAGGAGCAAGAATATCTAAAATAATAAAAATACATTCAAATCATGTTTTTTTTATATTTGATCGATTACATTAAATCCAATATCTTAAACCTAATCAAAATGAAATCAAATATGATATTTTATAAATATATATTAAAATATATTATTCAAATAAAGATTAAAATTATTTTTAAAAATAATAATTAATACTAACTTTCTTAATATAGATAATTATAAATTTAAAAAAAAAATTCAATATTTCAATAAATAAATTTTTTTATATTTATATATTTTTATTATTATTCTTTTATAAAAAATATTTAAAATATTATATATAAAAACTATAAAAATTTCAAAAGTTAAACTTTATTAATAAATTGATTCAAGATATAATATAATTATTAATTATTAATATCTCATTTAGTTTATATATATATATCTATTTAACCTCTTCATTTCTACTTACACTTAAATTTATATTTATATCAAGAATATATTTCATATATATATTTCCTATATATATAATAAATAATAAAAATAATAATTCCCTTCTCTTCTCTGTTTTAACACTTATATAATACACCTACTCAAAACACTCCATCCCCACAAACCACCTAAAGACCAAGCTAAAGAAACAGTACGATATATACAAGCCCATCAGATAACCTACTCATAATCCGAAAATGCATTTTAAAAGTGCCAAAGACGAATACAATGATAAAAGGGTATCGATGCCCGAATGATGATTTGAAAGCCGACTACTCCGAAAAAATGCAAATATTTACTCCTTAAAGAATACCTCATTGAATATACTTCATCAGTTGAGATCATGAATAACAACACAATGCAGAAAGTAAAAGAGAATCCATCTGCGTTACACGATCTCAAACACGTTCTGGTATACGTCTTCCCTGCGGTACGGGTAATTCAACTTCTTCATCACTACTCTCATCAACCATTTCATCCAGCATTTTGTCCGTTATCCTTCTACCATTTTGGTTATTTCTCATGGCAGATTTCCTATGGCTTGCTGCTGGATATCCATTTTCGCTTCCACCACTACTAACGCTTTCTGCAAATTCCACTCTACGTTGAGATTGAGGTCCCACTTTACCCTTCCCATTCTGAGCTCTTTGAAGACTGAATTCTGCCCGAAGAGGGCTATTCCGAGGACTTGTTTGACTTCCATGTGGAGGAGTTAAGGTAGGCCCCATAGATTGCGAGTTGCCCGGTGAACCCATGGATAATAATGTTGCGATTGCATCTTGTTCTTGTATCGTTTTATTTACAGAAGTCATGGCATGCTCGGGTCGGTTATAAGCAGTTGCATTGGGTGTTCGTGGAGCAGAATTGATGTTGAAAGAGTGGTGAGAGTTGGCGCTTGGTTGTCCTGGCATGGACGGTGGTTTTGAGAATTTTGAATCCGATCGCCTGGATGAAGCAGTCGGCCGTATATCAGCTGGAGGAGCGAGAGATTTAGATTGTGGATATGAAGAGCTATATAAGTTGTGTCTATAGGAATGAGCTCCATTGGCAGTAGAATGATCACGCCAGAATGATTCATAGGTTCGAGAAGGTGGTTCTGTTCGCGCGTACAGGTCAAAATCAGCTGTAGGTCGTGGTCCAAAGACGTCCGTTGATCCCTGGCCTTGAATATTTGCTATAGCTGCTCTAGGAGAGGTGAGAAAATTTCTGCGAGTGTTGAAGGTTGAGTTCGATGATGTTGGAGATCCGGCCTGTGATGCAATAGTTTCAACTTCGTTAATTGATTTTGATTCCCATCCATTGTTGACTTTGACCATTGCATAAGAAAGGCGGGTTCGTAATTCGGAAGATAGCTGTTTGGATTCAGTCAAGTGCTTATTGCTCTAGAAATTATACTGACCTCTCCCAATCTGCTTGCGACTGAAGATACATTGCTGACAGTACTTGTATTTCGAGTATGGCTTCGAACAGGTGGTAGAGCTTTGGGACTAGGCGAATTTGAGCTTGAATTTGAAGTTTTTGGTTTTACATGACCGTCTGCTGTTCTCTTCTGACTGGCATTCAGGGTGACGTTGACTTTTGTAGGTGTTATAGTAGTACTGCTTTCGAGTGGTAGTTGTGCGGCAGCCAATTGTGAGAGTTGTGAAAGTTGCGATAATGGACCTCCATCTTGAGTGGTAGTTTGTGACGAAAATTCTTCAACAGCAGGAGGTGTGAACACAAGCCCGTGACCATCTGTCGTCAACTGAGAATTGTCGGGGGTGGGCGCAGTTGCTTTCGCGGATTGTGTTGCGACGACATCCTCAGCACTTCCTGCTTTCGTTTCTTGCGATAATAAATTTTGAAGCAGTGTTGTTTCTACTAATGCCGGTTCATGCGCACCGATAGGGGTGGCATTATTGTCGTTGTTTGCCATCAGAGGTATAATAAGACGCGGGTTTCCGTCGCGTCGAGCGGGACTCGATATTGTCAAATTACCCGGATGCGAGAATGCCAATGTCGCGACAATAACTCGTAGATTGAATGATTACGGAATGAGTTCGCGAGAAGCAGCAATTGCTAGGCAGGATGAAGGATTGATGTGATGTAAAGATATATGTCGTGATAAATTGTCGAAGCTAAGGATATATGAAGAGAGACGTCAACTGAATGATTTGTCGATATCGATGTTTAACTTTGGGTTGATAATGATTGTGGCGGGTGATATCGTTATGCTGGTCTGTGGGCAGATGGGTGTGGAGAGAGAGAAATAAGAAATCAGGGTTGCGCGTTTTGGTCGCGAGAAAGGCGCCTCAACTGTTCCGCATGTATGTATGGATGGGTCCCCGGCTATCTCTCCAAGGGTCTTCTTTTTGAATGATAGATAGAACAAGACCGATGCAGTTGAATTTGATTAATTTGATTGCTTTAAGAGTCGCTCAATTTGTAGGGTATTGACGCAGATATTTTATTATGGAATAATATGATAAAAACAATTGTGGTTGGCATTTCCTTCCCATGCGTACTACTTTCGACACCCGAGTACTGAATCCTCGACGTGGGAGTGGGAGTGAGAGTGAGAGTGAGAGTGAGAGTGAGAGTGCAAGGAAGATGGATGAATGATAAAAATCAAGTAATGAGTTCTGTGAATGTGGCTTTTACTAACTACCTAGTATCTACCTCGTATCTAACCCAGCACTTACCTGGCATCTAACCACCTACCCTCCTATCCCCTCCAAAGCGTGCTTGGGGAGACGTGAGTTGAACCCCACTTAAAACCCTACACTTCGCGTAGTCACGGGGTCCCTTAGGGGTTATAATTTACCTACTATATCACGCCACAAGCGCTTGTTGAAGAATAAAAGAAGGAAAAAGAAGAAAAATGTAAAATGAAACCAGCCTCACCCCACTATCGAGTTGAAGTGGGGGATTGGAGAAAATATATGGTGCGAGTTGTGACTTTGAATTGTGATTCACATTTGCTTAATGGTGGCACATGTGAATAAGAATTCGCTTCGTCGTGCATATACTAATTAGTATGGTAAGATTATAATCACATCTCAATACACATTAATCATGAGGGGCAACCATAGCAAAATTATATGAGTAATTTGGCAAATAATTATCTCATAAGGGTGTGATTCGCCCAAGGCACACAATCCCCTGAATTTTCTCGCCAAATTTACATTCCATGTTACAAGTCTTTGGATTGTAGATGCAAGCCTAATGTCAATGCGATGACATTATCCGAGGTAATAACCCACAAAATGCATGTATACTCAAGCCATAGATAATCGTTCCCCAAAATGCGGATGGAATAGATCACGGGCCCCAGAGGGATACTGGAGCTGCCAGCTTAGATCCCAAATGACGAGGAGGTTGATCTCAGTAGATTCAATTTGACACCCCTCGGTTAAGTAGTCATTGTATCTATTATTATTTAAGTCAGGTCATATAAAGTATTAGATCTGCGTTTTGCTTCGTCATGACCCTATTTTGCATAGGAAATGGCAAGCCACATCTCCTGGTATCCAGCGCTTATCGCGCGGCTATGCTCAAGCAAGATGTTAGGGTGAACTCTATAGTATCAGCCCGAGAGCTCGAATACCTTCTCGAAGCTTCTCCGGTCAGTTGAGTTCATTTCTGATTGGGTGAAGTGTCTAAGGCATCTTTTCGTGAGATGAACGTCTTTCGACATGCGAAGCTATTATAGCGTTCACTTCTCCCCTAACAGTCCTCGTCTCGAAGCAATATTCACAAGGTCGTTGAGGAGTTGTCTTGTTGCCCGATATTGTCCGCCCTCTTCATGCTCAACACTCGATGGCTGTGTGAGCTTTAACCTTCCTTCGCCAAGTACAAACGCGCCACATGCAATCTTAACAATCTTCACCTTCTCATGATTTAGGTCCAATGCCAAATGCGCCTTGATGTAACTTTTCAATGCAGCCATAAACGGAGATCCATCTTTGGTGATTTTATTTCCTCGTGAAAGCATACGAGGTAGATCCTCCCTGGCAATATGGATTTCAATAGTTTTGAGAGTAGCAGATCCATCAGGTATGTCAAAGCCAATGGATATTTGGATCTCTTTAATGATCTTTTGTATACCAACTTGGCGCTCTTCGGCTGTTGCAGCTTCGTTGATCGTGTTGGATGTGTATTGCTCGAATGATTTCGTCAAATCGTTTCCTTCCAACTTTAGGGCCGACACCCTTGTATCGAAAATCTGACAGACGTATTGAATGAATGTTTCTCTTAACGACAATGGCATGCGTGTTAATAGCAAAGGTAGACGCAAAAATACAGATTCATCATCGGAAGACTGCATGATTGAGACGTCCATGTCGTCTTCGGGAGTCGAGCGTATTAAAATTGCAGTGTAATTCGCTTTCTCGTAATTGACTTCCACCAGTATTCCATGATTATGTGTACTCTCCGTCCCAGACTCGCCAAGGGTCTCTTCTGTTGTATCCTCGACAGCCCATTCCGATTCTCTTCTAAAAACTTTCCATACCACCGTTTGCAGAGCACCTACACGAGCCAATGTATCATCTTCGGACCCTAATCCAACCCGAACACCCCGTAAAACATCACCTGCTAATATATCTCGAAATCGACGTGCATGTACTTGCAAATCCGCATTATTAAGAACGTCTTTGCCAATGTAGAGCGGAGAGGCACGATATATGGAAAAAGTAGTGTTGTAAAGGGGATACTGAGAGCCAGGTGCCGGAGCCATTAATTCTAGACCCCGCAGTGATTTGGGACGAGTTTGTGGAATTGTTTGGCTGATCGCAATGTCTTCGGACTTATGAATGCTCAAAATGGGTTAGAAACTTTTTTGGCAATAATACTCCCATGTTATAGGAAAGAGGATAATTGTACTTTGAGTTCAAGGTAAGATTACATAATGACCCAGAAACGCGACGCGGGGACATTTTGACTGGGATTTTATTGGTGCAGCATCATTAGCGCGAATTTCCAAGATCCCTCAAAACTTTTCCACACGTGACATAACTTTCAATGGGCAACATGATTGCTGATCAGCATTTCAAAACTTCAATTCTCATCGCTCGATTTCAAGGTTTCCGTTTCTTTACTTGGATTCCAATTTAATGAGTTTGAAAACGTATATGTGCCAAAATCCCGAGTCATTTACATAATCCGACGTTGCCCTCTTACGACCACCATCGACATCGACCACTTATCGACCACTTTCATTGTATTTCTATTTCCCTCGTACGATATTAATTCCTTCCTTGCCTCAGGTATATGCATGGTTTTTTCGATTGCTTGGCTCATACTTTTTGCGGTGTACCATGTTCTTTGCACTATAATTAGATTTTGATCTCGTCCGAGCAACTTGGCAGCTCGAGCGGCAGCTTTGTTCCATATGCACTCCAAAGGAACTTTCGAAGAAGTAATTTTATGGAGCCATAATGTTCTGTCATTGCTTTGCGGCTCTCTTCACATGACACGAAGTTTTACATGGATCTCGAAGGCTATCTCTGCATGTAACGAGTGTTACCACTGTGTCTTTATGTTACGTCAAGCTAAAGATGACAAGGACCTAACCTCAAAGTTTCAGGAGAGATCATTGGATGGCAGAAAGGCATAGACGCAACTGTTTAACGTTGATTCATTATGCTAGGAGAAGTGTCAGAGAACTTCATTCTGTGTCACTGGTAGAATGAGTTCTCAGTCTGTACCGGTATGCGGAGAAAGGCCAGGGAGTGTTACTCGCGGATAAACATGGTTTATGGGCAGTATGAGCACAATTAGTATGTGTATACGCTACTTCCACATCCAATAACCAGCAAATATCGTTCCGTACGCTCAATCTATGTCATTCTGATTCGATGACAGGACATGAGCATGAATGCCCAGAAAAGGATTCTGTTGAAGGCCATTGGCGCTAAGTTTTAAAGAAAGTATTTTGGGAAACTGAAGCATCAAGAATCTTGGTGAGTTTGGACTTGGTTATCCTTCTGAAATTACTTCCCAACCACACTGACCTTTCAGCCCTTTTCTTTTGGGAATAAGCTGTTCTATTCTTGGTCAGGGCTTTCACGTCAATGCTTAAAGCCTTTCTGATACTAGCTTCCACCATCGAAAATTCTCAATCAGCCTATTATCATGAAAATGATCTTTTGGCATGCAACAATTTGGGCCTGAGTGCACATTACATAACCGCACGTAGTCCTGAGTAAGTCCTCAAGAGTTTGAGACGAAATCGGTAAACACTAAGTACACTAGATTTGAAACAGCCGTCGAGAATGATAGGGTCACCCTGTACATCGAATTCATGATTCAATCATCACAAAAAATACATTAAATACGCATTAGTAGCAAAAATCGTTCGATTCGTGAAATTCAGTGCCAACTTGTGGATATTATCGAAAGGTTTCGACAGATCCAAAACAGAGGAGTGGAAAATTTTGAATCGTCAGCGTCATATAAAGAGAAACAATATTTTTCAGTCATCTCATGTTGGAGATCGATGGTGAATTTGGATTAGATGAAATTGCTTTATTACTGTTTCACATGCAGATCGCTGCTTACAATAAAAGTAAATGTTGCTTTAGAATTGAAACCAATTCGCGTGCCCTACCGAAAATGGACATCTCCATCGGTAATTTGTCTGAGCGTAGTTTTTCCAGCGTCCCGTACCCAGCTTTTTCTGGAACGACCATAGAGTCCAATCTTTCTACTAATTTACTTCGGATGTATCTGGGGTTTTCTTGGAGTTCCTTGGCCATGGGTATATACAACGTTGATGGATCAATCATAGCGAGTCAGTCGTTCACTCACATCAATGTTCTCATCATTTACACTCGCTTATCTATATTCACAATGAAGTTCTCGTCTGTCCTATTTGTCCTTTCTACTCTCACATTCTCTACTGCCTTGCCCGTGACACGACGCGGTTTCATCAGTGGATTGGCTGTTCGTGAGGGAAACTCTACTTTGGCATTATTTAGCAATTCCACATCCTCATCGACATCATCAATATCTTCCAGTAGCGCAAAGCCAACCACAGAAATCAACCTTGAAAGTCTGAAAGAGGATGCTGCCGCAAAGCAACCAGCGGTAGCAAAAGTAAAGTTACAGCAGCACAAGTTAAATCAGCAGTATCTGGATTTGCCAACGATGCCAACACCGTATCAGCGGCCCTAAACAAACTTCCCAGTATGACGGACAGATCAGACATCGCCTCGCTTGCCGGAAAAGCATTCAATGCAGAATCAGACGAGGATTCCCAGAGATCTGTTCTATTTGCCGCAGCAGGCAGTGCAGGTTCCTCCGCAAACAGCAAAATCGTTAAGAACACTCCTGCAGTTCTCAAAGGCTTGAAGGCTATTATGGTAAATCCATCGATTATTTCTGTGAAGTATAATGTGGCTACTATCGAAGCTGCCCGGTGAGCATCTTCCACATTGACTCAAACCTCGGTTCATGAACTTATGGAAAATAGAAATCCCAATATTCTACCTAGTATCACACAACTCTCAAATGCAGCATTGAGTGCAATGAATTTAGCTCCAACAGCGCGGAAGTTCCTGCTACTGGACAATATTAGGCCGGCCCTAGAGGTGCATGCGTTGGATTATTTGACTCACATCTCTTGTTGCATGGCCAGGAGCTACTCTTAAAGGATAAATAAGGATTTATTTACCTTATTTCCATTTCTTCGATGTGCATATATTTACTTTTTGATGTGCGAGGAATCTGGGGGCGTTGCGTTTGAATAGGGATGGGATACCATGGGATCGGAGTTGTTTTTTAGGAATGGAAAATGCCAAGGTGTTTCTAGTAAATGGAGAATAATTCCAGTGTAAGGAAATATTAACTCCGAGATGCGGTGATTTTGCTTCCTGTCGCAACAAGTTGCGCCAATATTTACAAGTTTAGGGTTGAATAAAATTCATTTTCTTACATGTATCCCGCGCTCTTCATGATGCTCAATCGCATTACCACATATCTAAATCAGCACTGAAGGCTCCAGCATAGGTGGCGTATAGGATGACATAACATTTCCTCATTCCATTTCATTTAATTTTCCAGCTACTTCCAAAGGCCAATTTTCAAGAAGCTCAGCAAGATAAAATTGAGATCCGAATAATAACCAGTCTCAACTCCAGAGAATAACAATCTCAGTAATTTAAAAGACCATCAAGTAATAAATGTATAGGGATGAAGTGTGGTATTTTGGAGATGGTGAGTTTCTGCTTTTACTTTGGCGTCTTTATAGTGGGATCAAGATATATTCTTCTGTCCTTCCTAGGTAATCTATGTTCATATATTCATATAGGTTCTGAATAAACTCATCAATGTAAGTCTTAATATGATGAAGATATTGCACGCAGGAATTTCCTTTTATCATATCTTCCCTTTCGTATCATATTTATCTAAGCCCCTCTCTAATCTCGTGTTCATTCCATTCAATGACTTGCCCGTATTTAATCCTTTCACCGAGGTCCAGAACTAAGATTACATATATAATTCAGCGGGAATGTGTATAAGAGAGAGGAATATGGCTAGGTTTTGGGGAGATTGATGGGGTAGTGAAGCGAGGATTTATGCATTTTGGATGTGTGGATTAATATTAAAAGATTAGGATATTCAGATGGTGATGGTGATGGTGATGGTGATGGTGATGGTGATGGTGATGGTGATGGAGGAGAAGCTATGGCTGCAAATGGGATGGAATCTTTGAAGAATATTTTAGATGTTGTTACTATTTGTGGAATCTGAATTGGAGGGAATGCTGTTGATGAAGTTGACTTGTGGAGGGTGACATTGTGGTATAATACATCAAGAATTGGGACGAGTAAGACAGCGGGCGGACAAAGATGACATTTATTTCTTAGTATATGTAATCTTCAATTTATATTTCCCAGCATCTCATAACTTTACAGGTTTTAATATAATATTATCTATCAGCCTTACTGGAGGTCCATCAGACAGACCAAGATCCTCTCCAGGTTGTGGTGCTTCTACTGGCAGCATCTTTATTGCTCCACTCAAAATTGCGCCCTTCGTTTCGTCAACCTCTTGGATCTCCTCCATGGTCATGGGATCTGCCAATGATATGTAATCCACCTCGAACCTTACTCGTTCCTCGGGCTTCAATTGATACTGTTCCATTAGCAGCAATTTCGCCAATTCCAATGCAGGTCCCAAGAGCTCATCTCTTGATCGATGTCCAAATTTATATCCCTGCTCGGCTACTTTGAGCACTTTGAATAGTGCCGTAGCTATGTTTCTTCTCCTCTTTCCTAAATAAACATTTCTTGAACTTAATGCCAGACCATCATGCTCTCTTTGTGTATCTCCGATGACAACTTTGGTATCCATGCAGAAATCCTAACCATCTTCTTTATAACCACAGTCTGCTGAACATCTTTTTGCCCAAAATATACCTTCTCCGGCATGACAATATTGAATAACTTCATACACACAGTGGCCACTCCCCTGAAAAATGTTGGCCGGCTGGCCCCCTCCAATAGCTCTCCCACCGGTGTGATTGTGACAAAGCTTCCTTTCGCTTTAACTTCTTGGCTCGGCGGCCCACTCGGATACATTGTGTCTGATGTAGGCGCAAATACCGCGGCAATCTTTCCCATGTTTCCATTATCAGCTAATTCCATGTCGAGATCCTTCAACATCTTGCAATCCTTTTCCCATGTCTTCGGATAGCTATCAAGATCTTCGTGAACGCCGAATTGAGTTGGATTAACATATATGCTCACTATCACATTTGAATTTTCTGCAGCAGCGAGACGAATGAGTGATAAGTGACCCTCATGAAGAGCTCCCATAGTTGGCACAAGACCAACCGTTCGATAATCGATGAGTTGTTTGCGACGCCATTGGCGAAGCGCAGGTACATCTCGGAAGATCTTAATGGAGGTACTCGGTATTGTAGGACTGGCGACTCGATGAAGCAAGGCAGACGCCGTCGAGAACATTCGCGGAGAACAGTATGCTCGAGTGGAGGAGTCAAAGAGGGGTACCACTGATCGGCGCATTGGGAACGACATGATCGCGAACAATTGAGCCTGTTGTACTCAAAGTGAGTTTCGAAGTCAATTTGGATGAGAAACTAGTATGTTCAACCCAGTTAGGGCCCATATCGGTAGAAACATCAATTTGAGTCATCCTGTTCTGTTATGTGCAGCGTAGAATGAAGCCTGAGATAATTTTCGATATTTGCGGGTGGGACGCTTATCCAGGAAAAGCTTTAGACCTCCCGCCTCACATGCCAGCGGGGCTGGGATTAATAAATGGCCGAGCTCAACGTTTTTCTGGGACGAAACTTTTGCATTTGCTTTTGCATCTGCATCTGAGGAATTTCTTGTACAAATTCTCGGCATTTCAAAGCAAATCTTCAACAAAACAGTAACGATGGCTGACGATGGAATGTTAATGAATTTTGAGATTGGGGAGGTACCAATAGTTCTCAAACAATCATTTAAAGGAGGACGTTGGAAGGATCGATTGGCTGCGAAAACCGCACAGCACCGAGTCTCCAGGAGCACAAACAAGCCCTCGACGAGAGAGATATTTTCCGAACGACAGCATGATACTGGCGCGGAAGAGTACATTGGTCGCGAGTCCTCGTTGAGGGCCCCAAAGAGACAACGGGTTGACGATAATTACGATTCTTACGGTGGAAGAAATGAAAGTACAGCAGCTTATGCTTCCGGAAAACTTCCATCTGGCAGCATAAATGTTGGCAGGAGTAGGAAAACTACTTTCCAGGAAGAAACTAGGCCTGCATTTGTCGCTGGCAAATTACCCCCTGGTAGTATCAACATTAGTGGGAAGAAGGCGACCCCAATCCAGGAAGAAACCAGACCAGCTTTTGTTTCCGGAAAATTGCCTCCGGGAAGTATAAATTCTGGCGCAAAGAAAGCCATTTCTTTCCAGGACGAAAAGAAACCTGCTTACATTTCTGGAAAAGTCCCACATGGTA